ATCCAAAACGGCTACATTCAGATATTTGGAGGAAAAAACTCCTAGAGCGGCTTCAGGGGTGGAAGCAAAGGACATTGTCGTGGGCTGCTAAGGAAACATTGATTAAATCCATAGTGTTGGCTCTTTCCCTTCATGTTATGTCTTGTTTCCGTCTTTCCCTGGATCTTTGTCGTCTTTTAGATAAGCATGTGGCCCGTTTTTGGTGGGGTGCTGAGGATGGTAATCCCAAGATTAGATGGGTGTCCTGGCGTAACATGTGCAGGAGTAAGCATGATGGGGGGATGGGATTTCGCCAGTTCGAGCATTTCAACCAAGCTCTTTTGGCTAAGATAGGCTGGCGTATTCTCAATGAACCTCAATCACTTATTGCCCAGGTCTATAAAGGCAAGTATTTCCCTCAAGGGTCTTTCCTGACCACGACTGCTAGGTCTCGTCCATCTTGGGGGTGGCAAAGTATCATTCATGGGCGTCAGTTATTGGAGAGGGGTTTGAGATGGCAGGTTGGTAATGGCCAATCGGTCTCCCTCCTTCATTCTAACTGGATTCCTAGGTACCAACTAGATCCCCCATGCTTTAATCCGCGGATCTTGCCTGAGGAGGGTGATCCCTTGGTGGCGGAGGTTATTAATGAGGGGGGAGGGAAGTGGTCTGATGAGAAGCTCAATCAATGGTTTGACCCGCCCACCTGTAAGGCTATTAAAGTTATTCCTCTCCCACGTTGGGATGTGCCTGATAAGCTTATCTGGCATTTTACGGCTGACGCGGTCTTCTCGGTTAAGTCGGCTTATCATTTGGCTGTCGATTTGGACAGGAGGAGGGGTGGGTGGCGATCCCCGGTTAGCTGGATGGATAAGCCGAGTTGGATTAGAATTTGGGAGGCGAAGATCCCTTCGAAGTTGAAGGTTTTTGTTTGGCAAATTCTTAATCGGGCTCTGCCGACTATGGAGGAACTTATTGAGAAAAAGGTCCAGGTGCTACCTCGGTGTCCAGTTTGTTGGGATGGCCTGGAGACTATGGAACACCTGTTCCTTTATTGTCCGGTTGCGCGGGCTCTCTGGGATTATTCTGGGCTGGAATGCTTGTGGGAGGTTTTGCCTCGGCATACTTTTCCTTTGTTTTTCAAACGTCTATTGGGTTTGATCCATCAACCGTCAATGGTTATGGCTGTTGTTGCCATCCTTTGGAAGATCTGGCGATATCAGAATTGGGTAGTCTTTGAAGGCAAACAATTTGGGATCCCGACGCTCATGCGACAGTTTAACCAACAGTATGAGGAATGGGTGGGTCTACCAGCGGACCTGGCGCCTAGGGTACAAATCCGGATAATGCAATCCACAGCACAAGTGGGTGATTCCCATTTGGTTTGCATGTGGGACGGGGGCTACTAAGGGTGGGTCTCATTTGGCTGGTGGGATGGTTCTTTTTGACCCAGCGCGAACACTCCTTCTGGCTAGAGGGGTCCAGTTTTCTCAAATGGATGATCCTGTAGTGGTGGAATTGCTTGTGCTTAGGGAAACTATTATTTGGTGTGTGGAGCAAGGTTTGTCGGAGGTCCGATTTGAGGGCGATGCGAAGGTGATTATTGACAGAATTAATCAAGCCGACACAAGAGATAGCCGATTGGGTGTTGTTCTGGAAGAGATTGCTCATTATTTTCGTACTCAGCCTGGCTTTAGTGTGCGTTTTGTAGGTCGGGAGAACAATAGGGTAGCTCATTTGGTAGCTAGGAAAACCCTCTCTTTGTATCCGACTATGAGTCGCTTCTTTGATTTCCAGACCTGGCTGGTTTCCAGGGTGTAACTGTCTATGGTTTCGTTCAATACATGATATATTTTGACAAAAAAAAAAAAGAGTTATGGTTGCTGGATTATCGGGTTCATAAAAATATTCAATTTCTTAATTGGTCTTTTAGGATTGAAGTTTTGTTAGGATTTGAGAATATGATCAACAAAAGATTGGCGGGATCGGACTAGATTAGTAAAACCAGTTAAGGGAAAATTGAGGAGGAAGTTGGTGAAAGAGATCAGTGGAGGCATGGAACAACGATGGAGAAGTTCGCCGGAACTGCTACTGAAAGTCCGCCTGAGCAGGAGAGAGAGGAAGATGAGATTCACAGTGGGAGAAGGAAGGATAGAATTCTCCATTTCCTTGGCCAATAGCAATCTCGACCGATTTATGGTTGCCGAGTTTGACGCGAGGTTTAATACATTTAACTAGTGCCATGTCACAAATTGTCGGGTTGGATCCAGTCCTTAAGCATAAAAGTTTAAGGAGTTTCTTAAGTAATTGATCTCCAATAGAAAGAGGAGAGAGAATATGAGGTATAACTACAAGATAATGATTTAAAGAAAATAATTAATTTCATTAGTAATTAACCTCATTTGCAAAAAATGAAAACTCTAGTTTTTTCATCCCACGTACATGCACCCATATTCCATAAAACCTAACCTAGCCAAAATATAATTTTGATAACCCTTCTCCACATTCCGCACCCGGCGTCTACATCTCCGACGCTCCATTCTTCAAGAGAAGAAAGACCACAGTTGTACCATTGTGTCTACACTTCGGCCCTCCATATATTCCTTCATCTTTGGCAGTTGGCACTCCATTCTTGAAGAAGAAAAAAAGAGATATCATTAATAATGGGTATTTCAAATATACTAAACTACTGTGTAAAACATTAATAATCATGACCGTAGATTGTTAATAACACCCTCATAAATATTGATATTGTTACATTGCATTGCATTGTTAATAATTGGCTAAAAAAATGTTAATAGTGTAAGCTTTGATAACTTAATGTTTCAATCTTAGCAATTTCTCGAAAATCATTAGTACTTTAAAAAATAGTGATTGTCAATAGCCAAAAAATTATTTAGCAAATGTTGAAAATATGACAATATATTCTTAACGATGCTTCGCATAAAAATGACTAGAGAAAATAAAAATGATTTTTAATTCTCTATACTTAGGGAGCAGATCCGGTGAGTAACTTTGTGGTGAGTAACCATGAGTAACCCGTCTACATCAGCATGACATCAGCATCCTCTCTCTCCTGGAAAGCCTTTAATTTTCCCCTCTTTAATCTTTGACGGACGATTTCTCACTCATTTTAAGTCGAAATTTAGTTTTTTTGTACAGTTAGATCAGATTAATTGTACTCTTCAAAATGATATCCACTTTAATATATTTTTCGAACAAAAAAATTGAGCCATTTTTTACCAGTCTATACCATATGGTATTGACTAGTATTGAAATAAAAGCATACCTATGGTTCGAAAAAAGTACCATGGTGGTATGAACAAACCAAGACTATAGGATGGTTGAATACATGATAGTAGAAATATATTAATTGTCATTTACGACTTTTAACATTGTATACCACAAGATACCACCCCGTACCAGGGTGGTATTGTATGGTATTGTGTGGTATTTTTTGGTCCTGTAATTTGTTCACCCATAAATTTGTAGATCCAATAGATCATAATGAACTCGTCCCTTCTGTGCAAACGTTTTCAAAAACGAATTAAAAACGAAGAAGATACCATACAATACCACCCCGTACCAGGGTGGTATTGTATGGTATTGTGTGGTATTTTTTGGTCCTGTAATTTGTTCACCCAGAAATTTGTAGATCCAATATATCATGATGAAATCGTCCCTTCTGTGCAAACGTTTTCAAAAACGAATTAAAAATGAAGAAAATACCATATGGTATGCAGTTGGTACCGAGAGACCAGAATTTTTGTTCTAAAAAAATATTGAAAATTGATATCATTTTGTAGAGCACGATGAACTCGTTCCACCTGTGCAAAAAAAATTAAAATCCGAGTTAAAACGAAAAAGATATGAGTCGATTGAGAAAGCTAGAGAAAATAAAAATGATCTTTAATTCTCCATCCTTAGATCTGAATTTTCTAAATGAAGGGTCGAAATTTGGTTATTGATAGATGCATAACCCATGGTTATGCACCCTATCTTGAGCCCTATACTTATGTCTGGATTTGCTAAATAAATGGTCCAGATTTAGTTATTGATAGATGCATAACCCATGATTACCATATCTTGAGCCAACTCGCCAAGCAAGCACCAAAAGCCAACCGATTGGGCAACACGATCCCGACGCTCACCGGAAAATGCTTCATTACGACGGGAAGCTGCTGCTAGGGATGACCGCGTGCCGCTGTTTAAAGACGATGTGAAGCTCAAGCTCAACAGCGGGAAGTTGCTGAAATGGATGGCGACAAGCTAGTGGTGAGGAAGATATGGGAAGATCGATCTCAATTCTCAACAGAAAAGGAACGGCGTGAAGCTAACGGTGAGCTGCTTTCGAGGACGACGGTAAGCTTGAGAAATAAAGAACGAAAACCCTTACCCTTCAAATAAAAAGGCCGGCCAAAAATTCTTTCCTTTTTCAGTTTTAAATTAATTATAATACCCCAAAATCCAAATACCATAAATAACTAGTAACTACTTAATAACCAATAACTATTTCCTAACTAATTTAGATTAATCTAATGGCTAGAATTCACTTAGGGTCGCTTGCTTCATGGATTTAAAAACGAGGGTTTTGTAATTTAAAAACCTAAGGATTTATCAAGAATTTGAGGCATCATGGATTTGTAACAATCCTTTGTTTGTTAAGATGTTTTTATCATGGATTTAAAGGTGTGGGATTTCTCACTTGAAGTCTAAAATTACATTACTATCCTTTTCTATATATGTTTGACATGTTTATGATATGTATACAAAACAAAGACAAAATTTCAAAATTACCTTACTATCATTTTCTATATGTTTGACATGATTATGATATGTACACAAAACAAAGACAATACATACTAATAAGCATAATGGTGCCACATGGACAATAATAATAAACGAGAAAATTCCGTTTAACTGTTAACGTAACATAATCAATTACCAATTCTTTGTCCTCCTTTTCAAAAGTAACATATAACAACATATATATTAGAATCGGGAGAACAAAGAATTACACATTCAATGAAAAGGTCAAAGAAAACTAGAACACAAGAAATGATATAAAAAATCTAACTCATGTTTGCACATTAATTGAATGTTTATATTATTCATTCATTGTTAATTACTTGATTAATTATAATGTATAATAGTTAAATTTGAGGGCAACCGTGGAATATTAAAAATGCATGAGGGTATAATGTATATGGGTAAAATCCCATCAAGGATTTATGTCATGTTCCAAATCCCACATCAACATGTGGGATTTATAAGTTCGTGGGGTCCACGGATTTGGACCCTTAAAATCCGTGGGCCCCGCGGATTTGGTCTAAAAAAAGTGCAAACAAACAATGGATTTTTGATAAATTCATGATGGATTGGATTTGGGTACCAAATCCATGATCCAAATCTATGAAGCAAACGACCGCTTAAGGAACTTTTTAAACTTTGAGACTTAGGGGTCGTTTGCTCATGGATTTGGATCATGAATTTGGTACCCAAATACAATCCATCATGGATTTAACAAAATTCATTGTTTGCTTGCACTTTTTTTGGAGACCAAATCCGTGGGGCCCATGAATTTTAAGGGTCCAAATCCGTGGACCCCACGGACTTATAAATCCCACATGTTGATCTGGGATTTGGAACATGACATAAATCCTTGATGGGATTTTATCTATATACCCTCATGCACTTTTAATATTCCAAGGTTGTCCTCAAATTTAACTATTACACATTATAATTAATCAAGTAATTAACAATAAATGAATAATATAAACATTCAATTAATGTGCAAACATGAGTTAAATTTTTTATATCATTTCTTGTGTTCTAGTTTTCTTTGACCTTTTCATGGAACGTGTAATTCTTTGTTCTCCCGATTCTAATATATGATGTTATATGTTACTTTTGAAAAGGAGGACAAAGAATTGGTAATTGATTATGTTACGTTAAAAGTTAAACGGAATTTTCTCGTTTATTATTATTGTCCATGTGGCAACATTATGCTTATTAGTATGTATTGTCCTTGTTTTGTGTACATATCATAAACATGTTAAACATATAGAAAAGGATAGTAAGGTAATTTTGAAGTTTTGTCCTTGTTTTGTCGTACATATCATAAACATGTCAAACATATAGACAAGGATAGTAATGTAATTTTGGACTTCAAGTAGTAAATCTCACACATTTAAATCCATGATAAAAACATCTCAACAAACAAAGGATTTTTACAAATCCATGATGCCTCAAATCCTTGATAAATCCTTGAATTTTTAAATTACAAAACCCTCATTTTTAAATCAATGAAACAAACGACCTCTAAGGACCTGAACCTAGGCCATAAGTTGCGACATCAATGCCACACTTTTTTCTAGTAGCAACGTCGTATCGATCTTGTCCAAATACATCTAACGGCCGGCCAGAGGATAAAAGAAAATGTTGAGCCCAATAGAATGACAAGCAAGCTGTGTACAGCGCGCTGGGCTTCTAGGACAAGCCCGGTCCACTAGACGTCAGAAATGGGCCATGATCAAAAGCAAAATTAGTCAGGCCCAACATAATCCAGCGCCGGCGGGAGAAGGAAATAACGGAGCAAAGCAATTCTCCTAGGTCGGAGAAACGGTCCACGGAGTAGTAAAGCCGATCACCAACCAGAGATGACGGAGCCAAGGCGATTGAGAGGGCACAAAGCCACCGCCACGTGTTGCATAGCCTCACGCGACCGTCCTGGCATCGTAGTCACCTCCGGCGAGGTACATTCCTTCCCTGTCTCAGCTGTTGCAGTTGAGCTCAAACCACTATTCCCAAACATTTTGAGCAATTTTCAGTGCAAACTTCTCATTGTTTTATTATTATGTCTATTGGGTTTAGGATGGTCGTGTGTGCTGGTTCGATATGCGATGCAAAGAGGTACAGTTCGTTATGGAGGTCGGGGAGCAACCAATTTCGTCCTTGTGCTTCAAGCCAGGTGAATGAATGACCCAGAAGGGTTTCTCGTTAGAACTCTGTTTAGAGGCTTGAGAATTCTTATAATATACGTAGGTATTAGGTTATAATGTGATGTGAGCTAGTTGCTTTACAAAGTTTCAATCTTTGAGGGGATCATGTGCTTATTTGTTTGGATGATGGCGACAGGAAATGAAGATATCCTCTATGTTTCCTCCGGGAGTGAAGTTAAGTGTTTGGATGTGCTCATGGTAAGCATTACAAAGATGACCTGCATTTTGTTTTTTCTTTATGCAAGCGAGAGGATCAGTGTTGGTGAAATTCAATGTCTGCTGGCAATGTTTTCGTTTACATCATCAGATTGATTTGGTATTTAGCCTTTATCGTCGTACATCGTCACTAACTTTCTGAAATTGTCTGTTTGGTACTCTGAAGGCCAATGACTGGAAGCCATTGAGGACTTACAACTACAACAAGGATGAGATAAATCAGGTAAACTTCTTGATGCAAGGAGAGGAGACAAGCTTTTGTTAAGAAAAGGGATTCTGATTGTCAAGTTGTTTCAAAGTAGCTTAAGTTTGTTTGTTCTCTCAGCAGATTATCTTTTCATGTTATTATCAGGTGTAAAGCTGTTTTAATTGGAAGGCTTGTGCATGTTCTGTGCAGATTGCGTGCAACTCGAGGGCAGCTTTCCTTGCTTCTACCGACGATGCTGGTGATGTTAAGGTTCTTTATTCGAGCACCCTAATTACAGTGTAGTGTATTAAGTCTTGGGTTTGTTTGTAGTACTCATAACTAAGTGCTATAACTATGACAGATTATTGACATTCACCAGCATTGCCTGTATAAAACATTGCGGACTGGCCATTCAAGTGTATCCTTCACCAATTCTTTGCCTTTAAGATGTTAGATTAACTACTGTTGATTTCGAGGTTCTTCTCCTCCTTCAAACTTAACTGTATCTTAGATCTGTAGCAGTGTGCAGTTTATCCCTTGGAGACCATGGGAAGGTATTTTAACTGAGATTTTATAATATTAGAATTGTGTGTAATCATGTTTCCCTCCACTTCTCTGAAAAGTGGGAAAACTGCAAGCTAGCTATTTTGATAATGAACATAAGTTATGTGGCAGTCATTACTGGAGGTCTTGACTCAAAGCTCATTATGTGGGACTTCTCAAAAGGGCGCCCAGTCAAAATTGTTGATTTTGGTATGTAAACCCACTTTATGTTTCCTCTCCTTTAATGATACTCTTGAGTCTTGACTTGATTAATGTCTTATTATAATCCTTCATCCAAAAAAAAAAAAAAAAATTCTCTTATTATAATCTTTCCGTGACTGCAGGCTCTAACAGTAGTAATAATACAACACAATGTCTCAATCCTGCTTTCGTTCATGCAATAGCGGTTCCAGATGTTGATATGGTCGACAATGCAGGCAAGATATGTGCAGTAGCTAGGGGTGACGGTGTTGTCGATGTGATAGACATTGAAGTAGAACTTGCTGCTGCTATTAGGTCGAAAAGTATGGCAAAAGCTAAGAAAGGGTCTCAAACAAAATCCAATAACGAAGCCGAATCAAGCACAAGCGGCGAAACAACAGCCAACACGAATCAAAGCAGCAGGTTGCACTTGGATTACGAGTTGGGGGGCCATACTGCTGCAGTATCGTGTGTCGGGTTTTCGTTGTTTGGGGATAAGGGGAAGTTCATAGTTTCTGGAGGGAATGATAAGTCAGTAAAGCTGTGGGATTGTTCCCGACGCGAGACAATCCAGCAGGATGGTGGCAGCAATAATGGGCTGCTACATCTAAGCATCAGTTTGAGCAAAAAGGTGAGGGTTTTCCAAATCACTAGCCATCTTTCCCTTTGTGATTTGTCTTTGGCTATTCCTTACCTGAGCTGTTGGTTATCTGACAGGTGAATTGGCTATGTACAACTCCTACTGAGTCAGAGAACCTTGTCATATGCGACACAACTAAAGTAGTGAAGGTCTATTCCGTTACATGATCAGCATTTTGGAGTCTGAATCGGCATTTTGGAGTATGGCAAGATATGGATGAAGTCCTGTACTCAGCGAGAAAACAGCTTTAACCCATTCAAGATCAGGGTCAGAAGTGTCCATTTTTGTGTACCATGAAAGTTCAGTGATTGAAGCAGGATGGATCTACTTGATATTCCTCCTGGAATGCTCAATTTTGCAGCTGAACAGTATTAGTTGCAGAATAGCACCAGTACTAACCTTCATCTTGACCCTTTCTCGATCCTGACAAAGCTTAGGACTCGGTCACAGCTGCATAGGACACTGTAATTTGAGCTGAATTTAAGTGTACTGTAGATTGAAAAGAGGAAAGAAAGAGCCTTTAGTCACTCATTCATGCTGATAGATGCTTGTTCCGCCATAATCTCGTCTGAACATGGATCTTGATCTCGGTGGTCGGCGTTGTTGCAATTGCACTGCCATTTTCTCCCCGCCAGGCAAGCTGTGGACTTTCTCCAGACCCCGACTTGGATATTAATGTGCCCAGGCTTCTGTAATCCAGTTTCAGCCCGTTTTATTATATAGACACATGAACAGTGAAGTATTTAGCGTAAGGGTACTGTTTATTTACAGGCACAGGGGACTTGAGAACAAAGCCTCTTCTGTTGAGTTAGCTAAGGATGGGGGCTCCTCAACTAAATTTAACGTTCCTTCAACTTCCCGCATAAAAAATTGAAACCCACTCTTTGCCTTTCTTGAGGGTGGGAAAAATAGACGTTGCTTCATCTCAATCTCTCATCACCTTTCTCTCTGCACTACCCATGACACCAACACTGTAACCTCCACCAACCATGTCACCTTCCCACGAAAGCTTCACCATTAGAGCAATGCAATCACAGTGCTTTTGCATTCTGATGTTTAAATATACAAACTGGATCATAGCAAAAACAGAGTAATTGCTGGCTTGGTGTTCTCTTTAGCAAGAAATAGGGGCAAAAGTAAGATGATGGAACCCGGGGCTCCTGTGTGCAACACCTGTGGGGAGGCCGTTAGGTTGAAGCCAAATGGGGAGTTGTTTGTGGCTTGTCATGAGTGTAACTTCTCAATGTGCAGATCTTGTGTCGAGTATGAGTCGAAGGAAGGCCGGAAAGCATGCTTGAGATGTAGCTCCCCTTATGATGGTAACCTTCCTCCATTCTATTTCTCTCAAAATGGTTACTGAAGTTCAAAGCTTTACACTTCTGAGCTGATTACCTGCTAATTTATGTTGGTCTTGATCAGAGCATTTACTCGATGACGATGCTGATAAAAACCCACCTGGTAGTAGTCAATCTACCATGGCTGCTCATCTCAGTGATCCACAGCCTCAGGTATTGGCCATTGTGATTTTGCCATTATGTGCATTTGGGAATGAACAGTTATCAATGTTTTGCATTCTGAATTTCTGAGGCCGTTTCTTTCTTTACAGGATGTTGGGATTCATGCCAGGCACGTCAGCACTGTGTCCACAATTGACAGTGAAATGAATGACGAATCTGGGAACCCGATTTGGAAGAACTGCGTCGAGGGTTGGAAGGATAAGAAGAGCAACAAGAAGAAAAAGGGTGCTAAAAATAATAAGACACAACAAGAACCAGCTGAGATTCCACCTGAGCAGAAGATGGAAGACAAGCAGTAAGTAGCCTAAGGAAAGATATAGGACTAGAACACTTCAAAGTTGCACAATATTTCAACTTGTAGATGACTAGAAAAACGCTTTCTATTGTGCAGGCCTGGAGATGCTTTAATGCAGCAGCCACTTTCAGAAATCGTTCCAATGTCTCGAAACAAGCTTACACCATATAGGCTGTGATCATAATGCGATTGGTCATTCTAGGTCTGTTCTTCCACTACAGAATAACGAATCCTGTCGACAGTGCTTTCGGTCTCTGGCTCACTTCTGTCATTTGTGAGATCTGGTTTGCCTTCTCTTGGGTATTGGATCAGTTCCCCAAGTGGTCTCCCATCAACAGAGTCACATACCTGGACACCTTATCTGCAAGGTACTAAAATTAGTGATCCCTTCCAAGCTTAAGTATGTAGTCCGGATTTATATTCTCAACTCCACCATTCAATCCCAGGTTTGAAAGGCCCGGTGAACCATGTGAGCTTGCTCCTGTGGACTTCTTTGTGAGCACAGTCGATCCATTGAAAGAACCGCCGTTGATTACTGCCAACACGGTGCTTTCCATCCTGGCTTTGGACTACCCCGTGGAAAAGGTGTCCTGCTATGTGTCTGATGATGGTGCTGCCATGCTCTCGTTTGAATCTCTGGCTGAAACTGCTGAGTTTGCAAGGAAGTGGGTTCCTTTCTGCAAAAAATATTCGATTGAACCAAGGGCGCCTGAGTTTTAGGAAAAAATCCCAAAATACTCTAATTATTAAAAAAAATTCCCAAAATACAGTACTTATAAAATTATTTCCCAAAATACAGCAGTTTGAACATCACCGCTGCAAACCAAGACAGTGATCGCAACCACCGTTTTTGACCAAAACGGTGATAGCATCATCGCTTTGGACCAAAACAGTGATGCTATCACTGTCTTGGACAAAAGCGATGATGGTATCACCGTTTTTGACCAAAACGGTGATTGCATCACTGTCTTGGTTTAAAGCGATGATAGCATCATCGCTTTCTACCAAAACGGTGATGCGATCACCGTTTTGGTTAAAAACGGTGATACTCGACCTTATCATCGCTGATGTGTAAAGCGATCATATCATCGCCATTGACCAAAACGGTGATAATTGACACGTTTTAGCGCCCTGGTAGGTGGAAATTAGGTCACAGCTACCAAGCAATCACCGCTGAGGACAATGGCGGTGAACACATCACTGTTTTTGTCCAAAGCGGTGATTGCTAAATTTTTTTTCTATAAATACTTACCTCCACTTCCCCTATTGCTACCTTACAGAAAATTAGTACAAAAATTAGTGTTTTATTAGTCGTTTTCTCAGCTGGTTTGGAGTTGGTTTACTGCTCAAGAAACTCGTCGGGATTCGGTATGTTATAATTATGTAATGTTTACATGTTGATGTGTTAGTAATTTATATGTCTGTATTTAGTGAATTGCGGTTATTGGAAAATATGTTATGATATATTTAGATTAATTATGATATGATAGATGTTAGTTAATTAGTTATGAATTTAGATGAATTTGTTTAGTTTTCTCATGATAGATCGGGAGTCGGTATGTTATAATTATGTATTGTTTACATGTTGATGTGTTAGTAATTATATGTCTGTATTTAGTAAATTGCGGTTATTGGAAAATATATTATGATATATTTCGATTAATTATGATATGATAGATGTTAGTTAATTAGTTATGAATTTAGATGAATTTCTTTAGTTTTCTCATGATAGATCAATTACATCCGTTTGTTTATGGGTTTGGATGATATTGTTATTGTATCCCTAATGTACTAATTATATACTATACTTAATTATTATAAATTGCAGACATATTTAAATTTAAGAAGTTTCGGCTTATTATTCGGTGGAATGGTCGGGTGACAAACTCGAACATTAGCATCGACTATGAAAATGGCGAATCCACTATGCTAAAAATTGAGTCGAGATTCTCGTGGCAAGAACTCCATGACATTTGTGCAGAAAGGACTTGTACGGGCGGGCAAAGGAGAGTTGGTCAAATTGCCTACCGCTATCCAAACATGAGTGCTGGCGGAGTCATGTACGAAAAAGTTGTCATAAATGATGATGACTCGGTGAACATGATGATACAGTTCTTATCTGACAACGGGTTGCGGCTTGCAGAGGTGTATGTCGAGACCGAGCCGGTCGGTGAAACTCATTCTCACCAGTATTCTTGTGATGATGGTTTTGCAGGAGGGTATGGCTGGGGTGGTAGTTCAAGTAACTACGGAGGAGGTACTTCTGCAGGAGGGTATGGCTGGGGTGGTACTTCAAGCAACTACGGAGGAGGTAGTTATGAAGGAGGTGTTGGGTGGGAAGAATACCCGCAACATGGTGAGACTGCCGTCAATATCGTTCAGCCCGACGGTGATCAATGGCCTGCTTGGGGTCCAGAGTGGGCTGACATTGAGAACAACCTTCGATCTGGGCGTTCTTCGCATGACCAACAATACGATGTTGGTTATGCTGGTAACGATGACCATCCTGAGTCGAGCTATCCATTCGCCTCTAGTGACGATGAAAGTGAGGAAGATTTGAGATCAGTCAGTGAGGAGGAAGATACGGACGATATCGACGATATCGATGACAGAGAGGTGGCGTTCCGTCAGGCACCAACGCCTTACTACACAGAGGTTCCTGATCAATTTTTATATGGTCAGAACGATGCCCCTGACTATCGGCCCATGCCGGTGTATAATCCGACTGCTCCTTTGGAAGTGGGTATGGCGTTCACTTCGAAAGCCGATGTGCAAGATGCTTTTAGCGAAGAAGCCATGCGCCGTAACTTCGAATGGAAGGTAAAATATTCTGACACCAAACAATTGCATGTCATTTGTAAGAATGCTGGAGAGGGTTGTGAGTGGCAACTTCGGGCTGCATATATGAAGAGAAAGGGCGTCTGGGTCATGCGAACAGTAGAGAACAACCACAGATGCTCCTCAACCATACTTTCACAGGATCACCGGCAACTGAAAGCAAAAAAGGTGGCGAGAACCATTAAGCACCTAATCGAGGCACAACCGGATATCAAGATAAAAGCTATTATGGCCGAGGTGAAGGATCGACATTCCTACACCATAAGGTATAAGAAGGCGTGGCATGGGAAGCAGAACGCCATGGCTGAGGTCTACGGTGATTGGGATGACTCGTATGCTTTACTCCCTCGACTAATGTCCGCAATGGAGGAGTCCAACCCTGGGACGGTTTTCGTGCCGTGGTACAACAACGTGCAAACTGAAGATCAAGTTCGAGTACAGAACGAGTTGATGTTCAATCGTCTGTTCTGGACATTCAAGCCATGCATTGACGGGTTTCCCTTCTGCATGCCAGTGATTCAGGTATATTACGGACTCAAAAGGTCGTCCTAGTTCATTACCTTACTAAGTTAAATTTTTACTAACTAATTATTCATTTTTAACAGGTTGATGGAACTTTCTTTACTGGGAAGTATAAAGGAACTCTTCTCATTGCAATTGGGGTTGATGGAAATTTAAGTATCTTCCCCTTAGCATTTGCATTAGTTGAAGGGGAGAACAACTTAAGTTGGGCATGGTTTTTTGACCAGCTACACGCCCACGTCACACAAAGAATGAGTATTACAATTATATCGGATCGACATGCCGGGATTAAACACGCCGTCAATGGTTTTCCCGACGAATGGGGATGGACATGGCGCTGGTGTATTCGTCACTTCCTTGCCAATTTCCAACACAAATTTGGTAAGAAGAAAGACATAAGAGATCAATTGTGGAGTGCAGGTAGTAATGTAGTTCAGTCGATTCTTCATGGTTTATTGTTGAAATGAAATTTCTTATGGCTTAATTATTTATTCTCCGGTCTTGTAGCGGTTGCACATCAACCAAAGAAGTACGAGCAGAAGATGAAGACGATCCGTCAGATACACCGGGCGGGAGCAATATGGGCAGAAGGTCAAGATCTGCACATGTGGACATTTCACATGGACAACGGGGCTAGATTCGGCATTACAACTACCAAACATGGCGAGACAATAAATGGATTCTACAAGGGCATTAGGGCAATGCCTGTATCTGTCCTAGTGGAGATGACATACTGGAAGGTAAACGAGTGGTTTGTGAAGAGACGGGATCGTGCTATAGGGAGGGAGCGTGCTGGTCATTCAATAGCACATCATATATTTGATGGCATGCAGAAGATCGAGGAGAAATCAAGTAAGCACAGAGTTGTTCTGTTCAACCGCAATGAAGGTATTTTTGCTGTGCAAACAGGTATATGGGGTGGAGGAAGACGTGGTCATAATCGTCAATCCGTTACTCTGCACGTAGAAACTTGCACCAGAGAGTGTACATGCCAAAAGTATCAAAACAGAAGAGTACCTTGTTCACATGCAATGGCAGTAGCTAAGTCGATAACCCTCAGCGCTTACAGTTTGGTTAGTCCTTACTACACGGTACAGGCGATCAGGAACTCCTACTCGTCAAGTTTCAGCCCCCTGCCGGATGAAGCTTATTGGCCTGTAGACAATGGGAAGTTGATTATACCACCGTTGCACTTAAAGCGCACCAAAGGTCGTCCTAGGACCGAAAGGATTCACAATGAAATGGATCAATCACAACGTGCCCGACGAGGTCCAAAGCGTTGCTCAAAGTGCAGACAACCGGGTCATGACAAGAGGCGTTGTCCAGGTCCACCTCTAGAGCAAGATTCGGGGCCAAGTACAAACCAACCTTGAGTACTCTTTTGTTCACTTCCTTTTCATTTTCGTTGTTGTGATGTTTAAGTTGGACGTCTTGTTTTAATCTTGTTGAGTGATTGTAATGAATGGTGTCTGTTGTTTACTTTGGTACAACATGGGGGAAAATCAACACAATCCCAAACTAAATTAAGACGACATAGATAGTTCATGGAAAACAACACAATCCCAAACCAAATTACGACGACATAGATAGTTCATGGAAAAACAACACAAGACCAAACATAATTAAGACGACATAGATAGTTCATGGAAAAACAACACAAGACCAAACATAATTAAGACGACATAGATAGTTCACTGGTTCTCTTCATTTCCCTCTTCCTCCACTTCCCCTTCTCTTCCTCTTCCTCCACGACCTCCTCGACCCCTTCTTCCGCCTTCTCTACCTCCTCCTTCTTCACGAGCCCGCTGGACAACTCCTCGCGGATTCCTCTTAACCCGACCACCCACCGGAGTGTAGACAGGTGGTGGGGGTTGATATGGCTGAGATGAACCAGAAGCGTGGTGGAAAGTCGATGATGTGTGTTGTTGAAGCGGGGTCTGATACTGAGCAGTTTGTTGCTGATGGTGGAAGTGAGGGGTGCCTTGGGCGAACATGTCATGTTCCTGAGTCGGGGCATAGCTTGACGACCCTCCGGTGCCCTCAGTACTAGTTGCCCAATCACAATGTGGCCATGGTTCAGGAAGTTGAGTTTGTTGAGACGGACGAAGCTCTTCAATGTTTTCTCTCACCCTTCTTCTGCTCCTCCGTGGGGGCTCTTGTGGGGGCACGATCCTCTAATCAGCACGGAATGACGGTCGGGGCGGTGGAGGCATTGGAGGGTATAATACGACATCCCTCCTTTGCTCTCGGGTACAACAGAGCAGGTTGTTGAAAAGCCTGCGCAAAAAAAAAAAGTCTTCCGCTCATCCATGGTGGGTGCACTCTCGACAGTGTGCTTGGCATATGTTGATGTAGAATTCATGCTTCTTTTGTCAATCCTTTTTGGTGTGGCGTAGGTCAATGGCGTGGAGCTCCCTGAACCCTTGAGGTGGGGATGCTGAAATTGGTTGCTCCAATCGATATTGCCTCAAAGATCGATCGGGCAGGTGCCATTCCACCATGTGGAAGCAGATTAAGGGCACCTTGCACAACCATGTCTCTTCATCCTCGGGATGTCTAAGACGATGCAACTCAACCACTTCATTTGGATATGGATCCCATACCGCCTACAATCATTATAGTTCATGGAATTAGTACAAATTATATCCACTCCACCTAAAAAATTGAAAATGATGAAATCTAAGTATTTTTACCTGGTTCCACCAAGGCTTATCGAATTCAGCACGATAAAACAGCAAAGAGTGTTCGGGCTGGTGGTCGTTTGTATTTGCTTTGATCCACCTAATTAAGCAAAAGTACGTATATAAGCAATTTTTATGGCATAGATGTTTACTTGTTAAGTATGATTGTATGGAAGCATCTAAATTGAACTAAAATTCCTTACTTGGCAATAATCTAAATTAGCTAAATACGATTTGGTTAGAAAAATTCTAAATTTGCTAACTTGGAAGATATCTAACTTCACTAAAATACTATAATTGCATACCTAAAATGTCACTTAATTTGCTTACTTGAAAGATATCTAAGTTCACTAAAATTCACTAAATTCGCTTACTTGGAATAGATCTAAATTCACTAAAATTCAATAAATTCGCTTACTTGGAATAGATCTAAATTCACTAAAATACTACCATTGCATATCTAAAATAAATTAAACTTAAATTAAACTTACTTGAAACCATATGGGGGATTTGCTACAAATCGTAGCTCATCATCTGGCAACCAGAATTCCCGAGGGTCTCGAGGTGCTAAAAACGGAAGATGCTCCCATGCCTAGAGTTGGAGTATGAACATCGCACCACCAACTTGTTTTGCTCCCAACCTCGAGCAAGTACACAACTCTCGGTAGATCCCAGCCAAGACGGCCGACCCCCAACTTTTTTTCCCGATCTCGTCCCAGTCACCGAGGAGCATATTTAACCACATGCCTTGTATCCACCGGTTTGACTTGTCGGGGAACAGAAACCCACCAACCAAACCAATTAGGTAGACACGTGCATACCGCTCCACCTGATCTTCAGGAGTGTCGGGGCCTATATTAACCTCCATTTGGATGTGGTCAACAAGCCACGGGACCGATACTTGCCCCGCATTCAGTGGTGGATGCCCAACCCCGTCGACGGGCGTGGTGGTCGGCATGTTGAACCCCAAACGCTCTAGAATCAACGGCCCCCAACCATCTTCCGGTTTTTTCGAGCTGTCGATGATGGCATCTCCGGGATCGGGAGCCCGGTGAGGATGGCAACATCTTTGAGGGTGATCGTCATTTCACCCTCGGGAAAGTGGAAGGTATGCAGCTCGGGGCGCCATCGCTCTGCCATTGCCGTCAGCAGATCGTTGTCAATATCAAGCCTCGTAAAGTGCCTCAGCATGTGCAATCCCGTCCTCTCTATATAGGGCTGCAGTCGATCATGCCAACGGGGCAATCGACATGTCCCTCGATGAGCGATGGGAATAAGTGATTCCTACAAAACAAAAAACACAATATTATCAGTCAATAGAAAGCAAAATAAAAACTTTAAAACTATTGAAATAAATTTAGTGTGTCTACCGGATTATTGTTCCAAATTGAACGGGAGCGATGTTGATCTTGCCCGGTTAAATACCTTCGATCCCTTAGGTCATGATCGATATACAATCGAGGGTCGTATATCTCAGCACCCATCTATAAAAAAATATAAAATCAAATCAATTTAAATTTTAGCACCCATGTAAAAAAAATCACAAAAGAATAAAATTAATTTACGTACTCTCAAAGCCTCTTTGTCCATTTTTTGCCGAAAAGCTAGCGAGAGTATCGACAAAACAAAAACTCTAGTAATTCTTTCTGATGCGGAAGATCGGACTTAGCCGCAACCACAGAGCATACTTAGAACGAAACTAGAGGAAAGTAAATGAGGGAGAAAGAAGTATAAGATTTTGGTGTGGTTTGGAATGAGGGGGGGAGTGGTATTTATAGGGGGGAGAGGCGCTGGAAATTTTACCAGGAACCAATCACCGCGTCTGACGAAGGCAGTGAAGTCACCGCCTTAAAGGAACGCGGTGAAGGCGTGGATAGGTGACGTGGCACGGTGTGAGGCGTCGGATCGTGGAGAAAAACCACAATCCGCGCCTCACTGCATCTAACGGCGGCGGTGAAGGCGCGGGTGGCGCGGATCGATGACGTGGAAAGCGGGGCTATCACAGCTTTAGTCATCAGCGGTGAAGTGCCTGCGCGTCCACGTCAGCAATCCGCGCCACTTCACCGCTTTTTATTTCAACGGTGAAGATCTTCATCGCGTCAGAAATCGACGGTCAATTATTCCCCGTCATAGTCCAAGGCGATGATGCCATCACTGTTGTTGTCCACAGCGATAATGCTATCACCGTTTTGGACAAAAACGGTGATAGCATCATCGCTTTGGACTAAAACAGTGATGCTATCACCGTTTTGGTCAAAAACGGTGATTGCCATCACTGTTTTGGTTTGCAGCGGTGATAACCAAACTGTTGTATTTTGGGAAATATTTTCATAAGTACTGTATTTTGGGATTTTTTTTTAATAATTAGAGTATTTTGGGATTTTTTCGTGAGTTTTACTTCTCCCAGAAGATTGATTACTTGAAAGACAAGGTTCAGCCTTCTTTTGTGAAAGAACGTAGAGCTATGAAGGTAAGGAACCTAGAAATAACTCGTGAACTTGTTGATCATTCTATCAGTCATTTCAATTGTTGAAACTTGGTTGTCTTTTGCAGAGGGACTATGAAGAGTACAAAATCAGAGTGAATGCAATGGTAGCCAGGGCTCAGAAAACACTTGAAGAAGGTTGGACTATGCAAATTATGGGAAGATTTTAAGTGGAAGATTTTGTATTGTTGTCAAATTATGGGATAAAATCTTCAGTGATTTGATTTCTACTAACCATTATTTAAATTCGATTTTTTAAGAATGAGAAGTGAATCGAGTTCTTATGAATGAGAAGTGAATCAAAGAAAAGTACGATGAATTATACGTACATTCATATATGTGATTACATAATTCAATGTGTGTCTGTGTTCATTTGAACTGGTATGAAGTGGATACCCGCAAAAACCCATAAATACGCTCAATGTAAGATTTGGTTGTACAAAAGCGGTGTAATAGAGTTCGAGACATGTGGATTCTTTCCATTAACTGATAAAATTAAGGGGGAAGAAGCATGTAGCAACTAATTAAATCCGTTCTTCCTGGCTTTTTGCCTCCCTTCACGAAAAAAAAAAAAAAAAAAATTAAATCCGTTCTTTAAATACCTAGCCTTGGATCACAGACCACACCACCTCACTGGCTGAACTTTTGACTACCTGACCACCTCTTTAGTATTTCCCCAGCAAGTCCACTTTTTATACCCTCACAGCTCATCAATTTTATTCTCAAATCAAAACAAATCCTTGGGTCAAATTCATGATCCAACGAACCCTGAAATGATTAGAAATCATTAGTCAGATCAACAAAAGCCAGAACGATCTGCTAGCTAACCTGTAGCTTCTGCAAATTCTGGACTTCCCAAAGGGCAGAACAGAACAGAACAGAACGAACAATTCCCTCCTCCACCACACCTCCATTAATCTCACCTTCCTCTTCTGCAAATTTCTCCCATCCCCAGAAAAGCCTGCACAGCTCTCCACTTAGAAGCACACATACTACAAAAAGCTCACTGATTCACTCTCCCCAAGCAAATCTCCCTCACTTCCACAGTTCCACTCACTCACTCTCTCCTCACAATGTCACCACCACCACCACCACCACTTCTCTTCCTCCTCCTCTGCTCCCTCTCTGCCACCGCCTCCGCCGCCGGCAAATCCACTGCCGCCGCTCCAGTTGCCACCCCACCATCTTCCCCAGTCACCATCCCAGCTCCGTCCACTTCATCTCACTCCACGCTAGACCCAAAGCAACTCCGAGCCCTGCAGTCACTCAGCATCCCAACGGCCAAAGACCCCTGCGCTCCTCACAACGCCGCCACAACCTGCGACGCCGCCGCCCCATTTCGCCACGTCGTCTCCCTCCACCTCTCCAACTGCTCCGACGACGTCTCCCTCTCCTTCACCGCCCTCGAGTCCCTCTCCACCACCCTCCAATCCCTCTCCTTCACCAACTGCCCCATTTCCCCAATCCGCTTCCCTTCAGATCTCGCCCTCAACCTCCGCTCCTTCTCTTGTGCGCATTCTTTCAAACACCTTGCGGGCGTCTGGCTCTCCCGCTTCGCCAACCTCACCGACCTCGCCGTCACCGACGTCCCCGTCAACGCCAGCGGGCTCTACGTCGTCATCGGGAATATGCGCAAGCTTCGGTCGGTCACCATCACGAATGCGAATCTCACCGGCTCGATTCCGAAGCATTTGGTAGAGAATCTCACCCATGTGGATCTGTCGAGGAACGGGCTTAAAGGGAAGATACCCAGTTCAATTGCAGTACTCGAGAATCTAGAAAGCCTCAATCTTTCCTCCAACGCGCTCGCCGGGGAGCTGCCGGCGAACTTCGGGGATTTGATTTCGCTGAAGAATGTGTCTCTTGCGTCTAATTCGTTGTCCGGGTCGATCCCGGATTCGATTTCGGCTATACCAGGGTTGGAGCATCTCGATCTGAGTTCGAATCAGTTCAATGGCACTATCCCCAAGTTCTTCACCGAGATGAAGCATCTCAAACATTTGAATCTCGCCAACAATGCCTTCCGTGGCGTTTTGCCGTTCAATGCCTCGTTTCTCGAGAGATTGGAAGTTTTCAAAATTAAGGGTAATGACAATTTGTGCTACAACCACACGAGCTTGTCGTCCAAGTTGAAGCTGGGGATTGCTCAGTGCGACAAGCACGGATTGCCCATGTCGCCGCCGCCGTCGAAAGATTTGACCTCAGGGGATGACGGAGATTCGTCGGATTACGACGATGGAGACGACGGCGGATCGAGTAGCAAGAAAGAGGGACACCATGGGCCGAATAAGGTTTTTCTGGGGCTTGTGATTGCCCTCTCTTCCATTGTGTTCCTCATTGTTTTCCTTATTCTTATAGCGAAGAGATGCACCTGAAACCCCCAGAAAAAGGTGTTTTCACTTCTTCTTCTTCTTCTTCTTCTGTTCTTTAGAGCTGTTAGATTAGGGAAATATTGTTGATTGGATACGATGTTTTGTTCGGCTAATTTCCACTATTTGTTCATTAATGTATACCTTGAGAAAGAACAAAAGAACATGAAATGGAAGGTCTTGAAACAGAGACTGGTAATGGACGGTTCTGAAGAAACAATGGAGTATTCCTCTGTTTTCCTTTCAGAGTTATTACTCTGTTCTGTGAAGTCTCGAATGGATTGTGTCTAAAGAGTTGACTGTTGTTGATTTAGTTCAAAGAAACAATTCAGACCGTTTGCTCTCTCATGTCCAGATGTAGTTATCATGCTTATGCGAGCAATCAACACATTTACATCGTTGGATTAGCCAGCTACACTTCTTCGACCGTTGTCTCCAACATGAGCGTGTTTAGTAACATTTTCGTTAAATTATACTAAGTGGCAATCCAGATCATGATGGAGTTTGATGAGTGCAAGCAACAAAAACCAAATCGTAAGTGGCACTTCCAAGTTCCAACAACCATCGTGGTGACGATTAATGAATGTTGTTATTTTACTAAAATTAGGTTCCATCATTGTAACATACCATGTGATCCATTCTTGGGCACTTCCCAACTAGCACCAAATTCCCTGCCACCCTGTTATAGAAAATGAATATGCAGAACCTTTCAAAATGAAGGCTCTTTATGGAACAAAATCTCATAATACACATTTTATTAAAAAAAGGCAAAATACACTTGTATAACTAAAATTTTCGCGTTTGTACTAATAATAGTCAAATTTGACGAAATACCACTTATAGCCAGCTTTTAAACTTGTAGTAGAACAAATATAGTCATTTCCATTAGAAACTTTAACGGTGTTAATAACACCGTTAATAACACCGTCAACTTATTTGACGATTTGTTGACTAGATGCCAACTCAGTGGACACAACAACGCCACATAAGCAAATAGTGACACGTCAAATATTTCAATTATTTAATATTTACACATCATAAATAAAAATAAATAAAAAATTTGTTACCCTCACATAGCCATCTGCTTCGCACCATCTTACACAACTTTCCCCCAATTTCATTTTAGGGTTCTTCCCAACCGCCTACCGCCTCTCCATCTTCAACCCCGACATCAACTTCCCAGAACCCTAAATTCAAAAAGGGGGCAAAAATGGCGCCTTGTAACGAGAAGTAGGAGGAAGAAGAAGATGACGTCGTTGGTGAGAGGAGAGCTTCTACTAATCTTCGAGGAGCTTCTCCTTCGACGAGACTTCGTGTGAGTTCAGCCACGCTGGAGACGACGGGTAGCGAGAATGAGGAAGGGAAGCTGCGGCGGCAGGTCGGGGAGGGCGGCGGGAGGACGAACTCGAGTATTTAACCGACGCTAATTCTCTTCCCCAAATCCCTCGATTTCCAATTTTGGGGGCTTTTTAATTCAATTTTGTAGAGAAGAAAAAGGGAAATAAGTTAGTGTAGAGGATGCTACGGTGGTTGGCGGTGGTCGACGAGAAGACAGAGTGGCGGTAGCGTCGCAGCGGTGGATTGTCGGCGGAGAGAATATTGCGGTAGGGAGATTTGCGACGATGGAGGAGGATAGCAGAGGGATTTGGAGATTTTTTGTTTGTTTTCCACAGTGTAGGTGCTTTGGATTTCCGAAAGAAATAAAAGGTGTTTCTTTTTTGTTCATTAATTTAATAATAGTAAGAAAAGTCAATTTCCATATGATTTTGGACAAAAAAATGCTCATGTGGCTGGCCACGTAAGTCTCGCCGTTTGCCAAGTCACACTTAACGTTAACAGCGTTAAAGAATTGGACAGAAGTGGCTATAAGTGGTATTTCGCCAAATTTGACTATTATTGGCACAAACCCGAAAGTTTAGGCTATACAAGTGTATTTTGCCAATTATATATTAGTTATAAAAAGAATTCTCAAAGTAGGTGTGTTTGATACTTCCCCGCCGCTGTTGTTTAAAGCAGAGAAGCAATCACTACTTTTATGTAAGGCCGTGTTTATCACAAGCGGAGAAAAAATCACCGTCTTTCTCAACAACGGGGAGCACTTCACCGCTTTTGTTTAAAGCAGTGAATCCTTGATCCGTGCTTCCCTACATCCGACGGCCACAATGAAGGGGAGGGGGCGCAGATTGCTGACTTGGAAAAACAAGGGGTATTCCCGCTGCCATTCGATGCATGGAGGCGCGGATTCTGGTTTTCCTCCACAGATCCGACGCCTCCGAAGGCGCCACGTCATCAATCCAGTCCATTCCCCGTCCTCGAGAAACGCGGGGAGCTTCCCTGCATTAAACAAAGGCGGGGGAACTCTCCGCCACTTCCCAACGCAGAACTTTCCCTATAAATACCACTCCCCTTCCCATTTCCAAACCACACCACAACCCATTTCATTCTTTCCCCCTCCATTTCCTCACTCTAGTTTCGTTCTAAGTATTCTGTGTGGTTGCGGCTAAGTCCGATCTTCCACATTAGAAAGAATTACTAGAGTTATACCACAAAGCCCTCTCCTCTAAAAGCCCGTCGAAGCTATGCCCGCCTTGCGCCAAAAAATGGACGAAGAGACTCTTAGAGTACATACTTGTTTTCGCTTTTGTGAATATATTTTTTATACACGATGGGTGCCGAGATATACGATCCTCGATTGTATATCGATCTTGGACCATGGGGCAGACTCAGCACGTTGCGGGTATTCTTTCCATGCACCCCTCCTGCATAACTACCTCCGCCGTAGTTGCTTGAACTACCACCTCGTCCGTACCCTCCTACAAAACCATCATCATACTGGTGAGAATGGGTTTCACCAACCGGCTCGGTCTCAAGATACACCGCTGCAAATTCATCTTAATTCATAACTAACTAATATTGATCATAGCATAATTAATCTAAATATCTCGACCTACATATATTTGTCACTTGCAATAATTCAGTAAATAAATACATATAACTACTAAAACATCAAAATTTGAACAATACAAATTATATCATACCTAAAAATCTGTAACTATAGTTGCCGGAAGCGGGCTCAGAAGAAGGGGTTTTTTTGCATAAATTTGACAGAAATGGGGTAAGGCTACGAAATGGTTTATTTCAGTAACCGCTACGTCGAGGGGTATATATTTGACAAATAGAGGACATTCACCGCTTTGGACTAACGCAGTGAAGTCATTCCCCGCTTTTGTCCAAAGCGGTGATGGTGGGTGGTTGTGACCTAATTTCCACCTACCACGGGCGGGAAACGTGGGAATCGTTCACCCCTTTAACCTAGAGTGGTAAAGACTTCCCCGCTTTTCACTCAAGCGGTGAAAATGTCCCCATTCTCGACAAAAGCGGTGATGATTTCACTGTTTTTTACTAAGGCGGGGATTTATCGGGTTGATTTTCCCCGCTTTCCTCTGATGCGGTTAAGCCCTTCACTGCGTTTGACAACATCAGGGAATTACAAATTCGGGAAATTTTTATATAACTAATATATTTTGAGAATTTTTTCTAATAATATATATATTCTGGGATTTTTTCCACTCTTTATGTGTTCATTGTTCGAAACATGGTTTGATTGCTCTCATCTGCAATTCTGAGCCTGGATGCTTCTTTAGACCATGTCGACCAGTCTTCACTTTCACATTCTGCAACTCGCTCTGCTAATTTCACAGCATGGTGAATCCTACATCCGCATAGCAAAAGATCAATAGACGACTCTGTTTCAGTTGAAATCTTTTCTGAATGCAAAAGTTACTTCTTTTCGCATCCCTTTCGTTCTTTTCCATTGTCAAAATCAGTGAAAACCCATAGCGCACCATCCAAGATTACTTTAAGATCTGTAATTTTCGGATGTCTGCAGCAAAGGCCAAGAGTAAGGAAAAGGGAAAGCAGGGGAAGACGAAAGGGAAGCAAGGAGTGGAGGAGAACCAGGTGTCACAGAATCAAAGTAACTACCATTCTTGGACTGAGATCATAATTTGACAACCTGTTCTCTATCCCTAATTCAAAATCTCGTCTCAACCAACATTCAAACCATACCCAAGTCTCAGAAAGCACATACAACTATCCAAAATCTGATTGCATCAAGGGAAAAAACAACTTAAGCTCCGATGTTCTGGGCCTTGTTGAGAATGACTCCTTCGTACTTGACTTGGAACCATTTCATGGCGTCTTCCTTTGTAACTCTGTGTTGAATCCCAACACGTGCCTTGCACCTGCGGCGACGAGCCACTCTGTATCCCGGGCGCTCAAGAACGACAAAGAAGTCCATACCATAGATACCAGTTGAAGGATCATATCTGCAAGTAATATAATGAACACTATCAATAACGACAAGCTAAATCTAATTAGCGGGAACACCTTAAACAAGGAAAGTTGCACTCAAATCCTAATTAGTAGGAATCCAACGCAAATCCTAAAAGGAAAGTTGCAAATCAAATATTGCACTCAAGTGTATGATTTTACACAGCTTGTCCATTTAACACCCTATATTCAAATTAGATTTCTCGTCTATATCATGCAATTTCAAAAGTGGGTTAGTAGCAGGCTGACAGCCTGCTATTCCTATGTCTACAAACTTAAGATTTGCTCCATGAAACCTACTCAATAACAATGCATCTACAGCTTGATTGGTTCTCAGTTCTCACAGTCAACATTCACAACCCTTAACTTTTCTAAGACAATGGTGAGAAACAGGCCAAGTAAGATTAGAAGTTAGAGACTCACTTGATGCCAAGATCAATATGCTCCTGGATACCAAAACCAAAGCATCCGGTGTCGCTGAAGTTCCTCCTCAGAAGCTCATACTCCTTCACCTTCAGACCGCTCTCCAACAGCTGCATTGCCTTGTCACCCCTCACGGTCACATAGCAAGCGATTTTCTCATTACGCCTGATACCAAACGACCTAACGGTATACCTAGCTGCAAAAAAACCCAATTCGTACTACCTCCCATTAAAACCCCTCCACAACAAAGACAACTCCTAATCATATTGCTATCAAAATCGTAACTTCAAGCATACCCTTGGAGTAAACAGGGGTTTGGCCGCTGAGTTGCTCCAGCACCTGCGAGTAAAATCAGTGAATAGTGAATACATATTATGATTAAAGCAGGAACAGAAAAAGAAACAGCTATGAATCTCGAGCAAACGAAAACGGGCAGAGAGAAAGCAAACCTTGGCGGCACGGGTGAGACGATCGCCACTTTCTCCAACGGAGATGTTGAGAACCAATTTCTGGACTTTGATTTCCCTCATAGGGTTGGAAAGCTTCTTGTCATCAACCTAAGGTGACCAAGCATTGCGAACACAGAGAATCAGAATAATACCGCATATACATGTAAAGAGATACCAATCAAGCTCGAGAAACAGACGGAGAGCGATACCATTTTGGCGGCGATGAGATTACGAGGAATGCAGAACAAGGAAGGAAGGAAGAGAAGAATGTGATGCCTCTTTGCCGCCGATACCCAGAGAACTGAGCAGTTGAAAAGGAGTTATACGAAAATGGGGGTGACTAGGGTTAGGGTTTACATTGTGGGCCGGCCCAGCAGTGAACTTTGAAAGTGGGCCAAAAAGCCTGCAAAAAAGAAAAAATTATTTTCCGTTGCCGGGACTTGAACCCGGGTCTTTCGGGTGAGAGCCGAATATCCTGACCAACTAGACTACAACGGATTGTTGATGAGTATGCTAAATAGTCCTTTTTAATTTTTAATAGCCACAATCACTTGCTATGCCAATTTCAGTAAAACGATCCTGGGAAATAACAGAGAAGAGAAGTGAAGAAAACCGAACTAGCATTCATCTATAACCAAACTTATATATACCAACTATTCTGTAGTTCTGATATTGCTTGTCTATCTGAGCTTCCAGCCTTCCACTATCCATGCGTTAAATAACAAAGCAAAGGAAAAGAACCAAAACAGGTTCAGGTTCTTCCAGTACTCTATGCTGCCGTATGTAACAAAAAAACAAACTACCAAACTGTAAGTGTTGTTGCCAAGGCTATACACAAATTTCCCCTCTTAGGAGACCAAAAGAAAGATCCATTCCTGAGCTCTTCCCAGCCTCGCGCCAACGGAAGAAAGAATGCCAACAGTTGGGTAGCAGCAACAGCATGGTTCATAACATATTTAGATGAAAGAACCATAGCAGGGCGACGGCGATCATGAAGCACGTCATCAGGAAGTTGCAGAAAGGTTGTCCACTCCCACACCTTCCGCCGCCACCTCTCTCCGACGAGCCTCCGTGCAATCTGCTGTCCCCTACTAGTCCTGTTATGTTCTTCGCCGTCTCCCCACAAATTTCACACACCCTGCAAGTACGAGAACACGAATTGGAGTTCGTATTGTGGCATCATGATATCTCCCACTAGTCACTGTCAATGCAGCTTTTAAGTTCACAGCCTCCTGACTAGAAATTCTACGTTCAGATATACCAAGAGATGATGAACTCAAATTCAGTAAGAACAATGGCAGAAAACAGCAATACCGATAGATAAACCCGAAGAACACTTGGTATCCTGAACATTTTGCTTAACTCCAATTCTATACAACTTGGGATGATTGAAAATCACTAGTCAGAATTTGCAGCTTGGAAGATCAACAAGATGTCTCCTTTACTCAAAACACTTCCTGGGTTCGAACAATACATGAGACCCTAAATCTAGACAAGAGAGGAGAATCTGTTTACCTGTTTCCTTTGAGCCTGAACCAGGCTTCGGCGCAGTGAGAATGCGAAACACCGAGCTCACCTTTACATCCACAACCAAGCTGAATGAGCTCCATGGAAGTCACAATAACGCCCGGCCCAGCAGTGGCAACTTCAAGTGACCCATCAGAACTCAAATGACAAATCCTGCAAACCTTCTCCCCATCATCACAGCTATCCTTTAAATTCCCAACATCGCACTTGACATCAATCACGCATGCTGTCTTCTTCTCCCCCTTTGGCAGTAACTCCTTCAAATCACCCGCCGATGACGATGCTGCCTTGTTGCTCTTGACAACCAAGCTTTCCTGATTAGCAGAGCTTCCCATGGAAATTGCCGTCTCGGGCACAACTCTGTCTCCGTCCGCATTGTGATTCCCGCGGCTTCGTTGCCCGCCTGTATCCAATGCCTCATTGTATCCTTGCCCACCGCCTGTTTGCTGGTTTGTCGCAACCACAGTGAGCCGCAATTCGTCTTCGAAATTCTTGTTTTCTCTACTGACACTCGCCGACTGGCTAGAATCTACGGCGGCCGAGCTATGGAGCTCGATGAACAGAACAGAATCAGTCAAATCCCGACTTATCCCCTTACCAATCAATGCCTTCCCCGATTCTGATGATTCCTTACCCATCTCCAAAGCAACCCCATTCTCAGAATTTGGACCAGTTCCTCCATTCATTCGACCCATTTCTACTATCTTTTTTACCCCGTCTCCTAACAAACCTACCGGAAGAGAAAGCTGAACCAGAAAATGGTTTTTTTTTTTTTTTTTACTTCCCTTCACGGAAGAAACCCCACGTCTGCGAGGAATTCGCCGGCGCCTTGGTCGTCGTCATCCAGCTAATCTTGTCACAAGCAACTGAATCCCAATAACAATGGAAAAGGATAAGAGAGGAGGGAATTCCCGCGAAAGAAACGGAGAATGCAGGGGAGGGCCAAGTCTGGTTTTCGGTTTCGTCGTTACTTTACCTACTCCGTATCAAACTCCAACAAATAAAAGCGCTTTCCTTTTTCAGCTTTTATTTGCTTCTCTGGACGAAGAAAGAATCTGGTTGTTTACTAGAGAGAGACCATCTTTCTTCTCAGAATAGTTCCTCCGCTGATGGCCACGAGTATGTTTTAAAAAAATCAGCTAAAAACTGGATTATTTCTCTAAATACAGTAATAATTAAAAATAATTTCCAGAATACATAACGTTTATAAAATTTTTCCAAACTATCAAAGTTTGACACGATTCGAGTTCAATAAACTCGAACTAGTATTGGATCGACTGCCAAGCCATCGATCCACATGCATCGAGCGAAACGATCACAATTGGCTGACACAGGACGACGCCGATCGAGGTTATTAAACTCAACTTGCGTAGATCGAATACAGAAGACTCGAACAGGCTGACATGGATCGATGACATAGGCAGCGCTCCACCCTAGATCGAGTTACATGGAAACGATCTCCACCGTTCGATGGCCATATATCCGCGATGAAGTGGTGACGCGGATCGAGTGGGCTGAACTCGATGTAAGTGGATCAAGTCCTTGGAAATCGATCTGCTAGACTCGGATCGATGACGTCAGACACGCTCTAACGTAGATCGAGTACCTAAAACTCGATCTGTGCCATTCGATCTACCTTCCCTCGATATACTTTTGACGCGGATCGACTGCTCTAAACTCTATGCACTGGTTAGAGTGACATAAACTCGATCACTCCCACAGAACCTATAAATACCTCCCTTCCATTCCACCAAAACTCACACCACTCCATTCTTCTTCCTCTCTTCCTCCCACCACTCTTGAAGGAAAAAATATGCTTTGTGGTTGCGGCTAAGCCCGATCTTCCGTATCAATTTTTTTTTCTCTTTAGTTTGGTACTTCTATCACTCAAAATTGCCGATATGGATCCGAGTATTTACGATCCTAGATTATACACTCAAGGCGGACCGCGAGAAACCAATTTGTTGGATGAGCAATCTTACCATCGGTCTGAAAGTGTTTGGGCGGCAGATCCGGTAAGCATTTCCTCATGTACTTTTCTTTTTTTAAATGTGATAGTATTCTTCTATTTTTTTTGTATAATAATTAAAGTTTTGTTTCTACAGGAACAACTTGACGTAATCACCCATCGATCGGTATCTCGCTTTCCTAAATGGGATGATCGGATCGAATCCTTCATTGAAAGAGCGCTATTGTTGAGGGTGCGAAAGTTTGTGGGGATGGAGATGGACAACAACCTTCTTACGACAATGGTGGAAAGATTGAGAAAAGAAACACACACATTCTACCTTTTGGAGGGAGAGATGACGATTACGTTGAAGGACGTGACCATGCTGACAGAGCTTCCAATCGATGGTGATGCCATAATTGAAAGTTAACATAAACCATTGAATGGTTGGGGCCAATTTATAAGCGAGCGTTTAGGCATCAACATCCCCGAGGAAGCACCACAAGGTCGTCGTATACCACCTCTACACAAGTCTATGCTATTGATACCTTGGATAGTGAGGACCGCTGGAGAATTACCAGAGGATGCTTGTCACCGTACGAAAGAAGGTATGCAAGACTGTAGATGATATAGGCATTGCACGAAGACCAACATACAAACCATTGAGGCACTCACTCATGTTCGTTGTTTTTATGCCATACCTATACCCTTCGTCTTGATGTAACGTTCACCTCTCAAAAGGATGAGTTTCTAGCCAATCTGCACCTTCAGAGTGGACCTCCCTTATGTTCTTTATTTTGTCTACAAATTTTCGAGTCTGAAAAGCAATAGCTACAATAAAGGAAAATAAGGTTAGTAAAGGAGTAGAAGCATTCAACCAATTGAGTTAATCACAACATCTTATTTGTTCTTACCAGCGTGCCAAACTGCACGTTGTCCATAAGTTCTACCAAAGTGCTACCCGTAATTGCTTTTGAAATGTCGTATGCACCAGCGCCACTTCCACCCTAACTCCTTGGGCAAGTCGTAGAAAGCATGTGCAATTACATGGTGTCGATTAGAAAGTATGGCAATGTCCTTCCGTTGAGTGACACGAGTGTATAGTTGGGGAAAAAAGGATGCCCAATTCTAAGTTGTTCTCCGATTGGACTATAGCAAAAGCAAGCGGGAAAAGTTGCATACTGCCATCAACACTAGTGGCAACGAGTAGAGTGCCCTTGTATTTGTCGGTCAGAAAGGTGCCATCAACTTGGATTATTGGCAGACAATGGGTGAAACCATCAATGCATGGTTTGAATGCCCAAAATAGTCGCTTAAACACGCGTTAGCTCCCCCATAGAAATCTTCGTAACTAAGCACAATCGAGGTGTTTGATTGTTTGTGCAACCTTCCTTGCACTCAATTGTCGGTGATCTAGAGAAATCAGCGACGACCTACAAGTGTGGTTGTGTCTGTCTTACGAATGAGCCCAACCCAATTTCTTTTAACATATGCAGCCCGAACATGCCACATGCATCCGTCGCCATGGTTCTCGCAACGAACATGAATTTGTTTAGTGTCGGAAGTGATGACACGATATTGAAAGCTTCTTCGCATAGCAGTGTCTTTCAATGCATCGACCACCTGAGGCTTTCCTCCAAATGTTTGGCCAACCACGAATCCAGAATAAGGAGTCAAGATAAGTATAGGAGGGAGGTCAGGATCGTCGTTGTGAGCATAGAGAGGATGTTGTGGCACCTTCGTGTAGTGAGGTGTGGGGGCTCAAATTCCCCCTCATCAACTTCCAGATCTTGACCATCTAAGCTACTCATTGATTCTAAATCTTCATCTTTCACGTCGCTTACCTCGCTAGTGTACGGAGGACTTGGTTTATCCACATACGGATCATTGTTGATGCCAGATGCTGGTGTAGATGCTTGTTTGGGTGCCTGTCTGGGTGCCCTTATGTAATCCCATTCTTCACCCCATACTGGCCACTCCTGTCCGTCATGCTCCACCAATAAACTAGGTGCAGTTCGATCCTCATATGTTGGCTATGGTACATCATGCAGAACTCTGAAATCTCCTGAACCGGAAATCCCTCTCGATCCTTCACCTTGTTCGGTATAACCGCCACCACCATATTGGCCAACAACTTCCGTATCGACATACACCTCAGCAATTGGAAATATGTTTTCTGCAATAAATCCCACCATCATATTAGGGGTCGTTTGCTTCAAGGATTTTACAACGAGGGTTTTGTCATGGATTTGCTAATTAAAAACCTTGGGATTTATTAGGAATTTTGGGCATTATGGATTTGAGGAAATCCTTTGTTTGTTGAGCTATTTTTATCATGGATTTGATGAATTGGAATTTATAACTGAAAAGGTTAAATTATCTTATTACCCTTGTTCAGCTACCAAAAACAGGCTCTGATATTTTTGTTTTCTTTCCTTCTTCATAAGCCCCCACGAAAGACTCTTCTTCACCATCACTTCTCCAATCGTGACGCGTCTGCAGAGGCAACCACAAGGTGCTGCTGTTTGCTTCGGACGAAGGTATGTTTGAACCATCTTCCATTTCACTTTTCCCATTTGATTCTTCATTTTGAGTTCGATTTCTCCTTTGATGGCAATGGGGATTTCAATTAGCAAATCCAGTCATCTCATGGAAAGTAAAGGGAAGATTGTGACAGTTCCCGATGCATTCTGTTATGAGGAGGAAGAGGTTCTCTGTTATTGCGGGCTGAAGGCGGCTAGAAGAATCTCTCGTACTGCTGGGAACCCTAACCGCAAGTTTTTTGGATGCCCCCTGTTCAGTCGCTCAAAGGATAACAAATCCTGTGATTACTTTGAGTGGTTTGACATTAGAGCTGCGGTATTCAAAGCAACTGCACCGCTGTCTGAAATGGTTTCGATGTTGGAATCTGAAAATAGGGAGCTACGCAGTTTGTTACAGAGGGTAATGAAAGATGGATCTGGAAAACATCAACCAAACGAGTTTGTTGTTGAGCTAGAACTCATCAAGCAGAGGATACAACGTCTAGAGTTAGAGGGTACTAGTAGGAAATGATTGGAAGTAGATCATGTTGATGTATTCCATGTTATTTTCAGTTTAGTTATGAATGTGTAAGATTAGAATGTACTGTGTTGTCAATGATGTGGCTTAGAATGGAGTTCTTTCTTGTTGTTCTGCATCACCATCAGCCTAGAGAAATGGACTAAACAGCTGCATAACTTCTCGGTTGACTGGCCTCTTGAAATCAACAGCCTGTTTTGATAAAACGAGACGAACATACTAACACTCTCAATGCTGTGCGCTGTGTAAAGCAGTGATTCACAACAGCAGCCTAAATGTAGAAGATTTTGTGATGCTGAAGACAATAAAGATCAAGTTAACTCACAACTTCTGATGGAGCAATTCATCAACATTGTTACACAATGGACCTGCAAAATACAGCCTGCTACAAAAGAGTTCAGTAGCTTGTATACTCCTACCAACTCTGGGAATACAATTCTAATCCTTGAAACATTAACAACACATGTTGGGATGTAATGAAACTTCAGCAAAATGACAGTGTGTCCACCACCAACACTTGCAACAGCCAAATCTAGGATGATCTAACCTTGCACAAAAACAATGACAAATAAGTCAACAACAATCCTAAAACAACTCTAATTGCTGCCAAAGCTTATCTGTTGCGCGCATTAGGCACCGTGTTCAGTCTAGCCATTCCTTTACATAACACAAAATGGATAATAATTAGCTATGAACAAACAACTAATGAACTGTCCACCAAGACAGAACTCACCAATCAGAAAATCATAACCTAAGAGTGCTACAAATGAACCAAAATAGCACAAAAACATAATGCTTCAGAGACAACGAAATGGGATGCTGGGAATCATCCATCTCTAGGATTGCTCGAAGAACCAGATGGAGTTTGCAAAAGAACCAGAGACCTGCTTACCTGGGTGTTAGGTCCGCCATTTAAGGTTGTCGACGGCAAAGGTTTTTGGATGCCGACGGAAGCACCTGCCCTTCGTCGGTGGCGAGCGCCAATAAAAAAGGAATCGCGCGATGCAGCAAGAGGTTCTCTGCTAATTGTCTGTCTGTTTTAGGGTTGCTGGTGCCGAGTGGGAATAGGAGAAGTCGATCAGCAAGAGGTTCTCTGATAATAATATAAAAAAGGGCAAGGTTGGAATAATGAAAAATAATGGGGATAGAGTAGTAATTTGAGAGCATGGTTTTTTAGCTTGTTTCCAAATCCCAGGGTATGAGGTGGGATTTATAAAACCGTGGGCCCCATGGATTTGGAGCAAAAAAAAAAAAATCCCAAATCCGTGGGACCCACAGATTTATCTAAACATGTTTTGACAAAACAAACAACGGATTGTGTGTAAATTCATGATGGTAGGTTATTTGGTACCAAATCCATGGTGCAAATCCTTGAAGCAAACGACCCCTTAATGTCATCATCGTCAAACAGAACTAATCCTTCATATACAAGTGCATAATCCTTGTAAACCGGCATACTGTAAATCATCGTGCATACTCTTCGCCCTCCTATACAACATCGTTCCGCACAAATGTGATTGAGTTCTTGCCAAGTAAATATGCTCTCAATCCGGGCAGTACTTGATTCACCATCTTCGTAGTCAATATTATTATGAAAATGTGTAATTCGACCATTCCACCGAATCAATAGGTCGAATTTTTGATTTTTTCTACCCATTTCTGCAGTTTATAGAAGCAGCCCATTACATATAGTTCAAACAATACTAAATTAATCCAAAATTCTAATATGCTCATTCAACAACATAAGCAGAACTTACCTCCGAAATTTTTCTTCTTTGCTCAACTATGGTGCTTCAGCTGCTGCAGTTTGTGTTTGGAAGAAAGAAGATAGAAAGTATATGAGTAGCAAGAATGTGCTGAGTGCTTGCTTTTATTATTTTCGTAAACTGATGTAGTGGGTCAAGGCCTAGGTAATCGAACTACCATAGTTCGAGTCCAAAGAACTCAATCATATACAATCAATAAAATATTATCCCTGCACCCTATTCTGAAGCATGTCGGGCCGAAAGCGACTTGGTAGAAAAATTGGGCAGTGGTTCGAGTCTAGGGCAATCGAACTAGTGTAGTTCGAGTTCAAACAACTCGATCCAATACAACAAAGAATCTTATCCCTGCAACCCTATCCTGAAGCATGTCGGGGGAAAGTGCTTTGGCGATAATTGAACAGTAGATCGAGGCCAGGCCAATCGATCCACTCTGTTCGAGTCACAAGGCATCAATCTGGTGCATATACAGATCGAGGTTTCTAAAGTCGTTTTTATTGATCGTTTTTTATGGCATCGATCAATTTAGATCGAGTTTTTAAAAATCGATATGGTTAGATCGAGTCCTTTGTCATCGATTCTGCTAGATCGAGTCATGAAAAATCGATCTACTCGTGATCGAGTTTTAAAAACTCGATTTGATTGTGGATCGAGTTCTTAATCGTCGTTCTATGATGTATTTCGAGTTTACTGAACTCGAACCGTGTCAAACTTTGATAGTTTGGAATTTTTTTGTAAAAGTTATGTATTCTGATAATTATTTTTAATTATGACTGTATTTAGGGAAATAATCCCTATAAACTATAGGGTCTCTCAATTGCACCTTCCCCCTAGCAATCCTTTGACCTGTGACCATTTTGTACACAGCAATCCGCAAGCAACAAGGATTTCTACGTCTGCAGAAAAAGTTCATTTACATCTCCATCCTGAAAAAAAGGAGGGGAAGCGAAATGCGACACCTAATCATCTTGGTCCTGAAAGCTCCATTGCTTCAATGATGAAGGAAGAAGCTTCATGGATATCACCGTGGTGCCTCAGAGAAACTGAAAGGCCTTGCCTCGTAGGGCATTCGACCCTCCAGCTTGTGGCTCCTCGACGCCTAACTGCCCCTACGAGACCTTCAAGAACCTTCAACACTTCTGACATCTTCGGCCGCAGAGCAGGGTGGGATTGAGTGCATTGCAACGCCAACTCGGTAGCCTTTTCTAACTCGGACGGATCAAAACACCCCCTTCAAATCCCTGCCTATTCGCCATCAATGCGCCACTAATACACAACAAACGAACCATAAGCTACTACAAAACCTGTTTGCTGAGCTTTTGATCACCGAAACTCTGTAATTCCCTCTTGGGGATATAAATGAAAAGAGAGGGAAATGGGGAAAGCAATCAAAAGGTGGGAGAGGAGGGATTTGATATTGTTATGATCTTTCTTCACTGCTCGACATTGACCATTACAACGACCATGACTGCTACTGCCCAACCAGATTCCAGGAAAACCAGAAAGGATTGGGAGAAGCGCGGCAGGTGAGGGCTGTCGTAAGCAGTAAAATGACATTGTTTTTTGTTGGTTGAATGCAGTTCTTTCCCGCAACATTCTAACTGCTATTTTCTGGAATCTTTTTTTTTTTTTCTTCTTCTTTTTCGAAGGAAGCATTCCACATTAGTCAAGAGACAAGGCTTAGTAATTGAAGAGAACTTCCCTCTGGAGCGCAATTGTCATCCAGCTGCTGCGTCACTATTTTGATTATTGATGAATTAATTTACCCTGATTCTTGGATTAAAGTTTAAACAATTGTGATTTTTTTAGGATGATAAGACCAGAGTATTAGCTGTTTTTAAAAAGAGCTTAAAAGAAAGTCTCCAGATTCCGGGAAATGACAGAGATGGTCTCCTTGTCTCTTCCCCCCCACTAACTTCAACCATATCAAATTCAATTGCTTACCGGCCCCCCAAGAAGATGATTGATTGATTGCTTGCTTGCTTTACGACCGCCGATTTCCGCTACACTTTGTTGAAGGAATCAACGCCCTTGAAATCCCCGCCACATGGCTGTACCGACAACAACCCCACCACTCTTCCATACCCGCCATTCCCAAAGTAGGTAACTGGAGAATGGAGATACAATGAACACTATGAACAGCTACTGAAATGGAGATACAACGAAGTAATGAACACTATGAACAGAAGAAGAAACAATAATAATAATGATTCATTACACTTTTTTTTTGCAGAAAGAGTCTGGGGACGAGACAGTGTGACAAACTGTTGCATGTTCTCAAGTCACTGAACAGAATACAAAAGAGGAGAAACAACAGTGCAGGGAAGAACCAGAAAATACCAAAACAAACGAGCACCACCCTTCTCCAACCTACCCACCAATGAACAGTACCTTCTTCTTCTTCTTCCCCCAGCTCCTTAGGGCCATCCCAAATTCAGGGGGCCTTTCTTCATCCTAGTTACAAGTACACTTTCTCAAAAGCTCATTGTTTTACCTCTGCTGCTGCTACCCATGCTATATAAAGGCTACTTTTACTATCAAACATTTACAGACAGAAAAAAATAGAACAGAACAGAGCATACAAGTAAAATGGAGATGATCGACACGGAAAGAGAAAAAACGTGGAGAAGAAGAATGAAACATTGCCAGCTTTCCTTTCATTCAGCTGTTTGTCCATTGATCCTGTTCAGGCCTAGGCGGGAGGGAGAAAGAAATGGTGCTGGGTTAGGCAGAGCTGTGAGTACCATTTGTCGAAACATTGAAGCTAACAAGCCCCCGCCGTGTTATCTCAGGGGTAACCACCGGCAGATACACTACTGAATTCATTTCACCACCCCACTCCTAACCCACATTAGGTTCCAGCCATAAAGTTTAGACCCATTTGCCTCTTGACGTGATCTGGGATCAACTTGTTAACCAGTTCAGGAGAAGCCCCATTTAGCTGTGGACACAGGAAAACAAATGATTCAATCATGAGTGCTTTGTATTCAAGGAAACAGGTAAAATGTCGGAGAACCCAAGTTGAAACTACATGTAAATCATACCTCCTGCTTAAAATTGAAGAGAGTTGGCACAGGTCGGCCATTTGGTAGGCGAACGTTAGGATCTCTAAGTTCATCAAAGAATGGATGGGCAATTGCTTCCAACTGCAGGCAGAAAAGTAAATTCTTGTTAAGGATCTATACAATGTACATACTTCAAAGTCATATGACTAAATCAAAGTGAAAAACTCACAGCTGTACAGCGAAGACTTGGCGAGTATTGCAACAGCCGAGAGGTAAGATCAATCGCCTCTGGGGGCATCCTTTTGTGGAAAACCTGAACCCAAATAGTAATTTAAAGCAATAAGATCAAAGGCTTCATGACAAAGGAGCTTTGAGTAAGTCTGAGGTAGATGCAGCACATTGCAGATGTCATAAATATAGCAAGGGAAACAACAGAACAAACCTTGTGCCAAGGGTGGGCTTTTATCTGTGGGAACCTGAAGTCCGTATAATTAGGGTTCATGCAGCGAATTTCTTCTCGAGTCGGAGTGCCCAGAACCTAGAACAGGAAAAGGCAGATGAGAAAGCTTGCTTTCAGCACTTAAGACTAGCAAATTATATCTTTAACTCGGATAATTAATAGAAAACAAGTATACCTTAATAATCTCAACAAGCTGGTCTACTGCATTTTCTCCAGGAAACAATGGCTGCAAGGGTTTTGAATAATAAGAAGATGTGAGACTAACTTTTAAATGGCAAAGTGCCAAAAGCAGCACCTTCTAGAGGGATGTATATACACATATAAGCAAGGTTTACCTGGCCAAGAAGAAGCTCAGCAAGAACACAGCCAGCTGACCAAATATCAATTGATGTAGTATACTCTGTGGCTCCAAATATAAGTTCAGGAGCTCGATAGAATCGTGAGCAGATGTAGGATATGTTTGCTTCACCTTTCACCTGAAGACATGGAATCAGATTAAAACAGAATCCAAAATGAAAACGTAAACCAAGAAACTCATGCAGAAACACTTCACAACATTAAGGATTGCAATTATAACTGAAAATTGGAAGTAAAAATAAGAAGGGAACAACATACCAGCACTTTTGCACTCCCAAAATCACAAAGCTTCACCTGGTGAGTGAGGGGATCAACCTGCAGGCAGACAATTATACACATAAGAAACTTCTACCCAATGATTTAGTGGGCATAATAAGCTACAAGAACCAAGATAGCCTAAGCAGTCAGCATACCAGAACATTTTGAGGCTTCAAATCCCTGTGGCAAACTCCACTAACATTGTGAATATATGCCAATCCTCTGAAAATCTGGAATATGTATCACGATTAACATCAGACCAATTTTTTTTTTTTTAACCAAACAACCTTAGACAGACGCGTACACACATACCTGGTATGCGTAAAGTTTGACATAAATAAGTGGCATCGCCTGTTTTGCATTGCTGTAATGCTTTAGAACCCGATACATGCTTTCAGGTACATATTCCATGACCAAGTTGAGAAACAACTCATTGTTGCTTGTTGTGGAGAAGAAGCAATGCTTCAGGGATATCACATTGACGTGATCCATCACTCGCATCAGCTGCAATTCACGGTTCTTGTATCTTCTGTCCTGTAGAACTTTCTTAATTGCCACGGTCTCCCCAGTCTCCAAGCATTTAGCCTAAACAATAACCATCAACAGTCAGCTTGTAAACCCGATGCAGACATCTCTATTCTACCACAGTTACCACTTATCTATATGTAAGCATACCTGGAAAACAATACCAAACGATCCAGTCCCCACAACGCGCTCTGCCATGTAACTGATGGTCTGTAACAACACAAACAATGGCCCAACTAGGTCAGTTCCTAAATGTTGAGGACTACAGATTCAGCAGCCCACGCAGAAATCTTCTCAAAATTACAATTACTTTACCTGCTTTGGTTCTCCATTTTTACCCCCAATTGTGGTGGAAATAATGTGCCCCGTGACTGGATCATTGCCATGGGCAGAAATCTCCTACAAAACAGTAAAGATACATCAATAAGGGGAAGCTTCCTTTAAAAGCACAAATGAATAAGCTGGTATACGAAGGTCAGTAAGCCTTCTACAAAAAGAAAGCCGAGCAGGAAGACTTCAAAAGGGGGATGGGAAAAACGGAACACAGGTAGCTTAAAGATGAATCTAGCTGAATATCTGTTCCAAGCAAGACAAATTCCATCCGGCGATCTGGAAACACAATAGACACCGGCCCGAACCCGAGAAATTGAAAAGTTCAGCTCACCGGAAAGTTAAGAGATGGGATCTCAGGCGACCAACATCAGCTGAAGGAACCTACTACCTAGAATCGGGGGGAGATTAGCCTGCTTGAAGCCAAACAGCTACCAGAAGCGAAGGAGATCTAGATCCACTAACCCCAGAAACAGTAACCACAGAAAGTTTAGGGCTTTGTTCGACCCAGGAAGCCAAAGGGCGGAGATCGCCAGAACAAATAACCGGTTCGGCGACTAGAGACGCAAGAGATCTAAAAAAATTCAAGTCTCGTTTCCTACCCCCACAGCTGAGAAACCAAAAGAGAGATCTAACAAACTTGCACATGAGAAGAAAAAAAAAATATAAGAGAACAAGAAGAAGAAAGATAGACAAAGCTCCCAGCAGATGAACCTAGACAGGAAGAAATGCAGATGAGTGAAGGAAATTTTTCCATTTGGGAACCCTAACGACAAAAGGGTCATAACAACCATCAAAGCTAAACACAAGCAACCTCTGGAATCTAGAAATTCGACCACTGAGAAACAAAAGTGCGAGAAATGCTGTTTCCCGGGGAAATGAAAAATTGAACGGACGAGGAGAAGAGAGAGAGAGAGAGAGAGAGAGGAGAAGGGGAATACCTTATCGTCGGCCGGAGCAGCCATGGCTGGTGAGATGAAGAGAGAGAGAGAGAAGGGAGTCGGCAGTCAATTAGTCGATATCAGTAAGAGGGAGATCATTGGAGGGAAAGAGTTTGTGTAGTGGTGAGCCGACGAGGAGGAATGGAAGAGAGAGAGAGAGAGAGAGAGACGAAGACAAAGAAGAAGGAAGAAGAACAAGACCATGTGATTCCAGCTCTCTCCCCCACCACCACCACCTTCCCTTCTTTCCTTTCCCCTCTCTCTCTCCTCCTCCTCCTTTCTAAATTTTTTTATTTTGTTTTTGTTTTCTCCTTCGGCCGATGAGAGAGAAAGAGAAGAGGAGAGAGATAGGGAGGATGATGATGATGAGAGTTCCCTTTTCCGGTTTTCCCCCATTCCTTTCTTCCTTTCGGTTCGGCCGTTGGTTGTGGTTTGGTTGGTTTGGGTTCTGTCCCGGTCTGCTACTCTCCGTTCAGCTCAATTTGCTTTTGCTGTTTTGCATTATTCTTCTGTGTTTCCATATATGCCCTCTTGATTTGGGTAATATAACGAGATGAGGGATCTCGTCGTCCGTTAGTCTGGAAGAGCGGAAATTGTGGCCCATGGACTCGGTGAAGGCCCATAAATAAGAAGGCTTATTTCTCAATAGGCCCACTCAACCAAAAAGTTGGTTGAAAGGCTTCCGTCGCCCCACCCGCCAAATTTACCGAACCCCACAGAACCAAGCTTCTCGTGGCGGCAAATAGTAAGACGTTGTCTGCACAAAGTCAAGGAAAGGAAGAAAGAGCTGGGGATTTTGGGAACATATGTTTTTTTTTTTTAATTTTCCCTGTAGTTGTGGGTTTGGTGGCAAGTTGCTATCTTTGCTGTAGTTGGAAGAGTCTTGGTTGCCAAGGTTGGTTTGAGAAATGAGTTGCAGCTGAGTTTTCAAAGGGAAAAAACTAGGTGCCTTGCGTTTCACTCTTTCTGCCCTATGTAACACAGCACCTACTCCCTCAGCTTTCCTTCTTTGTTTTCAGTTTGGCATAACTTTAATCAGTTTCAATCTACGGAGTCTGAGATTTGTTGCACATTTGATTAAATGGGTGGCTTCCTATTGTAATGGATAGTTTTCCCAAATCTGTATAATGGGGAAGCAAAGCTCTCCTAAGAGTCCACGTCCTGATACATCGATGAAGGATTGCCAGACAAGAAGTTCTGAAAGTGGTGGTTTTGCAGGAAACGATCCTTCCTTGGGTAGGAGGCTGTCAGGTGGTGAAAGTTCCTGGAAATCCAAAGCCATGTCACTCCACAGTTTGAGCCAAAATGATAATCATGGCAACAGCAAGGTTGGTTCTTTTAAGGGAGCTTGTGTTGGGAAAAGGCACGCCTGGTTTAGCAGCAAGTATGTGAGATCAGTCGCCACGATGTTGGCATACGTGGGGTTTCTTATCATGCTGGATTCCTTGATGGTTTCTGTTTTTGATCCCATGTGGCTTGGAAGAAACATCTCAACATTGACCAAAGCAGATGATGTGTGTAATGAACTGTTTTCTTGGCTCTTAATCCACTTTAAGTAACTGTTTTCCTACTTTTCTTTGTCATAATCTTTTGTTGTTTTCGCATGAATCGCAGGATCATACAGCTTACTCCGAGGAGGAAAAGCCACCGGTGCAGATATATGGTCACCTCTTAAGCATAGCTTCTGGTGCACTTGCAGAGGTACAATGCAATTAAGTATTCAGTTGATATAAATAAGGTCTTGTATAATGGACATTTACATATGTTTAACACATTCTGCTCTGCTTTAGAAAGAGTTGGAGCAACAAGAGACAAGGTTTTGGAAGCAACCTTATGCTGCTAAGGCAAGTGTATGGAAACCTTGTGCAGATAGAAAAGTTCCTGAATACCCAGGTAAACTGAATATTCTTTGCCTTATCTTATTTCGACTAGTTTGGTTCATTACTCCCAAGCTAAAAGCTGAACTTTCAAAATCGTTTAATCGACACAGGAAGATTAGGGAAAAGTAATGGCTACATAAGGGTGAGTGCAAATGGTGGTCTCAATCAACAAAGAGTTGCTGTAAGTAATCATCTAATGTTCTGAATAAGATCTTTTGTGTGTATAGTCCAAATTGTTCTACCTTAGTTTCAATTTCCACTCTGTCATGGCTGCTGCAGATTTGCAATGCTGTTGCTGTGGCAGCTTTACTCAACGCGACTCTAGTTCTTCCCACGTTCCTTTACAGCAATGTTTGGAAGGACCCAAGTCAGTTTGGTGATATCTACCAGGAGAAACATTTCTTGGATATGATGAAGGAGGAAGTAGATATTGTGAAAGAACTCCCATCTCGTTTCAAATCTCTAGACATTGAACCAATTGGCAGCCTGGTATAGATATAGTACATTACTCCAAGGTCTGTCTTTTTTGTTTCTTATGAATGACCAAGAATATCAGAACAATCCTGACCTTTATCAATTTCCAAATTCAGATTACTGATTCTGATTTGCCAAAGGAGGCGACGCCAAATGATTATATGGAGAAGGTGCTTCCAATCCTGATACGAAATGGATTCGTTCACTTGCTTGGGTTTGGGAACCGACTCGGCTTTGATCCAATGCCATCTCAACTTCAGGTAAAGGGAAATTTCCTCGGGTCTCTCAGGTTACCTACAACCTCCTTTGATCTGAGAGAACAAGGTTTTACTTTCTGCAGAAACTGAGGTGCAAATGCAATTTCCACGCTTTGAAGTTTGTTCCAAAGATCCAAAAAGTTGGCGCATTGTTGAGACAAAGGATAAGGAAATACGAAGCTGAACCGACTGCATTGGATAAACAACTCCTTGGTGACTACATCTCTAGCAGTATTCCCTCCAACAGGCCATATAATGCAACAAAACCGCCACAGAAGTATCTTGCTTTGCACTTGAGATTTGAGATCGATATGGTCGCCTACTCCTTGTGTGACTTTGGAGGTGGAGCAAATGAAAAGCAGGAGCTTCAGGCTTATAGAGAAAGCCACTTCCCTCTTCTCATTAAACGCTTAAGAAAATCCAAGTAAGTGTCTAACTCAGCTTTCCTAACTCTCCCACTCAATGATTGAAATACCCTTCTTCCCGTCCCAACAGGACCGTATACACAGATGAACTAAGAAAGAAAGGCAAATGTCCATTGACACCAGAGGAAGCAGCACTAGTCCTTGCTGGACTAGGATTCAAGACCGGAACTAGTATCTACCTCGCGGGGTCTCAAATTTATGGAGGCAAATCAAGAATGCATTCATTAACCAGCCTTTACCCTACCTTGATCACCAAGGAAACTCTCCTCTCACAGGCTGAACTTGCTCCCTTCAGGAATTTCTCTTCACAGATGGCTGCACTGGACTTGATCGCATGTGCCACTGCAGATGTGTTTGCGATGACTGATTCAGGGAGCCAGTTGGCATCATTGGTTTCAGGGTTCAGGACTTACTATGGAGGAGGGAATGCTCCCACGTTGAGGCCGAACAAGAAGAGGCTTGCTGCGATTTTGCACGAGAATAGCATGGTAGAATGGAATGGTTTTGAAGAGAGAGTGAGGCGAATGATCGAGGAAGATCAAAGGGTGAGGCCCAGGCGTTTCGGGAGAAGTGTGTATCGACAGCCTAGATCTCCAGAGTGCATGTGTAGTAGCAGTAGTAGTAGTAACTGAAGAATGTTGCTGTACATATCTTTCTTCAATTCTTTAATCAAACTTCAGGCTAAATAACTGATATTTTCCCCAAAAGGGTTGGTTTGGAAGCTGAAAGAAATATCATTATAGAGAATCTTGGTGTTTGGTTATCCCAAGTCATATACAAATCAAAATGAATTAAATAGGGAAAAAGAAGGAGAAGAAAAAGCAGAATAGCTTATTCTTGTCTCCTGGAAAGCAAAATCCTAGATGGGGTGTTAAGAGTTCGAACTACTACCCTTGCTATACTCTCTCAGCAGCAATCAATTCTTAACTGGAAATGATGTTTTTCCTCTAACAAACCAGCAAGCAAGCAAGCAACCGAACCCTGAGCGAAAATCCGCTGCAACTGATTCTTCTTGATTAAACTTTTCAGGACGGAGGGAAGAAACGATTGAGGTTGAAGGGTAGAGTGTAGAATTCTTCATTCCTGCTGTCTCCTTGGAATGATCTGAATTTAGCCCACCATGGCATTCCTCTATCTCTGGCACTGTCCTTGTAGTCAAGTGTGTTGTCGAGGAACACTCCTACTATCAACGCCACGGTTGGGGATGAGAAGAAGATTGTGTTCAAGAAATCATTGAACTGCACTCAAGGAGTCGAAGATCACAAACAGCAACGGGGAAGAAGTATTGTTAGTGAATTGAACTTGAGAGGGAATCAAGAATTATCACCAAAAAGTCAAAAAGACATCCTTACCCAGCCAGCTTTCGTGTGAGATGGTCCATGGAAGGCCTTGGAAGTGTATTCCCTGAAGTACTCAGGAATAGACAGGCCAAGAAACAAGGCAACTCCGACGATGAACAGGTTCCTCATTGAGTTCATGTTTGTGAATTGCAAGAACGACAAACCAACAGATGCTGATAGATGAAGAACCAGGAAATAATTTGATGTCAGCACTAGAGTTCAGATGTGAAAGGAAATGGATGAGAAGGAAGAAGCATTGACACTCACCAACAAGACCAAACAGGACACAGTACAAAGCAGCAAATATTGGGAATGGTATTGATGCAAATAGTGCTCCGAATTTCCCTGTCAGAAGAATCTCAACCAAATGAGTTTGATTGATATTGGAGGAATTAACACAAGAACAGCAGACCAGTCAAATTCAATGATAGTCTCTCACCCAAAATTGAAAAGAAGATCATGAAACCAGCTGCGATTTGAATAACTCTTCGACTGCCAACACGAGTGCTGCCAAGCAAACCCACATTTTCTCTGTTGAATATTTCACCACAAGAAAGAGTTAGTCCAATGCAAATTTTGTCTCTTCGAGATTGGTTACAACCGAAGTTGGGAGATACTTACGCGGATACTGTGCAGCCACTCATCGTTCCGAACATGCCACTAAGTAGTATGCCAATTCCTTGCCACCCAATTCCCCGGCTAAGCACATGAGCTGGTGGTGGCGTGGCACTAGCTAGCCTCGAGGCAGCTTTGTATCCCCCAGTTGACTGTGTCAATAGAAGAAAAAAGTCCCCTTCAGCTTTTTTTCCAAGTACATAGCTCATGAGAAGCAAGCATTCAGGCTGAATTTTCTTTCTACTAGTTATTATTAACCTTTTACCTCAATGAGTGAGACTATAACAGCAGCCATCATCCCAAAGCAATGGCCAGCATCAAAAGTTGGGGCTCCCCATTGCAATGGATATGGAATCTTAATCCTGCAACACATCAGTAGGAAACTATCAGCAATTCAGCATATAAGGAAAGGTAGACACCAAATCATAGAGGATGGGGAATTGTTAAACGCACCATGGAGCAGCAGAAATGAGGTAGGCCCTGTCAGTTCTGCAGTTGACCTGGGTAAGGTCTGGACGATGCTTGTATGCACCACTTGCTGTCAAGAGATGTGCATATGCCCATATTACAGTCACCGATATTAGCAACGCGAACCGCTCTAGTACTGGCAATTGCCTGAAGTGAAAGTTCTTCAAGTACTGTAAACACACAAAGATACCAATCCGTTATGATCACAGATAGAAAGGCACAGCATTTAGTTGGAACTGAACTAGAAGGCACTGTGATATTTGGTTAGAATTAGATGAAGCACCTGAGAGAATGTTACGAATAGGATGAGCATGGGAACGCCAATTTCCACACAACGACCAACCTGCGAAATGGATCGAGACAAAATGAACAAGAACAGTAAGATACCTTTTTCAATGAAAGGTGATTAGCATCTACAGTCCAAGTCTCAAATGTCTACATACCACAGGGAAGCCTCTGTCGAATAGTCCAAAACCCACCAAAGAAATGACTGGAACCATCCCAAGTGGACTGAAGAACCTGCAATTTCAAAACTTCATCATCAAATTTTGTAAAAACACATGGCTTCATCAGTTGCAGTTCATTTGAGATCGAAAGCTCAGTGAGTTAATCAGTGTTTTACCTGGAACAAATGGCCCACAATTGACTGTATCCCAGAATTATCTGAATGCTAGATGATACTATTAAAGCACCTTGTACAGCTCTCATGGTGCTCAAAAACCTCTGAATACAGAAACAAAAAAGGCACTAATCAGAAGCCAACATAATTGCTCAGTTAATTGACTTTAATTTATCAAACTTATATCACGGAACAAACAGGCAATGCGATGCAGAATTCAGAGAGAACTGTGAAAAAGACCAAGACTTTACTAACCAAATGATCATCCTCTATTCTGGTCAAAGCAGGGTCGTGAATTATCGACATGATTGGGACCATAAAGGCGTAGGATCCCCCAATCACGGTGGGAAGGCGCGTCCCAAACAGAGTCTGAATAAGGGTATTGATCCCTTCAACAAACAGTAGAGTCTGTACCACTCTGACTTTATCCCCCTGTCACCATCATCCCAAATTATGAATCAACACCATAGCAAAAAAACAAAACAAAACAAAAAAAAGGGAAACTTTTGTTCTTTTCCTTTGCTCCAATATGGATACAAAATTGTCAAATGAGCTACTTACATGGTCACCGCCCATCAAAGGGACAAGGAAGGAAGGAATCATAACGGCGGTTCCTAAAGCCAAAATGTAATGCTGGAAACCCAAAGCAATTGACTCCCCTGCTTCCACATAAACAAGGAGGGAACAGGAGTTAACTACAAATCACAGAAGAAACAGCGGAGCCATGAATCGAAGAAGAAGAGCAAGTCAATAGACACATTCTTACCCCAAGAAGGATTGGAGTCAATACAGTATTCCAAACCCTGAAGCTGGTCCATTGCCGGGTGACTTATCTCTTCAGGCTTTGGAGCAGCCATTTTTTTCTGCTGGATCAAAACTAAACCTTACTCTGCAAAACCCAAACCAGAGGAGATGGAGATGGAGAAGTAGGGAAAAGGGGTTTTCGGCGGAGAAAGTAGAGAGGTAGAAAGGGACAGTTGAAGAACTAGAGAGAGAGAGAGGTCTAAGAAGTAAGAAGTAGCCACTTCACTTGCCGCCCACTTAAAAAGATTGTGGCTTTCTAGTGAGAGAGTGAAGAGAGAGAGAGAGAGGGGGAAAGAGACAGTGATTCTGTTTGGTGGATGTTTTTATTAATTTCGGATTGGATTTTTGCGGGGGGAAATGACTGTAGCGATTTTGCTTTTTGATTTGCAGAGAGAGAGAGGTGTGAAATGAAGTTGCCGTTAACTTTTCTGGTAATGCCGAAAATGTCCTCCAGCAAACTCTGTTCCTCTTCCAAACGCTTTTCTGAAATGTTACCGTTGCCTTTTGCCCGAGTTGGTGAGTTGGCCACTTGCGAAACTCACTCACTTTAACTTCAATGCATCTCTCTTTGGCTTTTCACTTTCCCTACTAAATTACTTACATTTCCTCGAAAAGGGCTGACTAGAAAACTGACGTGCTTAAGCAAATAACGTTTGATTATGAACAAAACGTTAGAGGTGCTAGAAGACATGCATACAAAATGTGTCAATTGTCATAATGTACACGTAGAGTAGACGTGGAAGAAGAATGAGTGATGTATGCCTTTCAAACTTGACAAAAGTGATGTGTGTGTTTCACTGAGCGGGAGGTGGTCCACTCGATGGGTGCAAAAATTGGGAGAGGGTAGGATGGATGATATATATTGAAGAATGAAGATCGATCTTGTTAAAACCAATGACAATCTCATATGAAGTTTCGTCAGATATACTTTGTGGGCAACAGATGCACCATGCGTCTTTATTGAACTTGCAATCCAGTGTATAACATTGACAATCATACAAATCAATCTAAGATCGGTGTATGGTCTTACTAACGGTGAAGAACACCTTGACATTTCTCACCTAGTCTAGCATGGCATTTAGTTGGGTTGGAAAAGTGGGTGGTTGGACCTTGATTTGGGAAAGAGGGAGGTATGTATCTCCTAATCCAACTATAGTGGATTGGAAGCGGGTGAATTGTGTGTTATCTCAATGACTCACACCTCACTTTCATATTACAAATAGTTGTTTCTTTTTATAGTATCAAGGAATCCTCGTATATGCTAACCACACCACACCGACACTCTACTTCCACAAGAAGGAAACGAAGAACATTTCTATTGTTATTGGTTGCTTTGTCGTCTAATATCCACCAGATATTGGGACATAAAGTGCAAACAATTGATTGTGCCAATGTGAAAAACAAACGTCAACTTTCACTACAACTGATTGATGGAGTAATGCAACAATTGATAACTCCGTAAGTGAAGTCCACATGCACAAAGAGTTTTGGCCTGTAGGGATATGTGACAACCACATCAAGGAATTATGCACATTGCAAAGTGATCAATGTTAATTGTTAAATTTACTTAATTTATAATAAATTTATTATCATTTTTTTTATAAATAATTTGCTATAACTTTTAGTCAACCAACCTAATGAAACCGGTCAGGACCTTATATTCGAGACAACCACATCAGGGATGAACATCGCTTCTGACACCAATGAATCAGTCGTTCACTCTTCTCTAGTACAACAACATCTACAAGCTTTGTGAGGGGATATAACAGTCACTTTATTCAAGCTTTTTGACCAAAAAGAAGATAGATGGGGCTATGAATGATGGTTTTATTAGTGCAATGGAAAACGTTCCTACTCATAGTGTTTCATCTTTGTTGACTTGGTGGACTAGGAAAGCAAGTCTAGCAATGCATACGAAACTTACTCGTGAGTTAATGGATTACTTATTGTGTGTTTCATTCACAACTTTTCTGGTTTCCACTTATTCTTGGAAAAAAGATGCAAAGCATGTAGGTTTTGATTGAGAATCATGCGGCTAAGAGATAAAGATCCTACATTTTTATGCAAATCTAGTAGCTAGGGCTTACTAAAGTGAATATTATGAGGACCCAATTGACAATTGAGTTAATTGGACCAGTACAAAAAATGTATAAATATATAGAAAGAGTGCATAAAATTAACCAAATGCAAATCCTCCATTAATATATGGTAGAGTTTTGTGTACTTTTCTCTATTTCAAATTTCCTGCAACGAGAGTAAAAGTAGGAAGGTCATTTTTGTCTTTACACATTTATTATTTATTTCATATAAAAATAGCAATATCAAGATTTGAACCCGGGTCTCTTCAAACAAAGATAACAATAACAACCAATTACACTAAACAAATTTATTGCATCCTTTTTTATACAAAAAATAGACAGTTAACCTCTGAAAATCAGAGGACTTTTTAATCATAATTAGCAAGCTCACTAAGTCTACCGTATGTATTTTTATCGAGATTGATACTTCTATTTTCATAGTAGAGATTTCTCAATTTTAAATTCCCGCTCTCTCCTTAATTTTTGCTAAAGGTAAAAGGGTAATTGGCTAACATGGAAGAAACTAATTATGCAACTACGTGTTCTATCCTTGCATTTTTCAATTTAAATTTAAATTTTTTGTTTTTTTTTATCTTTGTTCTTTTCTCTTTCTAACTTCCTCCGAAATTTCATCCATCGTGCAATAGTTTGCGCCTTTCACTTCCCAGTACAAGACTGTCATTGAAAATCAATCTTCAGATATCTCTTGGCACTACGGTTTTATTGTTGGGATTTTAAGCTGGGCGAGTAGAAGATTTCAACTCCGATATCAATTCATGGCGAATAGAATGGAGTTCATCAATAACTGAAGTTGTAGAAGGAGGATTAGAAATTGAATTTTTGGTTGAATATATGCCTCTTGAGATAGAAATTTGGTTGTACAACGGAGAGTGGTGGCTAATGGATCTTTAGGTTTATGGTTTTTGCAACTATCACAACCTATTTCTATCTTAAAACGAGGAATCATTGATTGATTGTTTGAAATAGGTCGCTTCTTTATTCAACCTACTGGAACTAAGGGGTCGTTTGGATGGAACATTGTGATGGATCAATTGTGCTCAATTGGCTCATTTTGAGACAATTAGGCCAAATTGACCCATTTGGCTGCAGAAAATAAAAATGGAGCAATCTTGGGTGGGGAAATCACAATTGTTTCGTTAGGGTTCAATTGAAAATACTTGGGGTGGGGGGAGGGAATTTCAATTGACGCGTTTTTTATCCCCTCCTTCCATTTCTAACCCTCTCTCTTTAGAGACAAACCACTTCTCTCTTCTTCTCTTTCCTTTTTCTATTTCTTTCTATTTCTCTGCAATTACGAACCTTTCCACTCTCTTCTTCCCTGTCCTTTCTCTGCAACTACAATCTGCCATTACTCTTCTCTTCTCTTTCTCGTCTATGTATGGCAGATAGAGGGAAGAAGAATCATGATGGTCGCCGGCGGACAAAGGGAGGATTAGAGAAACTATGTTGCCGGATTTGCAGAGAGATTGCCGCTGCCCAACCATCGTCGTAGGCGCAACGCAACAGGTTCTCGGGGACCAGTTAGTGGGTTGTTTGACTCCATGCAAAGGGATCTTGATGCATGTGTTTAATCAATGGGTCGATTGGCTCCATTTTCGCAAGTCTCAAACTATGGCGAGATTTATTGGAGTTACTCACCGGCAGTCCAGCCTCCGATTCAAGAGATGAGAAGTCTCAATCCTTCGAATTGCAGCTGGCGACTTGAAATCCAGCCGTCTTTGCTCAGAACGCCCAATTTCATTTGTGCCCTGAACCCCCAATTTCTCACATGGTTAGAGTCAAGTGCAGAAACATAAAACAAAAAGATCAACCACAGAAATAAAGAGGCCCGAATCCCTTCATACCTACCGTCTCTGTCGAGATTCTAATAATGAGGATCTCGATGTTACTGCTATAGTCGAGTTCGAGTGGAAATCTCGGGCGAAGGTAGAGAGATGAAAAGAACAAATCCATTGGGAAAATGATCGGTTTCCGGGAGCAGAGAGGAGAGTTCGATTGACTTGCAACGACCGAAGTTTCTCCAATAGTTCTCCAGATTTCATCAACTTTGTCGCCGCTGGAAACAAAGAGAGCAAGAGAGATGGAGAAAGAGGGTAAAAACATGAGGTCAAAAGTGTATTTTCACAAAATGCCTCATTCCAATTGTCTCATGTCAAATAACCATCCAAACAAGGCAATTTTAAACAAATTTCTCATAGAATTGTCTCATTTTCTAAAATGGAACATTTGCTTCAAATTGGGGTAAAATATCTTGGGTACCACTTAAGTTTAAGAATTGGGGTAGACATACCACTTAAGTTTGAATAGGGCGTCGGGTACCATTAAAGTCGCCAAAATGTGCATCCGTCTAGTTTTCCATCCAACCCAAAATTTTAATTACTTTTTGGTACCCAAAACTTTTAAAAACATCCAAAACTATATTTCAACAAGTTTTTATCTAATATAGAAATTAAAAAACATTATAAACATAATATTACTTAAATGACTAATCAAAATTCACAATAAAATAGATAAATTAGTAAAAATAATAAACAAATACCAAGAAGAAGAATAAATATATATAATATAATAATAAATATTTAAAATCAATATTAGAAGATCTATTTAAATCGCTAATCCAATTAGAAATACTATTAAATATAATTAAAATAGAACCTAGTCGATCATTAATACATCAATACCAAAGAAGGATAAATGGAATCGAGTCAGAAAGAATTAAACATATTCCAGTAATTGAAGAAAATTTAGAACGAAAAGAGAACGAAAGTAACCAAGTAATAAATAAATAAAATTTACAACATTCCGTAACAAATATGAAAAAAAATACAACTATAGGAAGAGAATTAGAATTAGTAAATTTAATTAATATGGAACATCTAAAATATAATATTAGAAAATTACAAGGATATTTAACATAGAAAATTATACAACACCAGCATGATGTACGAGAATTAAATATAACATTCTCATATTATTTATATCGATATAGAATTCATAGTATATATTTGCTTCATCAAATTATTCAATTATTATAATTTATAATGGTAATTGAAAATACTTATAATGATAATTGATTCTACATTTCTTATTCAAAAATTGATTTGGTTTCAAAGTCTTCAAAAGAGGATTCCAACTAAATAGAATTCATAGGATATATTTGCTTTAGAGAATAATTCAATTATTAGAAAACATAATGATAATTAAAAATACTTATAATGATAGTTGATTCTAAATTTTCTATTCACAAATCAATTTGGTATCAAGTATTCAAAAGAATATACCAACTAAATCATGAAAATTGATGTTTTCATAAGTCAAAATGATTCTTTACAATAAGAAAAGTAGAAGGACTGATTAAGAAATTTAGAAAACAAAATATTCCAAGAATATTCTGTTAACTTTAACGGAATGCATCTAACATTAAAATTAAGTGGTACCGGGTGCACAAATAATAGAGTTCAGTGGTACCCGACGCCCTATTCAAACTTAAGTGGTATGTCTGCCCCAATTCTCAAACTTAAGTGGTACCCAAGGTATTTTACCCCTTCAAATTGTCTCGTTTTACGAATGTTCCATCCAAACGACCCCTAATAGATAAGGAGTGTCTAATTTTGCGCCTTATTACTTTGATTGAGTCTATTCGCATATTGGAGATAACCCTGATTTTTTTCGTTTGCTCTCAAGTTGTGATGGTCCTTTCTTAACTGAGTTTTTAGTATATAGATGACTTAATCAACAACTCTCCATTTCTTTTTGATTAATGACATATTGTTTCTAAAAGGAGAGCATTGAACCCTTTATATAGGATTGTGAGGTTTAAGATTTAGTTTCAAACTATCTATGGAGTGTTTGAGAATTTCAGTGAGCTTTTATACTCTATATTTCTTGACTGTAAAATAAACTAACCAATAGCATTTTAATAGGGACTTAATTAGCATTATGAAAATGGGGTCAATGATACATTTTTATATTTTATATTCTTAAATGATTATGATATTTCTCCGAATGTTCGACCTATATATTATTTCTTTATGTATCATCTCGATCGAATGATTATCAATAAGATTAAACGGGTTAATAGACTTAAAAGTAACATAAAAATAAAAATAATCAAATATGAGTATTCCGGCCAAAGGGCCGGTTATAAGCTAGTATATATACAATTTAACCGTCTGAGTGGTGACTAGACCCAACGTGGGAACAAACATAATCAGATTCGGACGCATTGCAAAAGTAGGAATCTCCAACGTCTCTAATCTTAACAGGTAAGAGTGGCAGAGAAATGACATCCAAACCTAATTCCAAAATCTGAGAAATCCTGTCTCAGTCTGTGGTTGTTTAATCTGGGGATTCAAATAAAATAGTTCTGAATTCTTTGTCACAGAGGCAAGTTAACCTGCCTACTTCACCGGAAAATACTCACGACCTTCTGTCGCTCTTCCGCTCGCCGGATCTTCTCTCTTCTGCCTCCCGCCGCTTCTGCTGACTGCACACAAGTGAGAACAGAACTTCGATCAGAGGAGGGACTACAGCTTTTACATTAACAACCAACATAACTCGTCTTCACTCGAGCAACTAAAACTGCGACGATTTAGAGGTCGAGTAAAAGTTCAGCATCTCACGTAACACTTACGCGAAAGCTGGATATCCAGAACCAGCATTAGCAGCAGAGAGAAGCGCGGCATGAGCAGCAGCAGCTGCTGTGGCTGAAGACTCTTGCCCGCCAGCTGGGAGAGGATTCCTTCCATCGCCATCAACCTGAAAAGCCACGATCAGAATAGCTGCTCACACACGTACCGGGGTTGGAAGAAAACAAAACAAAAAAAAAAAAAATGCAGAGAGGAAGGAGACCTTATCCCATTTGGACTTCTTGTTCGCCCTACCATCTCTCGAAACTGGTTCTGGTGCTGGTGGCAATCCACTGGCAGCAACTGAATACCCACCACCAAAGTGTCGAATTAGAACTAAAATATCACAAAATGATACATCAACTATAATAAACTTTTAGTAATTAAGGTGCGATCATACCTGGAATAGGCATGCTGAATTTTGAAGGCGGCATCACAATTCCTGGTTGAGTTCCTCCTGGTACAAATTCAACCTTTGGGCTCTTCTTCAATTCCTGCTCCCTCCTTTCTTTATCTCGCCTCAAATCAGCCTCTGCTTGACGAACACACAAAAAGCTGCAGTGTTATGCATAGCTCCAACAAACTTAGGCTCAGATAACTGATAAATGGTGCAGGTGAAGGATTCAAGTAAAGGCTCAGGCCTCAGTGTAGCATACAAAGCTTACAACGTGCTCCCATGCATACCTCATATCAAGCAATATCACAAGCAACAGAATAACCCAATGCAAATGTGCATCTCTGGAATACAGAGTAAGGAACAACTGATTACCTATTTCATCATAGAAGTCGCTTTTGTCATATCCATGAGGGTCAAATACATCTTTACTGAAGCAAGTTCCTATCTGGTCAATATCCTGATATCTAACAGCGTCCAGCAAGAAGTCAGGGTTCCTATAATCCTTTCTATTACGAACCTCTGCATTGAAACTTCTACCAATTTTCTTCAAAGCGATGAACTTTGTTATTCGATTCTGCAAGTGGGATAGCAACACGGAAGGACCACAGAGAAAGAAGAAATCAGTAGAAAAAATATATAGCTGAATATGATATATCGAAGTCAGATTGCCCACAAAAGATCATATCTAGGCATCAAAAAGATCAGACGAAAGCAGAGTATGCCTATTTTTGTTTGAGCAACAGAAAAAAACACGGACCAAACTAAGTTCGGATAATTACAGTAGGTAGCAACACGAAAGGGATTCAAAATGAGCAGCAATGAATGAACTTACTTGCAACTCTGGTGGACACTTCTCTTTAGGTGGCGGAGGTAGAAATTTATCCAATGGATCCGCCTTCCCCTCAGGAAGTTCACTAGAGTCCACCTTAACAGCTTCCAATTCAGCGGAGCCATTGTTCATATCATCTGACTGGGGTGTTTCCGAGTGATCAGCTGGCTGTGAAGTCTCAGAGCCAAATGGCTGACTAGTTCCTGGAACCATCTCTTCTTGGCCTGCATCTGCTAGGCACAAAATAAAAATGACTTAATGGTACCACATTACTGCTATAGAATAACACTCGTCTTGCAGCAATACTAATTATTAGTGACAAACATTGGCCTCAGGAACAGCACATGAAAAGAAAGCACTAAGAAGATAGACCCTCTTAAATCTTAATCTTGCTCCCAAACCCTAGTGTCAGGTTACCCCTGATTAACGCCCGTGCAAATTTCTACTCTGCAAATTTCTGGACAATTATCATTCCGGAAATTGACTTATGTTACAGTAAGGCAGCTAGAGATTTATTCTTGCAAAGATAATCCACATTTCACAGTTCTGAATTTCAAAATTACCACCGAAAACCAACGAGCTACCAATCCCACTTGGCACCAAAAGGAATTGAAGCAAAAACATAGGCAGCTGAAAGTAACAGAAGATAAAAGAGCTTACCCATTTCACCTTCTTCGGGTTCAGGAGACATTGCTATTTCATCATGCCCATAATCTACAATCGTAAGGCTCCCTCTCCCACTTCTCTTCGAACTAACCGCTCGACCGTCCTGCACTTGCCGGGTAGACGAAGAGAACGAAACCTGAACCTGCTGCAGCTGCTGCACCACCTCCTTCGAATATGCATTCTGTTCACCCGCCGGCGGGATAGCTCCATTTTCGTAATCGTCAGTAACCATCCCGTCTTGGGCAGAATCTTCTTCCATATAATTCGATTCCTTATAGTCGCTCCCTCCTAGTTGCTGTTCTTGTTGTTGCTGCCGCAGCATCTCCGCTTCTTCTCCATCTCCCTGTTCGCCAGGTTCTTCCATTTCCTCGTCGTCTTCATCGCTGTACACAGACAGCAAGGCAATCCCCTCGGCCTCTTTCCTCCGCGACGCCATGGATGGATGGACGGAAGCTCTCTAGGTTTAGGGTTTCTCTTCAATCTGAATCGAAATTCTTCCGAGGAAGTAATAATAAATTGGTTGAAATACCAAAGTAATTCTCCACTTGAGCTTGCTTTCGCCGGAACGGGAAGACGCGATGCGATGTTTCCGATTGAAATCCACAAGAAGAGATGGAATCTCACTTCTCCCTATCGGAATCGGAAAAGCAATTGGTGGCAGGCGGCGAGTAGCACGTCAGATTCCCGGCTAAAGAGTTTTTGACTCGGATCTAAAGACAGGCTCGGGGCAGCCCAAATATCGGGACCCGGATCCCGCTGACTATCGAGTTTAAAGGTGGGCCAATTCTATTGCGTTCGGCTATATGGGCCTAGGCTGAACCGAGCCCAATTGTCGATGTTAACACCGGTTTGTAGGGATTTGGGCCGGGCCAGTAGCCCGATGTATTGGAGCGGGAGAACTGGTTGTTAACTTGTTTCCTTTCCGGCCGCAGGATAAAGGAAAGGAAGACTTGACGGCAGAACAGAACAGAGCTTAAAACCGCCGCGCGCGCCATCTCTGCAACGGTGAAAGCTCATCGGCCGGCGGCCGAAGCACATAGAAAGTGATAGAGAAGAAGCTACGGACAGAATGAAGATAGAAGAGGTACAGAGCACCGCGAAGAAGCAGAGAATCGCCACCCACACTCACATAAAAGGCCTCGGCCTTGAGGTTTTCCCCTGCTCCTCCCCTCTCTGTTCTTACACATTCTAGGGTTTTAATAGAAAGGGCTTCTTCATGTTGATTATTTTGCCTCAAAGATGGTTCCTTTTTTTCTTCTTCTTCCAGCCAAGTGGAAAGGCAATCCCTTTGGCGTCTGGCTTTGTGGGCCAGATAGACGCCAGAGAGGCATCTGGTCTTGTTGTTGATATGATAAGGCAGAAGAAGATGGCTGGAAAGGCTCTTCTAATGGCCGGGCCTCCCGGTACCGGGAAGACAGCTTTGGCCCTTGGCATTTCTCAGGAACTTGGCAGCAAGGTTGGGTTTCTTCTTGCTTCCCTTCATATACCACTTATGCTTGAAGACCTTTACAAAAGACTTCATTGTCTGATTTCCATTGCTTAGGCTGTACCTTACGTATGGTCTTGTTACTCTCTGTATCTATCTCTTGGTTCCAGTTCAGGGTACATTATGCAACATCTGATGGGTTTCTCCTGTTATGGCCAGGTTCCGTTCTGCCCAATGGTGGGATCAGAAGTTTATTCATCAGAAGTGAAGAAAACGGAAGTTCTGATGGAAAATTTCCGTAGGGCAATTGGCTTGCGTATCAAGGAAAATAAAGAGGTTTATGAAGGAGAGGCAAGTTTGAGTCACCATCATATCTTCCCCATTAATCATATATCATTCTTTCATGCTTTATTCACAATGTTTACTGTGATACTTTCAGGTCACTGAACTATCCCCGGAAGAAACTGAAAGTGTGACTGGTGGATATGGTAAAAGTATTAGCCATGTCATAATTGGTCTAAAGACTGTTAAAGGGACTAAGCAACTGAAGTTGGATCCCACCATCTATGATGCCTTGATAAAGGAAAAGGTAGATAGCCTTAGTTCTTATGCTGTCTGTATGTCACAGGTGATAGCCTTAGTTAGGTGATTGGTGATAGCCTTAGTTTTTATGCTGTCTGTATGTCACATGCTTTATCTTTGATGTGGCCAATTTACATTTGTTAACAGGTGGCTGTGGGGGATGTTATATACATTGAAGCAAATAGCGGAGCAGTTAAAAGAGTGGGGAGAAGTGATGCTTTTGCTACAGAGTTTGATCTTGAAGCGGAAGAGTATGTCCCACTTCCTAAAGGTGAAGTGCACAAAAAGAAGGAGATAGTTCAGGTACATGACTTAGTACCTTATGGCAATAGCTCTTGGTCGTCCCAATGATACCTTATGGCCGCCAAGTGTTCCCATTATTAGTAACTTCAGTGGTGTCCCCTTCATATTGATATATAATTGGCTTTCTTGGAAGTATCGTGCTCTGATTGTTTGCTTCTAGATAAAAATATCTTTAACCTATTGATAAGATTCGTTCAACCCTGAGCATACTACGGGAGGTAGCAAGGTTTCTGCAGAACCGTGATGGCTCCAATTTAGCCTATTCAATTTGCAATGCATTCTTCTTATAGCTTGCACACCTTGTGGTGTCATACCTTTATTTTCATCTTTACTTTATTTCATGACAAGTTTCCAGGGTTTGATACTGTTATCTGGATAAAATTTTGTTGTCATCAGGATGTTACACTGCATGATCTAGATGCTGCTAATGCAAGGCCTCAAGGTGGGCAAGACATATTGTCTTTAATGGGGCAAATGATGAAACCAAGAAAGACCGAAATAACAGACAAGCTACGCCAGGAAATAAATAAGGTATTTTGTAGTAGCTAACTACAGTGCTTCGTGGATCATAAAATCATGAAAGGTGTATTACATCAATTTATAGTTGACCTGCTCCCTGATATCGTGTAATTGCATTTCTTGGCTACTGTTTTCATCTTTGTCATTAGCTCTTACGTATGTTTCTTTCCTGCAATCAAAAGGTTCCTATCTCCTAGGCTGATTTCAACTATACATAATGAATGGACTATCACAAGAGAGGCAAATTTTTTATGGCAGGTTGTTAATCGGTACATTGATGAAGGTGTGGCAGAACTTGTTCCTGGAGTTCTGTTCATTGATGAGGTCCTTTTCCCACCACTTCTGCAATCTAATTTGTAACTGTATGTCATTTCTCCTCGTTTCTGAAAGTTCCGTTTATCAGGTGCACATGCTGGATATGGAGTGCTTCTCGTACCTGAATCGGGCTTTAGAGAGCTCATTGTCTCCTATAGTAATCTTTGCAACTAATAGAGGAATATGTAATGTAAGGTGCGTTTTCAGTAATCTCCAGGCTTCTAATAATAAAAAAATAATCATCACAGATGTCTAATAATTTTATCCTACCACAGCAGGGTGAGAGGTGTAACTTAGATACACAATCACTTTTCAGTTCACATTCACTTAAATATACTGTCAGAATTCAAAGTAGGTAAAAGGTTTGTAAAAGTAGAATAAGCTAGTAAGCATGGTGATCAATTTGCTCTGGCCTTCCTGTTTTTTCTAGGGGCTTCATTGTACATGAAAGTCTAACTGCACGCCCCGTTCCTTAATCTGGAATTGTTGTATGTTATTCTCCAGAGGGACCGATATGAATAGCCCGCATGGGATACCTGTTGACTTGCTGGACCGCTTGGTGATTATACGGACACAAATTTATGGCCCTGCAGAAATGATTCAGGTTCTCCTGAAATTCCCCTCTTTTGTTTAATTTTGAAACCTTCCCTAGAAGTTTACCAGTCTAACAATCGACATGATCTTGTTGTCTGGCTAGATATTGGCAATTCGTGCACAGGTCGAGGAATTGGTAGTTGATGAAGAAAGTCTAGCATTCCTTGGAGAGATTGGTCAGCAGACATCCTTAAGGTTGGTACTAATAAGTTCTTTCCTTGAATTAGATTCTGGACATATCAGTTCTAGTTGGTACTGGCTATGAGATAGCAAGTTCACAACTTCCATCTTCGTGTATAATTAACTTGTGAACCACGCTTCCTCATCAGGCATTCTGTTCAGCTCTTATCTCCCGCCAGTATTGTAGCAAAGATGAATGGTAGAGATAACATTTGCAAGGTAGATGCCTTGCATCCCAGTTATGAACCAGTGCAAATTCATCATTTCACTGAATAGTTATTTACTTACCGAGTTAACTGTTGCCTACTTACTCGCTGGTTATGTATTTTAGGCCGATCTCGATGAAGTATGCAGCTTATATCTGGACGCCAAATCCTCAGCAAAGCTACTTCAAGAACAGCAGGAGAAGTATATTTCTTGAGCTGATGATCCTGTGGACTTTCCTTCAGAACCACCCACCTTGTCTCCATAGATATTTGTGTATGCTTGATATCTGCATTTTGTTGTAAAGGCAAGTGAACTTCTCTGGATCGATGTTGGCACGCATGCATTATTCGTTTCATACAATACAAGAGACGATCTTTTTCTTCTCCCCCAGTTCAATGATGTTGGTTGCTGAAACTGTGTAGTAAACATCAAACACTAGGTTAAATTTCCAGACTTGTGCCGTAGTATTCTCACAAAAGCTCTATGTTGCAGTGAAGTGCAGACAACAACATGCCCCCAGTTTCATTTATTCGTTTCCCCTTTCTCGCAGACCCCCTTTTAAATCACTCATAACATTAACACCCAAACCCAGCTCTCTAAGCTCTTATTTATCCCAACTGTAACATATTTGAGAACCCTTATTAGTAGTCAAACACGAGTACACGGCCCACTTTTTTTGAAGCTCCATCGACATATCTTGCATCCGTATTTTTAGCGACTCACATCAAGCCAATGAACAGCTCCTCCCCAATCCAAACGACAGAAATTCTTTATTTATACGAAGAGATCGACGTGTGCAAGAGGTAGTAATTTTTTATGTGATGTATCAATCTTGTTGAATGAATTTGTTAATGACGAATGATATTCACAGAGTTTTGGAGGATAAATTGACTTTTTTAGGGTTCTCAACCGTGCTATATTTGGTAATGGAATTGCTTTTCGCCTTGCTTTTCATTTCTCGTTTGATTTTAGCTCTGATTTCTTTGATTCATTGTCCAACTATTCAATTGCAAACTACAATTAGTTAGCAAAGAGATAAATGTCATGAAAATGAAATTGATAACCAACTAATACAGTGGTAAATGTAGAATGGAAAGGAGAAAATAGTTCTTCGTTTTTTGTATATTAGTTGGCATAATTATGTGCTTTATTTTTGGTAAATATACATAAATCATATATTTTCTGACATTATTATAATTCGTGATCGGTAAATGGAAGGCAGAAGCAGCCGGAGTTTAAAATTCATTCTCGTCTCTCTGCTTCCATAACCAATGCTATTATCAGTAAGTACCAAAACCAATCAATATCAGTAGCAAGTTCCAAACAAGGGAAGGTTTGCGACTCAACAATCCCAAGGAATTTCCTCGATGGAATTAGGGGTGGGCATCAGGTTTGGGAAACGAAACCGAAATATAATTTATTCAGCTCGAAAACAAGAATTGTTTTTTTTTCCTTCTCCCATGGTTCAATGATGTTCCTTTTTGTAACGGTGTGGTAAACATCAAATATCATCATTATAGATGATTTTATTCTCCAAATTCATTCAACTTCTAAACGGCGTATGCTCCAAATTCATGCATTAATGCATTTATTAAAATACTTAAATTGATTAAATGTATCAATTGAGAGAATTTTAACTTCTAAACATGGTCTAAGTACTAAACTTTAGAAGTTCTCAAAAATATATGAACATATTTATTAATAATCAAACTTTTGTCCGTTAAGCGCGTTTTTGTGTGGTTATGGTGGTGTAATAACCGCTATCACTAACCACAAAACTAAAAATTTGTTAATAATAACCAATTTGCTAACTCTAGAATGTGGTTTTGATGAGTCAAATCATATGTTGTTCGGTGCCGTTTACATAGCAAACCAAAACTTCGACCTCAAATTATAGTGAATTTGATAAATCTTGGACTAGATTCCAAATCATATTTGTAATATGTATATCATATGTATCTCTCATCCAGTTAGTAAAATTTGTTCGCTCATATACTTACGTACATAGTTAGAAGACATTGTGTTAGTGAACAATATAATTGTGTATGCCGTTTATTTTTTCTTACTTAGTCAATCTTGGTCCACCACAGCAAGACTAACAAACAGACATTTTTAACAAATTTTAATTAATTAAATTTCACAATATTCATAAAAAGTAGTGTTGCCACTCCTCATTTAAATGCAACTCACCTAGAAAAAGCTCTTAGGTTCCATATACAAATATTATCCTACTACATTGCAACCTAACTAATTATTTCAACTCAGACAAGAGTTCGACTTATCGATACGATAGATAATTTTTTCGTTTCAAAATTTTCAAAATCCGAATCGCGAAGTGGGTTTCCCCTCCGCCGCAGACCCCCTTTCAGCTCATTCATAATAATAATAAAGTCTAAAATTTTATTTCACTCATACCATTAACACCCAAACCTAGCTCTCTGCGCACTTATTTATGCCAATTGTAACATCTTTGAGAACCCTTATTATCAGTCGCCAAACACGACCCATTTCTCTTGATACTCCATCGGCATATCTCGCATCCTCCCAATACGACATTAGTACAGATTGGGCATTCGTATCTGTAGTCATTCAAATCAAGCCAATGAGCATCTCCTCCCCAATCGAAACGACAGTAGTACAAATTGGGTATGAACAACGAATTTAGTAACTCCCTTTGGAAACTTTGGTGCGGCTCCAGCACATGCACACCAAGATCGTCCTCGTTTGACCGACAATGAATCGTTATGTTTTGTACTCCCTCGACGTCGTTCTCCAACACCAGCACCTTTTTTGCCTCGATGGACGCGGCTAGTAGCGTCGACAAGAGGAGGAGCGAGACTAAAACGGTGTGACATTGCCTCATAGTCGTCTTGTTCCTATAGTTAGTTGTTTATGGAGATGCTGCTAAATCTTCTCGTACTGGATGAAGTGTAAGAGGTTTTGGATGCTTTATTTATATACGGAGATCGGCTTTGAAATCACATCAATCTTTGTCGAATGAATTTCTTACTGATGAGTGATGTTCGCAAAGAGTTTTGTGGATAAATTGACTTTTAGGGTTCTCAAACATGCTATATTTGGGATCTAGAGATCTGATTAACCAAGCTGGGGAATGGGATCTAGAGATGGTACTAGACACGGAGAGAGTGGCTAGGCGCAATACTCTGGTGGGGAAAGTCTTCTCAGCGCGTGAGATCAGCCTCCGTGCCCTGCGAGGAATGATCAGAGTGGCCTGGGTTGATCACCACAAGCCGAAACTTTAGGAGATGCCCAAAATCCAACCTTTGGAGGATAACACCTTTGTGTTCGACTTTGAAAGCAAGAAGGAGATGGAAGCAATCTGGGCTGACCGCCCCTGCCCTATCTCAGGAACATTGATGCAACTGAAGAAGGTGACTAGAGTGGAGGATGCCCGAGATGTAAGTTTCAAATGTGTTGAGTTCTGGGTTCAAGTTCACAGCTTACCAGAGGCTTATAGGACTGAGGGTAACTTATCAATGGTGGAGAGGATGTTCCATAGGGTGATTGAAATTGATCGAGTTGCCCTCCAAGCCCAGATCTACATAAGGTATGTGAGAGTCTTTGTTGAAATCGACACCACCAAGCCACTCCTAGACGGTTTCTACTCATTATGCTATTACTGTGGGAAGATCGACCATACCAAAGTGGATTGTGAGAGCCGGAAGATCCAAGAAGAAAACCTTCATTCTCCTCCGATGATGCAGAGATGGGGACCCTGGACCAGAGCGAGCTCATCTGTCTTCTCCCCAAGAACGAACCAGCAACATGATTTGGAGGCGGCGATTAGCCGGGATGCGGCTTCTTCTTCAAACTCACCAGGCAGGCACCAATCCCAGCCGTCGGCGACTGCTTAGCTCCAGAATGCCCCAATCGGGAACCAGGTGGGCCACGTTCCCTCAATTTTCTCTCCTCACACCAATCAATCCCCCATCTCGAGCTCTGTGCAAAACTTCAACTTTGCAACGGAACTATTCCAAAACTCCTCTTTCCCCAATCAAACACTCCAAAATCAATCTCCCTTTTCCCAAAACCCTAATCAGAATGCCCCAACCCCACAAGGTACGACTGTGGTGAGGAACCTTTTTGGATAATGCACTAATACCCACCAAACCACTTTTTTCTCTAATCCCACTGATCACCATCCCACCTTTTTACACACAGGCTTCTCTTACACCAACCCTAACCCGATCCCTTTCCAGACCCAAGCGAATTATATTTTCCACCAAAATTATTTTCATTCAGGGCCCAACTCGACCCAAAGGGGAAATAGAGCTTCTGCTCGTGGACATGGGTCCCGAAACCATTCAACAAGCCCATTTTCCCAGAAGAAGAAAAGAAAGACAAATATTCAAGAGAATGAAACCGAAGAAGACCCTCCTCTGCGTTCAACCAAGCTGAAGAAGGAGAAGACATGACTGATGAAGATCTAGTCATCCCGCCATGATTTGAAAACTCTCTTGCTGTGGTACCGGTGGCCGATTCCAAGCCTCCCAGAGCACCATGAACGCCCTGGTGTGGAACTGTAGGGGATTCACGCAGACTCCTACAGTTCGCCAGTTGAGGAAGATGGTTAAGAGGTTTAGCCCATCTTTCATTTTTCTGTCTGAGACTAAGAAGAAGGAATCTTATATGGAACGAAAAAGAAAAAGTATAAAATTTGCAGATAAGTTCTACGTGAACCCAGTTGAGAGAGCAGGAGGACTAGCCCTGTGGTGGGTGGGTGGTCTCCCTATCAAGATTCTGGATAGCAGTAGATTCTTTATCGATGCTTTTGTTGATGTTAAGGGGGGCTTTTTCATCACTTTTGTTCATGCTCCTTCTGATCCGGCTGTCCGTAGGGAGTTTGGGATCGAATTAGTAATCTTAGAACTAATATGGAGGATAAATGGCTTGTAATTTGGGATATGAATGTTGTGCTATTTTCGGATGAAAAGAAGGGATGAGGGCCTCCTAGAAACGAATCTGTAATCCCTTTCAAAGCCTTTGTTGATGATAATGCATTAATGGATATCGGATTTAAGGGCTACCCTTTCACTTGGAAAAACAATCAAGAAGGTCAGAGAAGAATTGAAGTTAGACTGGACAGGGCTCTGTGTACAGCTGCCTGGTTTGCCATGTTCAGTAATACTATTGTGTTTCATGAGCTGCCGCTAGATTCGGATCACAACCCCTTGAGAATTGAATTCGAGGGTCTTAAATCTCGAACAAAGACTCCTTTTCGGTTCGATGCAAGATGGCTCCAAAAAGAAGAATGTCATGAAATTGTGAACCGAAATTGGGACGCAGTAGGTTTGTGTGAGGATAGAATGAGGAAATGTGAAAAGGAACTGGAGACTTGGGCTAAACAAATGTATCAGGATCAAAACAAGAGATTGATGGAAATCCAGAAAAGGCTTGAGGAGATTCTCCTTAATGATCGAGCAGATGATATTATTGAGGAGGAGAAATGTCTTATGAATGAGCTAGCTTCGATTTGGAAGGATGAAGAGTTGTTTTGGAGCCAAAGGTCGAGGATTAATGGACTCCAAAAAGGAGACCAAAATACCAACTTCTTTCATTCATCCACTGTACATCGGAAACAAAGGAACAAGATTGTTTCACTGAAGGATGAGGATGGAAACTTATTCTCACACCGGGCTGATATTTCATCACACGTCACTGAATTTTACCATTCTTTCTTCACTAAGTCTGACAGAATTGAGAGCTCTACCATCCAGGATTTTCCTAAGCTTGTGACGCAAGAACTGAATGATGAAATGTGTATCATGCCAACTGTGGAGGAGATAAAAGCCGTTGTGTTTAATCTTGGGCCGACAAAGTCCTCAGGACCAGATGGTTTCACGGGAATGTTCATTAGGAGATTTTGGTCCAGGGTTGGACCCGATTTCTGCAAGGAAGTTCAGGGATTCTTTCACACGTCGATCATGCCACAAGGATGGAACGATGCCCATATCGCTCTCATACCTAAAGTTCAATCACCGGAAATGATTTCACAGTTCAGACCTATTAGTTGTTGCAACTTTAGGTACAAGATTATATCAAAGATCCTTGCTAGCAGGATGAAGAAGTGGCTGCCAGGTTTAGTTTCTGAGATGAAGGCGGCTTTTACGAGAGGGGGAATGATTCAGGATAATATTATCATTCTCCATGAGATTCTTCATCAATTTAAGAATCATCGAAATGGGGATTGGGATATGATGATCAAGCTTGATATGTGTAAAGCATATGATCTGGTTGATTGGGAGTGCCTGGACACTATTCTTGAAGCTTATGGTTTCTTGGAGAAGTGGAGAGGATGGGTCAATGCATGTATTAGAACTATAAAGTTTTCTATCCTGTTGAACGGCAGCCCAACAGAGTCGTTCTTTCCCACCCGAGGCATTAGACAAGATGATACAATCTCGCCCTTCTTGTTTATCCTTATGTCTAACACATTGTCCTTTTTGATTGATAAAGCACTGTCCAGAGGCGAGATTCGTGGTATTAAACTTAATCAGAATTGCCCAAGAGTATCACATTGCCTTTTCGCTGATGATACGGTGATCTTTGGTAAAGCAAGTGTCAATGAGGCTGATCATATACAGAGAATACTGAGGCATTATGGAGAGGTTACCGGGCAAGAGATTAATGCTTCAAAATCCTCAATTTTCTTCAGCAAAAATACACCAGAAGCAATTCGAAATTTGGTGACTAATAAGTTTGGTTTTCCCCCGTCTATCTGTCATGATAAGTATCTGGGAGTTCCATCTGAGTGGGGAAGATCGAAAAAAGAAACTTTTCAGTTCTTGTTGGATCGAATGGAGAAGAAGGGAGAGTCATGGAAGAGTCTCTTGTTATCTCCAGGAGGGAAGAAAGTGCTACTAAAAGCTGTAATTCAAGCAATCCCTTCTTATATCATGAGCGTCTTTCTTCTTCCTTTATCCCTTACTTGCAAGATGGACTCTATTCTTAAGAAGTTTTTCTGGTCGGGATCCATGAAAAAGAAGTCAATACATTGGTGTAATGCTCGAGTTCTAGAAAAACCGAAGGAAGAAGGAGGAGTGGGTTTCAGGAATTTCCACTGTTCAACCTGCACTTATTGGTAAACAAGTATGGCGAATGCTTGAGAACCCTGATGCATTATGGGTACAATTATTTAAGGGTCTCTACTTTGCCAATGGGGACTTGTTTTCAGATTCAAAAGGAAGAAAAGGATCATGGATTTGGAATGGCTTCTGTGATGCCAAGGATGCTTTAAAGATTGGATAGGTTAAAGGGATTATGTCTGGGGAAGGAACGAAGTTTCATTGTGATCCATGGTTACCATCTATTCCATCGTTCAACCTCAAGAGCCTTAATTTGGAACCATCACGAGTTTGTGATTGGATTTCTCCCTCAACTCAGGAATGGAATGTGGAGGCTTTACAAGAGGTTATCCCACACGAGATGATTAAGGCTATCAAGAGTATTCCAATCGGACCATCTACATATGAAGATAAGTGGTTGTGGAAGCACACAACCACAGGAGCATACAAGGTAAGTTCAGCTTATAGATCTTTACGTGAAGCTAGAGACCATTCTTCTTTGTCTTTGTTTGCAGGTTCAAATGAGGCTCACCCCAATAGGCAAGACTGGAAATGGCTCTGGTCTCTTTCAGTCGCCCCAAAGCTTCGTTTCTTCATCTGGAAGAGTGCGAAACATGCAATTGCGACTCGTGCCCGTCTTTTCCTAGGATGTGTTCGACTGGTCCGATGTGCCCCATATGTGAGTAGAAAGTGGAGTTGATCATGCACAGGTTCTTTCATTGTTAGCATGCTGAGAGTACATGGGAGTGCTTTGGAGGTCTGTCCACCCCACCGACACTCGAGAATACATTCGCTGAGTGGTTCTTCTCCCTTAGAGAGAATGTGTCGGATGAGGCGATCAAGAGGATTATATGTTGCTTATGGAATATTTGGATCGCTCGGAAAGGGTTCACTTTCGAGAACAGGGCTATTTCCCCGCCCTCAACGGCTACTTTAGCTCAGAGAGAATTTCTAGGCTTGACTGAAGCTAGAAATTGTGATCGTTCTAACTCTTCTATACGTCCAGCTATGGAGCCTACTCAACCTAGGGGATCCCGATCTAACCCCTCACCACCGCCTAGTGCCTTTCATAGGATCGTGCACTATGATGGTTCCTTTGTTTCTGAATCACAGATGGCGGCTTGTGGGATTACAATTGTTAATTCCCATGGTCAGGTGTATGACGACAAGGTTAAGAGATTCTTTTGTTCCAGTTCGATGCAGGCGGAAGCTTATGCTATTCTCAATGCAGTGATCTTGGCGGCTCGGGAACAGAGCTCAGCTTGTGTCAAATTTGATTGTCAGATTTTGGTGAATGCTCTTAAGCTTGTTCCAGACCTATGGCCTTGGCAATGTCGCGCTTTACTTGCTCGTGTCTCGACCATTCTCATTTCGGCTCCGTGGGTGAAAGTGATGTTTGTTCATCGATGTCACAATCTGCTAGCCGATTGGGTTGCTCGTAATGCTAGATTAGATGCTCTCTCACGAGATTGGATCGTTATTGCTGATCTCCTTTCACCACTGTTGTAATCAATTATACTTCCACCGCTTCGATTTGGAATAAAAGTGCCCCAATTTGTCAAAAAAAATAAATGCAACTCACCTAGAAAAAGCTCTTAGGTTCCATATACAAATATCATCCTACTACATTGCAACCTAACTAATTATTTCAACTCAGACAAGAGTTCGATCTATCGATACGATAGATAATTTTTTCGTTTCAAAAATATCAAAATCCGAATCGCGAAGTGGGTTTCCCCTCCGCCGCAGACCCCCTTTCAGCTCATTCATAAAAAATAATAAAGTCTAAAATTTTATTTCACCCATACCATTAACACCCAAACCTAGCTCTCTGAGCTCTTATTTATGCCAACTGTAACATCTTTGAGAACCCTTACTATTAGTCGCCAAACACGGCCCATTTCTCTTGATACTCCATCGGCATATCACGCATCCTCCGAATACGACATTAGTACAGATTGGGCATTCGTATCTGTAGTCATTCAAATCAAGCCAATGAGCATCTCCTCCCCAATCGAAACGACAATAGTACAAATTGGGTATGAACAACGAATTTGGTAACTCCCTTTGGAAACTTTGGTGCGGCTCCAGCACATGCACACCAAGATCTTCCTCCTTTGACCGACAATGAATCGTTATGTTTTGTACTCCCTCGACGTCGTTCTCCAACACCAGCACCTTTTTCGCCTCGATGGACGCGACTAGTAGCGTCGACAAGAGGAGGAGCGAGACTAAAACGGTGTGATGTTGCCTCATAGTCGTCTTGTTCCTGTAGTTAGTTGTTTATGGAGATGTTGCTAAATCTTCTCGTACTGGATGAAGCGTAAGAGGTTTTGGATGCTTTATTTATATACGGAGATCGGCTTTGAAATCACATCAATCTTTGCCGAATGAATTTGTTACTGATGAGTGATGTTCGCAAAGAGTTTTGGAGATAAATTGACTTTTAGGGTTCCCAAACATGCTATATTTGGTGACTGAATTGTTCCCAGTATCAACCAGTATCCATACCAAAAATCAACCAATACCAATTCAACAATTACTAAAACTAGTATCACGTGAACAAATAATAACTCACCAACCACATATATCATCTGCGAAACGACACCGCTATTAGCGTTCTTTAGAGAGCAAGGCCGACGACATGAAAGAGAAACAAAGACAGAGAGAGGAACTCACTGATTCTGGTCTCCCCGAGATTTTGAGATTGCCATTGACCACAAAAGAAATGAGATTACCTCAAAACTCACATAGGACTAACAGAGCTTCCAAATAAGGATAGACTAGACCATTTGAAAAATCATAGATCAACTGGTACCGGATCAGACCACAGATCTGATACAATTCAGACCGTATAATATCTGACCTTGTCTATCTTTAGTCTGGTCTGAACCGCATACCATATATACGATTCAGTCTGAACTATACCGCACCATTTAACAACTCTAGTCTCTAGTACTTCCGACGGCCAAATTCGAAGAGATTGCAACGAAGACAGACAGAAATAATGGGGATACGGAGTGGAAGACAACAACAACAAAAAAATTCGATTTATAGAAAAGAATTCTCAGAGCACTCTCCTTTTCCCTACAACAAAGCGCCAACACCATTAATATAGACTTGACCACGACTGCCATTACTGAAGATCTTTATCTAGCTCCAGGAATCAACGCTCTCGTTACACCAAGAGCAATCACTTTAAAATTTTCATCTCAAGATATTGCCATTAAGCATAAGCTCTTTCAGCGGGCTGCCCCGCGCCCTAATAAGCAAGAACACAAGAACAGTCTTCTTCATCAACAAAACAGTACACGGTGCAAAACTCGAATAGCCCCTTTTCCCACCAAACGCCTTGGAATCTGATATTCAGCCCGCGGTAGATATATAGATAATACATTCAACAGTGAGTTTGATTCGGTTGTCCACCTCCTCAGAACTTGAAGTCTTTCTTCTTCGATTTTCCTTCCTTGTCCTGCATCTTGCGCTTCCTTTTCTTCTCATTCTGCACCAGTAAACGAATTCATCATTGTTTGTCTACTATCGGCCTAACGAGTTTTAAACAGTTTGTGTTTCACTCGGATAATAAGTGAATAATAACATGAAAACAAACCTCTGCAACCATGTCACTGAAATCCTCTTTCTGACTTCGCAATTTCTCCTCTTCCCTTGCTTCCTCGTACCTGAAAATTCAATCAACCAACCCGTGTTAAGAGATACTAAAGGCCCAGAAACGAGGATCAAACCAAACGATCAAAGCACAAAAACGAAATCTTACTTGGCAGATAGAACATTATCCATGACTTCCAGCTCTTCAGGTTGCAAACTGACTTGCACCATATCAGCTTTGTGGCCCCTAAGCAGATCCACCTGTAATAAAAATAAGAAGTTCCTTCAACATAGTGTCCTACTACCGATAATCTTAAGGGACGGCAAATTGATTGGTTTTGATGGATCTTTACAAGTGGATTTGAAAATAACAGATCCTGAAATCCATTGCTTGCTCGACGGAATTTTCTGATGAATTGTAGTATGAGTATTTTATGTTGTCCCCATAATTAAATGGGGGCAGTATTTGGGTGCCATTATTTTGAAAACTTCTCTTTTGATGTTTGAGGATAACATGGTAAAATGGACAGATGGATTTCAAAATCCATCAAAATAGTGTCATCATTTTTTAGTGAACCACATTATGGATTTAAAACCATCCATCGAGTCGTGGATTTCGGGCACATCCATACAGTGATAAAATTCTCACCTTTTTAGCAGCATTCTTATCTTGGGCAGTACCACTGGGAATTGCATACCTGCAGCCATATCCAAATATACGAGAATCAGAAATCGCAAAGGACTACACAGTTTTCGAATAAGGGTTCCAGAAAGCAAAAGGAAAGGAAGCATACGTATGAGTTGTTCCAAGTAAAGTTCCAGCAGCAATACTCTCTTCCTTTTGTTCAAGAACCTGTCGAGAAAGGAGCATACGAAACAGCCATGTTAGAATCATAAGTAGCATAAAAGCTCCATGAACTATAGACTCAGTTGAACCCTTCCATTGATGCCTTCAGATTAATCTAATAACCAACTCGAGCTTTTGATTTTTCAGCACACACCTTCCAATCAGATTTTAAATTGAGGTGCCACTTTACCTTTAACATTACTAAATTTCATCATCATCCCTTTCTGTTCTATAAATTAGCAGAAGTTTGTAAGATCATTTCCGCCATTTCAAGTATTTAACTAATCTCTTCTACTATCTACCCTAGAAGAGTCAACAATCTTACAAGAATACATAATCAGTTCACATCACTCTCTTATTCCAATAATGTTTCACACTTCTACTAGTCTAATTTGCCACTGTTGGCCACTTCAGTCCTAGACCTCCAACCGGTTGAAACAAGCAACACCATAATATAAATTTCAAGTAATCAAGTAAACGATACTCACTTGGTAGAGCGGCCTATCAGGTTCCTTTCTCTGCTGTTTACGAAGGTCAATAACATCAGGCGTCTCAACACCAGTTGGTGTACTGTATGAAAGAAAATAAAGGATTAATAGACAAACCCCAACAACCAAACTTAAGAAGACCAAATAAAGGGCCCAACTGAAAATAAAAAGTGAAAAATAAATTGTAACTTGATACCTTGAAAGGCTGTCAACAGATTCAATGCCATCCTCAAGTTCCTCTTCTTCCATCTCTTCCTCTTCCTCCTCCTCTTCCTCTTCCTCCTCTTCCTCTTCCTCCAAATCACCCCAATGCTTACTCTTATCGACCGGCTCCTCCTAAAAAATTATTGGACAAATAGTAGCAAGACAATGAAAACTTCATTGAAAGGAAACACCATTCCCTAGAGTACTTAGCCGGCCAAGAGTAGCATAACCAGATTAAGAAGGTTACCTCATAGTTAGGTTGTTCTTGTTGCTGAACCCCAAAAACATCTCCATACAAAGGCCGCCCATACTGTAAAGAACCATACCAAGTAAATCAGTTACAAGTAGGGAAATGAGAACACAAGTAACTTCGTATGGAGTACTAGTCTAACGCAGCAGGTAGGATATTATTAACTCACTTCGTCAACTGGAGGCTTGCCCCAGCCACCGGGATGATAACCAAAGCTAGCTCCTGGAGGAATTGGTGCATTCAGTCCAGGGATCTTCAAATGAGGGTATGATGGTGGAGGGCCATATCTCTGCAGAAAGAAGATCAGTAATCACATAGGAAGTAAGAAAAAGGATGAGGCAAGATAACATTTGAACTATAAATATCCAGCAGAAGAATTTACCTGCATATTAATAAGCCATGGTGGAGGGGCACCTTCAGGCATACCAAGAGCTTCTTTTAGTTCTTGCGAAAGAGAGCCTGGCTTCATCTCTCTAAGTTTCACCTATACAAGCAGACAGTACCAGTAAACTAAAATTCAAGTTTGGGATGAAAATTTTGGAGAAATAAAGAGCACAAATACAAACTGAGGAAGAAGTAGTAATCAGCATGAAAACTTAAGAAATATGGAATTTGTACCTCGAACTCCTTCCCTTCGTGGTACAAGTCGCCATGACTTGTTAATTTTGGTTTCGTTTGGAACTTGAAAAAGGCATCATGGAGAACCTGCAAAATAAATCATTGGCAAAGAGGAGCAATAAGTACAAAGCAAAATGACACCATAACAAAAACAACGTAGCAGTGCCAGATTAAGAAACCTGATAATCAATATCCATCTTCCCCATCTTAGGCTGCATTCGCTCTCGTTGCTTCTGCTTCAACTTCTTACCATCCTCTTTCTCAATATATGCCTGCAAAGTGAAGAAAGCGGTAATGATTTTGTCCGAAGTTAATACAGAATGACCAAAATCCATGTTCATACATTAGAAACCATTCCTATAACACAGAACATGAAAGAACATATCGCGAGTCCCACACTCTTAGTCTTTCCCATTCTAAAGAGTAATGGGTGGTAGGAACGATCGAGAAAGAATGAATCATGACTAAAAAAAACAGACATCAAGGAGAGATTCCACAACAATAAATTCAGCCAACATCGTAAAGCCATAGAAATCCAAAATCATCTTACATTATGTGAAAAGACAAACCATATTTGGTTGCAGGCAGGCACTAAGATTTTAGGACCCCAAAAAGGCACCCTCATTTGACCACATCAAAATAAAACATAGCAGAAGAAAATCAAAACACGTGGCTGAAAGTTAAAGCAGCCAAAAGGTAACACTGACCAACAATGGACAAGTACATTTAAAAGTTGTGAACACAATTTACCTGACGAATTTTTTCAATTCCTGTTGCGGCAATGAAATCGGGGAGCTGGAAAGGCTGCTTCTCAATACCACGCTTACCCTGCAAAAAACGATTTTCGAATCGGATAAGGTACCAGAAAGGTAGTAACTTTCCAGATTACCCTAGATCATTTAGTTACTTATCCAGTAACTTCGGTTCAAAACCAAATGATTACAAATTAAAAAAAAAAGCTCAGAAGAATGTGGGCCCCGGCACTAATAATGGAATAGGCATCTGTAAATTGAAAGCAGATAAATTAGCAATGACATTGTGAAAAATGCACAGTTCACATGGCAGTAGGACAAGTTTACTGCTTCAAAACAAGAACCCCCCCCCCCCCCCCCCCCCCCCCCCCTTTCAACCAACCAGCAATTACAATATTCATACTTCATCCCCAACCAACAAACTATAATATTCAAAGACAATTGATATAGGGAACCCTTTGGCAAACACATACAAGTCGAGGATCCACCAGTGTTGCCGCTCCCCTGCAAGAACCACATATATCCATATAAGAGAAACCTTATCGTTGTTATCTCCCCTCACCCTATCCCTTAAAACTCTCATGGTGCACCATATCCATCAACAATGCATTTTCGTACATAATTAAGCAACTACTTCCTAACCTGAAGATACTTCCGTTTCTGACACCAATGCCTTGGTACAGGAACAGTGTTTCTGTACGCCTTCAAGAATACAAGCAACTTCGGATCTGATGCAGTAGCATCCCAAACCTGGCAAATGAAAGAGAATCAACATCAAACCATAACACTCAATATCTTTCTTTCTTTTTCAAGCCAGAGGATAGAATAGATAACTACCTCAACCACATCAGGTCTTGAGCAAATCTGTTTCAGTTCCGCAATTTTCATTCTTCGTAAAAGCTGCCAATAACACCATTGATCGGTTAGCAAACACCAGTAAAGCCAGTATGGAAAACAAACCCAATCAAGCGAAGCATCAACAATACTCATACCTTTTTCCTCTTGTTTGACAAGCCTCCCTTATCCTTCTGCTGGTTATCTTGCTCTCCATCTTCAGAATCAGAATCTGAGTCGGCCTTCTTCTTAGGCTCAACAGCTTGTGCCGCTTCATCTTTCTTGTCAGTATCCTGTATCAGAAACCAAGAAGGAAGTAAATTGTCTGCTAAACAGTACCAACGGCTTGAACATTGACATGAAACTGGGAGCATGTAACTGCATACCTCAGCAGCAGTGCCTTCCACAAAACTAAATTTCTCAAAGATCTTTCTGAATTCATCATCCACACCATCTTCCAACTCTGCCTTCTCTGGAACATATTCCACTACGACTTGCTCAAAACCCTACCACGGAAAATAAGCACGGTGAGTATCGAAATGAAGCTGGAAAAGGACTAATCGTACAAGCTAGTAACCGTCCATCCTCCACTCGGAAACTAGAACTACAGGCTGCATAAGGTTCGAAATCGAAGGAATTTGCAAGTGAAACCCTAGAACTCTGCAAGGAGAGAACAAACACGGGGACCGTACCTTCTGAGGATCGTCGTTCTCTTTCGTCTCGTCGCCATCGCTATCGTCGACATTGGCGGCTGCGGATGCATCACGGGCCTTGTTCTTCTTCTGCTTGCGCCTCCGTCGGCGACGGTCGCTCTCCCTCAGCTTCTTGCCGGAGCTAGGGTTTGAGCCACCCAGATTTCCATTGGCCACCGCGTTAGTGTCTGCGGCGGCAGCACCACTGCCCCCGCCGTTGGACACAGCGCCGTTCTGCAGTGTCGCCGTCGTCATCGCTGAGATGCTGTTTTCGTTGTTTTAGACTAATCGGAGAGGGATTTGATCGGCACACAGGCTTCTGGGAGGGAGTTGAATGACCGCCAAAGGGCTCGAGAGAGAGAGAGGGAACCGTAAAAATTTTGTTGGTCTGGTTCATATAATTGTGGGAACCGGTACACGTATTGGGTGGCAAAAAATAGCAATACCGGCCGGTTGAACCTGGTTCAAACGGTATCGGTTATGAAATAGGATAAACACCAACAATATGATCGGCAAGATAGATTTACGAATTCTATGAACACCAATAGTAATTAGTATAATCATCGACAGTGTGCTGGACAAACGGAGATGCTTACGTGGCGAGCTCTTATTTTTCCTTTTCCTATGTAATTATCCACGTGGATAAAATTTATTAAAAACAAAAAATTTAAGAACTAAAAATTCTAAAGCCCTCCCCTCATTCACTGACTTTATCGGTCTATCTTCATCTGCTTCGAACCACCCAACTCTTCGCCTTCCGAGCAAGACAAAGACGACGAAGGTGACGAAGAAAGATCATCCAACTTTATCACAACCCATAACCACCCCTCCGCCCACTCCCACCACAAACACTAAAATCCGCCACCACCACTACAAGCTCCCTCGCCACTGCCAGCTATGGATCCGAAACCAACTCCATAGCCAAAACCAGAAGCCCAACCGCCCAGCCCATACCCAAATCCATCGCCGGCGACAACCATTAGCTGAACCCACGGTCCCAGACCGACTTCGACGACAACAATCGTTATAACCCAACAGGCGACGAGAACCACTTAGAGAATAGAAGCAAAAAAGTGACCAACAAGCGTCGCCATTGTTCAAAATCCAGCCCCAATTTGGAATTCGTCGACGGCTATCGGCTCCCCCCGCCACTCCCTCTACCGATCCCCTTGCATGTCTCACCTTCTCCAATCGTCGATTCGACGCGCAGAAGAGATGGGTACTATTGACTCGCAGCTCCTCGCCGCCGCCTCTTCCTTAGGGACTGTCGTGCAAAATCCAAAGCCTAGTGGCGGCTGCTCCAACTCCTCCGCAAATCCATCTTCTTCCCCTACCAACAATGGAAATGTGAATCGAGACTTGAAGTCAGATTTCAATTACATGACAAATCTTCTTCATCGATGGCGTTGGAGGGCTTTCGATTCCATCTTCTGAGGGCTACACATACCGCGAAAGATTGGGACTGATGTATTCTCCTTGGAGGAATGAGTTCACGTCCTCGTCGAATTGAAATCCGGGCGTGGAGGCGGAGGGCTTTCAATTGTAGAATTTTGGCGACGACGGATAAGTTGAGGTTTCTGAAAAGGAGGGACTAAAAGAGGCGAGGAAGAAGACCAAACCCCAATTTTTAGCTCCGATATTCTTAACGAGGCGGTGGGGAAGAGAGTCTCCTCTCTGAATCAACGACTCCACCATCCACTTTGTTGGCGGAGATCATCAATTGAGCAGGGCCCAATCTGCAGGTGCTAATGCGGTCAACTATTCGAGGGAGATTTTTGACTCGCCGGCGGACAGACAAGCGGTAATGGAGCTATAGGGGGTTTCGAGATTCAAGAGCTTGGGTGGATTTCGGTGAGGGCTGGTGGCGGCAGAGGAGAGGCAGAGGAAGGTGTGTATTCCGATTGTGAGGGGAATGGCAGAGTGGTTTGCGATAGGGGAGAAACGATTTTCCTTTCTTTCTTTTTTTTTTTTGTAAAATTTTCCTTTCTTTCTTTATGATTAGTATATGAATTTTCCATTTGTTTTTAAAATAAAAATATGACGTGTAACCTACGTGGTGAATGTGGCTGATTTGTCGCTGTCGTGTGTGATGATTTGGCGTCCTAGTCAACCTAATGTTAACCTAACTGATAGAGTCTCTAACACCGTTAAAGTTTGTAACGTAAATGACTATATTTGGCACAAAAGTTTCAAGATTATGGCTATAAGTGGTATTTCTCCAAATTTGACTATTATTGCCACAAACGCGAAAATTTTGGCTATACAAGTGTATTTTGCCTTTATCTTTTTCAAAATAAAAATGAGTTTTCCTTTTTTTCTTCTTTTGTTGAAAATAAAAAAGATAAATAAATGGTAATAGGTTGAAAAAAACCAAAATTTTTAAGTGGTCTGTGCTAACTTGGCAGTGATATGGCGCGTTGACCCTTAGTCAACGCATTTGAACATCCAAGATAACGGTCAAATATCGGGTTTGACCAATTTCGTAACTTTGATGCATAGTTGAGACCATGATATTATAGATCAAAAATATTGGCCAAGATGTTTAATTTGTGAAAAGTTTGGGCCATACACATATATTAACCCTTAAAAGTAACATGAAACATCCTAAGTAAAACCATCCAACTAGAGGTGGGCAATGGCGCACGGTTGGGAAAATAATTATAAATTAATACTATAAATTTCACGTCAAATGTCACATCAGCGCTCACTGGACTTTCTATTAAACACAACAAACAAGGGTTAGCATTTATAACTTCACTAATTACAAAATAAAGGAAAGTAGTTGGTCAATGTGGTTTACCTTCTGCTTATCTGACATGAATAACCATCTAGGATTGTCCTCTACGTTCAGATCGATAGCAAGCAGCTCAATAAACCACTCACAATTTTTCTTGTTCTCCACTCCAACATGAGCAAACACAATAGGATAATATTGGTAATTGGCATTCAAACCCACTGCTGGAAGTAGTTGCCCTCCAAATTCATGCTTCAAGAAGCAACCATCAATGCACAATACTTGCCTACATCCAGCCTTGAACCCTTGCTTGGATGCATTGAAACACACGTACATTCGGTTAAAACATTGAGCTCTCTGCTCAATGATAACCGTTGAGTTGGGGTTGCTCCTTCTCATCTCCTCTCCATAATGATACAAGCACATGTATTGATCCTTCAAGCTGCCAGGAATCTGCTCGATGCTTGCCTTCTTTATTCGGTAAGCCTTCATGTCTCACACATTTTCTTTGCAGTCTTCTTTGACATTGTTTTTTTACCAAGGCCCTACTCATGGTCAAATCAACAACCACCTTCCTAGCTAGTTTGGCCCCTAGAAACTTTGTCATTGCATACTTGACTTTGAAAGTCTTTCGGAAATCAGGTATGTGCACCACCTTGCACTTCTTAATCTGGACAGAATCTTCTAGACTCATCTTCGAAGCCCATATATACCAATTGCATAGTGATTCACACACTGCTTGCAGACGGATCTTGTCATGCTTTTTGAATTTAATGGGCCTCTTCTCTATGAAAGTATGTTGCTTTATTGCTTCTTTCAGAACTGCAAAGCTGCTGAATTTTTGGGAAGCAACAAACTTAGGTGCCTCCATGTCTCGGTCAACCCGAAACTCCTCAACTTGGTACCCATCATCCGAATCTGAACTTACTATACTCTTACAGTCATTGGAGTCCACGTCCTCAATTTTTTCTTCAACTACTTCAGGCTGTCCACTTCCACTTTTAAAGCTACCCATGTCAGCTTCCACATAATGATTTACATATTCTTCAAACTGATCATTGTCACCATCACTAAGATCTTCTTCTTCAGAATATACATAATTGTTGCCATCTTCCTTGTAATAGTCGCTACCAACTTCAACACCCTTTCTTGACTTTCTTCTCGAACTGTCTTCTCTCACTTCCTCGAACCCACTTTCCATGAAATCTTCAATATCATTGTTGGAGATAGCATAAAGTTCAATTACTCTTTCACCTCCATTAGCATAAGTTACATGCCTAGAATGTCGTCTTTATTAGTAATCTCTGTCATTGAGGTATTGCAAGGAGACTTCCAAAAAAATTTCGGATCCTTAACATTCCCACCACATGCCTGGTATATTCCAGACAAATCCAACATTGGTAGCTCATCAATATCGGCATAGTCCCAAAATACAGTTTCTTTCTCGTTGAGGAAATGCTTACCACTCTCTTCTTCAATCCGTGTGACACATGCACTGCAAAAGTGAATTCCCCACTGCAAGCACCTATTATGAAGAAAAAACAGCAAAATGTAAGTATGTGGTGACCATAAAGGCAACTTGTAATAAAAGAAATAAAAGTGTTTGGTCATCCCCACAAGAATCTTCATTTTTCTATTCCAAAATGTCAACCAAGTGTTGTCCTTATCTATAATAAAGTCTAAGTTTGAAATGGTACACCCCATGACTGCTCGTTACATAAAGACAAGAGTAAAAACTCATAAAAGCAAAAGAAAGAAGGTCAAACAACTACTGTTGGCCTTCGTCATCCCCACCACCTGCATTTTCTATTCTAAAAAGATAACAAGGCTGTCATTGATCAAACTTTATGATACAACCACTACTGTCTACTATAAAGACGGGTGAAAACAGAGGTAAACTTACGGCATTGGGGTTGAATCGCATTAGGTGCCCGCACATGCCCCACCATAGTTCTCGCTTGGAATGGAGAGTTGGGAAACAAACAGAAAAGCTGAATTTTAGTATAAAACAAAGAGGCCCAAAACCAAACATGCAACCTCTTCTTCATTTTTATATGCTCCTTCTTCTTTTCTGGACTCTTCAGACTACCTTATAACCATAAAAAAGCAAAGAAACAAATTAGATTCACAGTCGGAGAGAAGAGAGTAGCAACAGACGCTGGGAAGCTTACGCAATAGTGGAATCGATTTAGGGTTTCGTCCACTAATGCGATTGAGGAAGCTGAGGCCGGCGCGCAACGAAGAAGAAGAAGTACAGCGCGAATCGAAGGAGAAGCTGAAGGTTTCGTTGTCTGCTGCGATGGGGGAAACTGACTCCGGCGCGCGACTTCGAAGAAAACGAACAACGCGACTTCGAAGGAGTTTCTGGGACAAGGGGTTCAAGGGGGTAGCATGGCTGGCTCCATCTCTCCCTGCTCTCTGCTCTCTGATGAGTTTGAACGAAAATGGTGGAACCAAGTGGAAGGTGAAGAACTCTCGATGAAGGAGAAGGGTTTTTGGGTCTGCGAATGGAAACTAACCAGATTGATTTTACAATTTTGTTTTATTAAGTGGGCTCTGGTTTGGTTCTGGGTCGGGTTGGGTTAATTTAATGGGTTGGGTCATGGGTGTATGACATGACGGGTTTAATGACGTGGCGGGTCGGGTTTGACCATTACCGGCCCAAAACGACGCTGACTAGGCGCTCCTGTTAGCCACGTCAGCACTTAAAGGACTCCACTAACGGAGTTGGACGGAGGCTAACAGAGAGTGACTAAGCGTGACGACCAGTTTTAGTAATTCGAGTGACCAAATTTGATATGGTCATGGTTCAAATCCTAAACATTTTTAGTTTCCTTTCGAAATTCTATAGTTTTATTCCCGAATCAGTGATGTGCAAATGGCGAATTGCAGTCATCTCTTTTCTTTCATTATTTTTTATTTTCAAATAGAAAGTTTAAAAGTAAAGAATAATTAGAGTTTGTCATGGGTCGGTCAAACATGCTGAATTTCAAGTTTTGGCCCGTTTTGATCAAGTCTAATTTATAATCACATGGTTCCCTGATACCCAATAAAAATCTCAATCCAAACCAGTTTGGCAGGTTAGTCCGTGTTTACCACCATTTTCTATTCCTATCCCAAATCGTGTTGTTCATTCTTGATTTCTTTAGATTTTATCATGGTTTGGCAAAAAACCAGAAAGCACAATGATGACAAGATGAAAGTTTTATAAAACAAATTAATCGGCCAACGGGCCGAGTAAAAGCTAGCAACGACTGTGAGATGCTCATTTCCCGAAAATCGGCGGGATATGCGATTTTTTATTCGATTTTCTGGAATTCGGTTTCTTTAAAACTTACTCCACCTCATCATATTACCAGAAACAATATTGCTTCACAAAGTAACAGGTATTTGATTTTGGTTCATAAGGCTGATTTTTTATTCGTTGCATCATTCATGTCTCTTTCCTACTAAAATTCACTATTTTTATCACGTGTTTCCAAAAAAAAAAAAAACTATACAACAATAAGCTATACACCTCATTACATTATCAAATTTCATACCTCACCTTCCTCCGGCCAAATGGTCGGGGCCCACGCTAGTATTAAATAGTTCAAGACACAAATGCTATTTTCCCGATAGTTTGAGTTTTATAGGGTATTAGTCTCATTATAAAGCACACTAATTAATAATAGTATCCACCCCTTACTTTATTCCCCGCCTTTAGAAGTCAATGAGTCGTGTGTAATGAGGTTAGGGAAAATAATGATTATTTGATATTATAAACAAGAAACATTATTTGTAAGCATGGGTCATTTCGGTGACCCGCAGTCCACCCCACCTATATGAATAAATACGAGTAGGAGGTTTATCAATTCGCAACCCACCTACATCAATCACTCACCCACTACATATCGAGTATTTGTGGGTGGATTGATATCAAATCGCGGCGAAGCTCTACATCAACAACACAAGAAAATAAATCCTTAATCTCCTTTTTTTTTTCTTCATAGAATCCTTAATCTCATTTTAATAAATTAATTAATAATACCACTAATGATTATTTCATTATTGTTTTTGGTTTCTACGCTTTCCCCTGAGCACCACTCATCTCAAGCCCTGCCCTACCAACAAAACCAACGCAACGCCCTCTCCCTCCCTCTCAATTTCCCATTCCATTCATTCATTCATTCATTCATTCATCTTCTTCCCCACACCCACATTCAAATCCCCAAATAGGAATCAGGAAGAAACAAAACCAAATCCTAGAACCAGAGAGAGCCGCCCCCCCCGTCTCCACAATCGCCTTCCTCCGATAAAAAAAAACCCATCCATGGCGACGAAAGTCCCCAATTCCCCGACCTCCAGCAGCGGCGGCGGAGCCGGAACCACCAGCAGCAACCAAGGCATGCTTCTAGGTCGGTACGAGGTCGGCAAGCTGCTCGGCCACGGCACCTTCGCCAAAGTCTACCACGCCCGCAACGTCAAGACCAACGAGAGCGTCGCGATCAAGGTAATCGACAAGGAGAAGATCATGAAGGGCGGCCTAATCGCCCACATCAAGCGCGAGATCTCCAACCTCCGCCGCGTCCGCCACCCGAACATCGTCCACCTCTTCGAGGTCATGGCCACGAAAGCCAAGATCTACTTCGTCATGGAGTACGTCCGCGGCGGCGAGCTCTTCAACAAGGTCGCCAAGGGCCGGCTGAAGGAGGACGCCGCCCGCCGCTACTTCCAGCAATTGATCTCCGCCGTCGCCTTCTGCCACGCCCGCGGGGTCTTCCACCGCGACCTCAAGCCGGAGAACCTCCTCCTCGACGAGAACGGCAGCCTGAAGGTCTCCGATTTCGGCCTCAGCGCCGTCGCCGACCAGATCCGGCAGGACGGCCTCTTCCACACGTTCTGCGGCACCCCTGCCTACGTGGCGCCGGAGGTCCTCGCGAGGAGAGGCTACGACGCCGCCAAGGTAGACATCTGGTCCTGCGGCGTGATTTTGTTCGTGCTAATGGCGGGGTACCTCCCTTTCCACGATCAGAACGTGATGCTCATGTACAAGAAGATCTACAAGGGCGAATTCCGGTGCCCTAAGTGGTTCTCCCCTGAGCTCTCCAAGCTGCTGACGAAGCTCCTCGACACGAACCCTGCCACGAGAATCACAATTCAAGAGGTAATGGAGAATCGATGGTTCAAAAGAGGGTTTAAGCACATCAAATTTTACATAGAAGACGATAGGGTTTGCAATGTGGATGAATTGATGAACCAGGATCAGAGCCAGAACCAGGACGATGCGGGTTCGTGCTCGGACACCTCGATGTCCGAATCGGATTCCGAATTCGAATCGAGGCGGAGGGTGGCCTCGCTGCAGAGACCCGCGAGCTTGAATGCATTCGACATCATATCGTTCTCGCCCGGGTTCAATCTGTCCGGGCTGTTCGAGGAAGGAGGAGGGGAAGGGGCGAGGTTCGTGTCGAGCGCGCCCGTGTCGAAGATCATATCGAAGCTGGAGGAGATTGCGCAGCTGGTGAGCTTTACTGTGAGGAAGAAGGATTACAGGGTGAGCCTGGAAGGGTCGAGGGAAGGGGCGAAAGGGCCGTTGACGATCGCTGCGGAGATATTCGAGCTGACGCCCAAGTTGGTGGTGGTGGAGGTGAAGAAGAAAGGTGGGGATAGAGGGGAGTATGAGGATTTCTTCAACAAGGAGTTGAGACCTGGGCTGCAGAAATTGATGATGGAGGAATCTAAACAAGATGCTGCTTCTGGTGGTGGTGGTATGGGTTCTACTACGAGTTCCACAATTGGTTCTCCTCCCAGGCTGTCTACTGATTCTTTGTCGTCGATTCCTTGTACATATATACCTTCTGATACTGAATAAAAAAGAAACAGAGGAAGCAAAACAGGGTACAGGGCGGGTAAGCTTTGAATGAAAAGCAGCTGCCTTTTTTTTTTGTATGATAATTCTTTGGTTCTTGTTTTTTCTTTTGTTCTTCTTTCATTTTTTTGTCTTTCGTTGTGTTCTGATTTGTATATTCTGTTCTAAGTACGAAGAAACACACAAGAGTGTAGATAGGATCAAAGAGAATGGAATACACAAAGTTTTCTTCGTTTTGTCTTTTTTGCATTGCAGCAGCTGAGAGTTTCTGCAGAGTGTCAGTAGTGGGCACTGGAAACGGCCAAACACTCTCCTTCCTTTCCCAACTTGTTGCGCCATAATGTGCTTTGCTAGATCTCATTTTCTCGACTTATAATGTCATCATCATGTACGTTTCTTCCGTCCAGTGGCTCATGGGTCGTGGCTATACCCAAGGTTGTCAACCCGCGACCCGGACCCGGTTGAGCTAGTGGGTCAAGGGTTAATGGGTCATCTGTTTTAGCCCGGTTTAGTCCGGAAATATGAAAAACGTCATTATATTGTACTTATCCTGATAAATTATATCAAATCTCATCTAACATATGAGTTATAACATATAATATTACACCAAAATAACATTTCGTACTTAGATTCAACATATAATGAAAATTTACACACACTTATATAACATTAATATTCAAATGTTCAACTTAGGATTCCAAAGATTGAGTTAGGCGAAAAGAAAATTCGGAAAATATGCGCATTTCGCAAAACAAAGAAAAAAATGACACAATTTGACCTCCAACCCGGTACCTTACAGCGATCGACCCGACGGGTGCGTGCGGCCTGTTTTTCTCACCGGGTCAGGATCAAAGTGGGTCAACCCGCGGGTCGACCCGCGGGTTGACAACCTCGGCTATACCACCATTGTTCTAGTTTGTGTGGCCAGAAAAGGTTACCCCTTGCTTATTTCATAACGTTGTACAGTTCCACGCGAGTAGAGTCGGCGGACGGCCAACCATTCCTGCCTTTTTTTTTTTAACAAAAGATAGCTTGCATTACCAAGAACTCAAGATCACAAACGATTACATCTCCGAATGGAGCCAAACGCAAAAATCGAACCCCTCAATAAGAGCGGGAAACAAAGAAAGGGCTTTCCTAGCCACCCTATGGGCTACCCTATTGTTATCCCTGCCTACAAATCGAAGCTTCTCCCCTAAACCAGCCGCCAGCATTCCTTGAACCTCCTGTAACACAGCACCCCCCCTGGAATCCCACGTACACCCCGCCACCACTTTGTCAATCACGACCTTTGCATCCCCCTAGTAGCAGACATCCTGGATACCCATCGCCCGACACCACAAGATCGCTTCCCGAAGCGCCATCAACTCCACAAGCATTGGGTCAGTAAGACCAGCCAACCCCCTTCCCATCGCCCTGACCACCACCCCATCCGGCCCTTGCAGCACCACCCCAACCGCAGAATGAGATCCCTCGCGCACTGCCCCATCAAAGGAGCACACCCAAGACACATCCTGCGGCCACAGATCCCTCCTACTTACCGCCCCCTGCCTGTGATCCCTGCGGCTCCCTTCCCCCGCACCATTCGCATGCCGCCATTCGTCGACCTGGATACACCATTGGTTACATAAGACCACCCTCTGATATTGGCATCCATCGAAAACAACCCAGTTGCGAGACTTCCACACCCTCCAGAGCATAGAAATGACCCGCATCAGGATCCCCTCATCGGACACCTCGTCCAGCAGCCTACGCACCATCAAGCCCACATTCTCCACTGGCAACCTAGCCCGAACATCCTCCAATCCCGAATCCGCCCACAAATCCCTCGCCACCGGGCAATGGAGGAACAAATGCTCCAAATCCTCCACCTCATGCCAACACACCGGACACCGCTCCTCCACCTCAATGTCTCGCACAAGAAAGGCCTCCACAGTCGGCAAAATCCTGTTCATGACCTGCCACATGAAGAACTTAAGCTTCGGCGGAATTCTGAGATTCCACAACTTCCCCCACAGGACTGGGTCCATCCAAGAAACCTCACACTTGCCCCTCCACTGGCCCTTGTTCAACCTCATCGCTAAACGATACCCTGACTTCACCGTGTACTGCCCGGACCGGTCCTCATGCCAGACAAGCTTATCCCGAATAGGCAATCGAGGGAGGATGATCGCTTTGATTGCCTGTCCCACCTCCGGACTGAAGCAATTTGCCAAGCACTCATCACACCACGTCCCTGGCTCCTCACCCATCAACCCCGATACTGTGGCACCATCCCAGAGATGAGCTGACGCCCGCACCACCGGAGGATTAGGGTGACACTCCGGCACCCAATTGGTTGTTGCAATCTCCACCTCCTCTCCCGTACCCACCTGCCAGCGTAGCCCTGCCTTTAAAAGATTAACACCATGCAGAACGCTCTGCCACCCCCAAGACGGCCTAGATCGAGCGGTGGCCGTCAACAGAGAACCATTCGGGAAATATTTCCCCTTATAGATCCGAGCGAGCAGTGAGTCAGGCTCCTGTATCATCCGCCATCCCACTTTGGCCAGCAGAGCTTGATTAAACTGCTCAAACCGTCGAAAGCCCAGACCCCCTTCATTCTTAGGCTGGCACAGTTTTCGCCATGATCTCCAGTGAATCCTCTCTACCGAACCCCCCCCACCAAAACCGCGCCATATATTTATCTAGACGCCTGCACAACGTCACGGGAAGCTTAAAACACGCCATAACATATACCGGCAAAGCAGCCGCCACCGATTTTAGCAGAGTCTCTTTAGCAGCCCAAGACAAGTGACGCTGCTTCCAACCTTTTAACTTCTGCAACATCGTCTCCTCTAGAAATCGGAATGTCTCCGACTTAGATCGAGCAATTAAGGTGGGGAGCCCCAGATACTTATCCTGAACTCCCACCGCCCCCACCCCCAACTTTCCGGCCATGGCGTCACAGTCCTCCTCCGTCACATTCCGGCTAAAGCAAACCGCAGACTTTCCCAGATTCACTCGTTGCCCGCTCAACTCCTCATACTCCCCCAGAACTTGCAGCAGGTTCTCACAATGCGGCATCGATGCTTGCACGAACAAATATGAATCATCTGAAAAGAACAGGTTGGACACCCTGGGCGCTTTCGGGCTAACCCGAACCCCCACCAACCGCCGTTCCACTACTGCTTTTTTTTATCAACGCCGTCAAACCTTCCGTGCAGAGAACAAACAAGAGGGGTGACAACGGATCCCCCTGCCTGAGTCCCCTGGTCGGACGAAAGTACCCTGCTGGCATCCCATTCATCATGATCGAGAAGGAGGAGGACGAAACACACTCCTGGATCCATTTGACCCACTGATCATCAAACCCCATTTTCTTCATGAGCGAAAGTAAGAAGGGCCATTCAACCCTGTCATAGGCCTTTTCCATGTCAACCTTCAAGGCCATATAACCCTTCTTCCCTTTCGTCTTAATCTTCAAATAGTGCATGATTTCATGACCAATCAGAACATTATCAACAATTTGTCTCTCCTTGATAAAAGCATTTTGCTCAGGCGAGACCACCGTTGGTAAAATCAGCGCCAACCTATTAGCCAAGATCTTCGAAATAATCTTGTAGATGACCTGACATAGACTGATTGGCCGCAACTGCCGCATCGATTCAACTTCCTCCACCTTCGGAATCAGCGTCACCCAGGTGTGATTAAAGCTCCGAAGGAGCTTACCATTCACAAAAAAGGCCTCCACTGCCTCCCCGACCAACTGGCCCACAATATCCCAGTATGCCCGAAAAAACTTAGCCGTGAACCCATCAGACCCCGGCGCCTGCGTAGGACCTATGGAGAAAATCGTACGACGTATCTCCTCGGGCGTAACGGAGGCAACCAGAGCCTGATTCATTTCCGCCATTACAAGCCTCTCAATAGGCAAATCCGCCACCCTAGCCTCCAGGTTCTCAACCTGGTGTTCCGTCGTAAACAGCTTTTCAAAAAAATCCACCGCCATTTTGCCCTTCTCCGCTTCCTCTTCAACCCACCCCCCCTCCTCATTTCGGAGCTTCTCAATAAAATTCTTCCTACGGCGAGTACGCGTCACCATATGGAAATACGATGAATTGCGATCACCCTCTTTCAGCCACCGGACCCTAGATTTTTGTTTCCAAAAAACCTCCTCCGAGGCCCATTGTCTCCCTAACTCCACCTCCAGCTCCCTAATCGTCTCCCAATCCACCGGATTTCCCCCCCTGAGCGCCTCGATTTCCCCTTGCAGCGAGCGAATATTCCTAGCCGAATTCGACGTCCCCGCCCGCGACCAATCGTACAGCATATGTCGTACCTTTTTGAGCTTCGTCCAGAGTTGAAACATCGGCGAACCCGATTCCACCTGCGCCCAAACATACTCGATCATAAGTCGAACCTCCGGATTTTCTACCCAACGGGCATCAAACCGAAACAGTCTACGGGCCGTTCGTTTAAAAGGCTTATCCGCAATAATGAGCGCCCTATGATCGGATCCAATATCCGTACAATGGAGAACAATCGTATCCGGGAAGGCCTCCATCCAAGCCGCCGAACCAAGGGCACGATCTAAGCGTTTTTGCACACACGCCGCTCCCATTCTTCTATTCGTCCACGTAAACAACGGACCCTGGAAGCCCAAGTCATGAAGCGCCAACGAGTCTACAAAATTACGGAAATCAAGAGATTGGGTCGGCGCCCACGGAATCCCCCCCTCCTTCTCGTTAGAAGAGAGAGTCGAGTTAAAGTCACCCACAATGACAAAGGGTTCCGAAATCCCTTGGCAATAGGCTCGCAGGGCCACCAACTGCCCTCGACGCACTGAATCAACGCAACTAATATAAACACAAACCACCACATACGGAACATCCATATTATTAATCCGAATTGAAATAAAAAATGACGAACTACATAACACCGTAGCACAAATGCTCGGGGACCACCCTACAACTAGGCCGCCAGAAGAATCCACGGCATCGACAAGAAAACACGACTCTAAATCAAACCCCAACCCACGCATACGACGCTTAACAACTTTTCGACGAGACCTGGTCTCCGACAAGAACACCAAATCCGGATTATTGACTCTAATTAAGCCTAACAACGATTGGAACGTTAGGGACGGCCCAATCCCACGCACGTTCCAAGACAGGAGTCTCATTTATCCAACTGGGGCCATTTCGGGCTGGCTACCTCCACCATTTCTTTGTCCTCCTTGTTCGGATTTTCAGCGCACAGTTTCTTCGTGGGTGTTGGATCCTGCGCAAGATCCTCCACCATCTCCACCGATCTCTTTCTCTCTACCAGTTCGTCTTCCGCAATCGCCATCCTGAACACCTCCGACAGCTTGGGGAAATTGGTCCCGTATTCGTCCGTCACTTTTGGTTCGGCATCTAAAACTTCCGGCTTCTCCCCTTCCTCCACCACTCCCGCGACCACCTCATTCTTATCCACCTTTTCCGATTGCAACCCCACCTGTGCTACCGCCTCACCCGCATCCCCAGCCCCAACAAGTGGGGATTTTGGTGAGTCCCCTTTCTTCTCCTTCCCTTTGCTTCCCCCGTCTGGTAGCCCAGCCGCACCCTGCCCTTCCGTCTCCAACTTTCCCCTTTTACCCAGCCCCTTCTCTTTTTCCCTTATCGCACCCCTCCCCGCCAGAACTCCCCCCTCCTTCTTCAATCCTCCCTGCCCCCCTGACTTCCCACCATCTCCCCGCCCCTTCAATCCCACCTCCGGCCGGCCCCCTCCTTCCACCAATTGATTACCACGCTCACCTGCGCCCCGCCCAACAGCCTCCCTCTGCTTCTTTGACCGGGGCTCCATCGGCTCCCTCTCCTCCACACGAGCACCCCGTCCTCCCTTCTGACTCCCCCCGACCCCACCCTGCCTATTCCCTTCGCGGCTCCAAACCCCCTGCCCCCCTTTCCCGACGCGGTCACCTTCTGCCGGTAACGCCAGCACCACCTCCCGCCCGAGGCTCTTGGACTCACTCATCCGCTTGTCGCCCCGATCAGTCGCCGACCCCACCGCCACCTTCCCTTTGGTTTTCGGATTTACCCACACAGACTGCGGGAGCGGCGGAGGGTTGAATTGGGCAGGTTTGAGGGTATCTTCCTTCAGCCGAAAGCCCACCTCCGTAGTCACCATCTCCTGGCTAAATCTTTCTTCACCACTTGGATCTGGAAACACACAATTGCGCTCCATGTGCCCCAACCGCCCGCAGTGGAAGCAGAACAGGGGAAGGAATTCGTAAGCAAAGGTCACCCAGAATTTGCCGGCGACCTCATTGCTAGCCCAAATTTGTGACCGCAGCGGCTGAAGCACATTGATTTTCACTCTGGCTTTGAGGAACTGGTCAGACTCCCCTTTGATTCCAAACAGGCCAACATCCAGGACCTCACCCAACTTCGATTCCGCCACCCTTCGACCGAATGCGATCGTGCGGCAGTGGGAGGGGATCCCCCACATCTGGACCGAGAATGGTACGAAACCAAGGGAGTCAAAAACCTCTTCCGAAACCGGTGACCAGCGTTGGAGATGCAACACCCGGTCCTTGACTGGCCACGGCGTGCGCTTGAGCACCCATTCCATGTCCTCCGTGTCGTCGAACAGAAATTGCAGCAGCCCCATCTCCGCCTCCATCACCTGAACTTTCTTCCTGCATTCCCAAGCACCAGTAACAATCTTGTGAATGACCGCCAGACTCGGCCTGTTCTCAATGAATAGTCTCCCAAGGAGGCTCATTTTCGCCCTCTGCATACTCACAGCTACATCATCAGTGGAGAACTCCACGATCTGGTCCTGGCAAATATTTTGTTCTGCCATTGTTTCTATCTGCCGCTGTTCGGCGATTTCCGTCCGAGGAGCAAGACAGCTAGAAAGAAAGCTCGCCTCACTCAGCCCTTGGTCCAACCGAATTCGTTGTAAACTATCAACCAACCACCCCTTGAAAGTTTTTTGAATGCAGAGGTTGTTGTAGTACTCAAACAGATTTAAAGTCCCCCCAAGACTTCGACCCCAAGAAGGAAACCCGATCGGTTTCGTGAGGATAATCCAGGGGGTTAAAGTTTGAACTGCCAGATTCGGGTCTTGGGAATTATCCCCATCCCAACCGCTTAACCAATTATTAGTCAAATAAATCCTCTTACGGATGTCGAAATTAATATTATCAATATTATTTAAATCCCCTTCAAATCGGGTACTCCGGATTTGCCGCCAACAACTCCACGTCAGCTCGATTCCGTGCTCTTCCTCGCCGCGCGTCGGTTCCGTTCGCCGATCACCGCTTCGGCTCCAATTCCTTGTTAGTCTCTGACCACCAGTGGCAAACTTGCCCATTGACATCACCGTTTCATTTTCATGATCCCTACTCAGATCACCACCCTCCGAAGGAGGTTTTCCGCACTGGCCAAACCCAGTATTCATCATCGCAATTACCCCACCCCGTGCGTCTTCCAGCCAACGTTTCTTCGCCGCTGTGCGCATCATAGGGCCCTTGTTCCGCCTGAACACCGCCTCCACCTTGCCCCATAACTCTTCCAAGCTTTTTCTCGCCCAGCTTGCCCATCCTGTTGAGCTCTCCATGGTTTCATCCTTCGAAAACCAAATGGAGAGGAAGAGGAAGTATGCAGTTCCCACGATTTTCCGTAGGAGAGAGGACAGAGCATTCTTCACCATTTTTTTTTTTTTGAACTTAAGTACTGCCATTCCTGCCACTGCCACTAAGTATATTTGTGCAAAAATTTAGTATAAGGATACATTTATTAATTTACAATAATAGAGGGTAAAAAATGCTATTAACCCTAATAAGACCATCCACAATGTGGGTTGGTTTTGTGGGAAAAAGGGGAAATGTGACCACAATGTGGGGGAGGAATAGGGAATTAAATGGGTTTTGTGGGTTTAGTGGGTGGGAAAACCCACCAGATGAGACAAATGGTGGGAGGAAGTGGAGGATGGGAAAGGACAACCCTTTCTTTTCTTTTTTTTTTTTTAATTTTTTTCCTGATTTTAGCAAAAGCTTGTTTGGAAAGTTGTGTTTTTGTCCCCAACGGACAGATTTAACCAACAACCATATTTTGCAACGGTCACTTTTAACGGCCATATTTTTCAACGGCCATTTTTCCAAATTAATGATGTCATACTTAATTAGTGATGAAAAAAAAATATTTCCAAATTAAAAAAAAATTATATGGAAATGTTCGTATTAATTAATTATCACTAAGTACGTAATAATAATGATCATTATAGGAAAAAAAGTGACAAAATCAACTATAGATTGATTTTAACAGAAAATTACTAAACTGATTACCCACTTTTCCCACCGCCACACTGTGACCAAACCAATCAATTTTCCCACTTTTCCCTCTTTTCCCACATTTCCCCACCCACATTGTAGATGGTCTAAAAGTTACTTCTCAAATTTGGCTTTATAGACCGAGTCACAGCCAGTCCAAACCGTGACCAAGACACCAGGATAGTTTATATTTCTACAATGCCATATAATTTCTCATTATAATGAAGCCAAAACCAGTGAAAAAGATGATAATAATTAATTAGGAGAAAAAGGACAATAATCACGTCGAAGCTATCAGCAAATCATATCTCGTTTGTTGTTTAGCTTCGTGTCATTTTCCATGCTCAGGTCAGCATGCACTCTAAACAAATATGAATAGGAAGAAAAAGAAAAAGCACTACCTACCTAATGACTTTTTTTTTTGTTTTTTTTACAAAAGTAGGATCTTTCAGTTTGAAGTACAAGCAAAAATTACATGGGACATGTTCTGAAATAAGATCAAGAATGGTGAGCCAATCATGAGTGAGAGTCGAGTGATTAAGGGAATGAGCAATCCAATCCGCACGAAAATTAAGACTACGAGAGATCCAATGAACATCCACTAACGGCGTCGAGGATCTATCGCATTGCCGCCATAGTAGAGGAACAACGTCACGACCAACATACCAGATCGTGCGCATTAACAAGAACCTCGCAATAAGACCGAACCACACATGGCTCGTTACATTTTTGACCAAATTCCAGCCCTACAAGGAGAAGTTTTGCTTCCACTTCAACCGGAGAAGAATAAAGGAAAGAGCCAGCCTATCTCGTGGTTGTTGATGATCATAATACCTTTAGCCCCCCGGGAATCATGTAGAAATGACCCATTACAATGTATCTCTAGAGTGGGTATACTTGGATGGCGAACAAGGATGATGATGGGCCCTCTAGACTGACTTTGAGTCCTCGAGATAGTGGATGGTTCATTTGGACAATTGGTCCACTTGAAAGGCTCTCGAACTGTCGCAATGCATGTGTCATAGTTTGATGGGATGGACTCTCTAAACACACCACCGTTCCTGGCTTTCCATATATTCCAACAAAAGTAGATGACTTGAAGAATGCTCGAGGGAGAGAGACCATCCTTCAAGCTACAAAACCATTCCAATAAAGCAAAACATGAGGAAGGTAGGGGTAACGTCAGGAATCGTCTCCTCCAGACTTTTGCTATGTGCTCAGACAAGAATAGACAATGATTGATGGTTTCCTCTGGACAATCACAACATGGGCAATTGGTATTAGGGGAGCTCTTCCTACTCGACAGATTCTTTTTTGTTGCCAACAAATTCTTAGAGCCTCGCCAAATGAAGTTGTGTAATTTTGGCGATAAGGATAAGCTTCACACCCATTTCCATTGATCCCTATCAAAACCAGAAGAAGAATTTTGATGGTAAGCTCTACCCAAAATCGAGTTGTGAAAAGCATGATAAGCTGATTTAACAATGAGTGTCCCTGAATCAGTGAACTCTTAAGCTCACACGTCCTTCATAATTTAAGGGTGACAAACGGTAAGCCGGTAAACGGTTTACCGTTTTACCAAACCGGTAACCGGCGATAAATGGTAAACCGTTTACCGGCGGTATCGGCGGCCGAGTGTCAAAGGGTGAAGTTTGGTTTACCGGCCCCAGTATCGATAAACACCGATGGTAAGTCGGTACCGATACCGATAAGTGCGCTGCGCTGCGTTTTGCTTTTGCCCAAACCCTAGGAAAAAAAACGAAACCCCCTGTTCCCAGCCACCTCTCCTCTTTTCGTTTTCATTTTGCAGTCGCGCAACCACCTCTCCTCTTTTCGCCTTCGCCTCTCCTTCTGCTGGCAGCACGACCACGCCATTTTGACAGACGACCATGCCGCAACACGATGACGAGCGACGCTTCCCCTGAGTCCCTGACTCTCCCTTCCGACCTCTCCCTTCCCTCGCCGACACCAGCCCTTCCCAGTCCTCCTCTGCCACCTTCCGGATTCCCCGCCGCCGCCAAGTCGCCATCTCCTCGGCTCCTTCCGTTCTGCGACCACACGTCCACGCCTCTTCATCAGCCTCTACCTTCCCTCGACAACCTTCTTCAATCAAAGGGAACGGTTCACATATGACAGAATAGAACAAGGGGACTTTTGAATTCGAGGTAAAACTTTTTGTTCAATCACTTCTTCCAATCTATGATCTTTCTTTGTTATAGAATACGACCTCAGATGTGAATGTGATTGTTGTGTTTGATCACCAGAGCAAGAAAGGAAGGGCTCCCTGAACTTGACTTGGGGCAGAGGACTTGGTTTCTCCATTTTGGAAAGCAAAGGGCCGAGGGAGGCAACAATAACAAGCCAACAGCAGTCAGCATTCAGCAATTAGCCAAAATAATAATATGTATGTTAATAAGTTAATTGAATTGTAGTTTCAAGTATGTATTGAATTGAATTGATGAAAATTGACTATTGAGTATTGAGTCATTGATGAGAAATTGTCAGTGAATTGAGGTTGATTGATTAATTGAATTGAGGTTGATTGAATTGAGATTGATGAGTAATTGTTGAATGATTGTTTAGGAGGTTTATGTGTTCATTTTGTTGTTTTTTTGTAGAACGAAACCTTCTGTTGGCAGCCGTGGAGGAGGTAGTAAGAAGAAAGCTAGTTCTCTACCTCCTCGAAACTCTTCAAAAAAAGGTCAAAGCTCTTCAAAAAAATGGAAGGCTTCGACTAGTAGCACACCTTCCACTACTGCAAATTCACCCGCAGTTGTAGCAAATCCACCTCCTGAGGCAAATCCTCCTCCATCTGTTGAGGTACCTGGTGTACAGAAGAAAATTGACAAGGGGAAGGGGAGGAAGTCAAAATCTAAGTGGTGAATTCCTTACACCCATGAGTTGGTTGATGACTACCCATACGGCAAATGCAAACGGTGTGGGATGCTGATCAAAGCTCATCCAACCTTCAATGGGACTAGTGGTTTGAAGAGCCATCACCTAATGTGCAAGAGGAGGGCGAAGGAAGCTAGTGGTCAGTCGGTATTGAACTATCAACCTGGAAGTGGAGATGGTGAGGTAGGCTCTCTTACTCCATGGAAGTTTGATCAGAACAAATCTAGACATGCATTAGCTATGATGATAATCTTGGATGAGCTTCCGTTTAGATTTGTTGAGCGGGAGGGGTTTAGGAGATTTATGGCAACAACTCAGCCTTTGTTTGTGATACCTGGAAGGCAAACAATAAGATCTGATTGTTATATAATTTTTCTGGAGAAGAAAGAAATATTGATTGAGTTTTTTTTACTTAAACTGCAAAGGAAGAATATCTATCACTACATATACATGGACTAGTGATAACAACCAGAGTTTTATGTGTGTGACTGCACATTTTATTGGAGATGATTGGAAGTTGCAGAATAGGATTATTTGCTTTGTTCCCATTACTAGTCACACAGGAGGATATTGTAGATACTTTGGATAAGTGTCTACAATGGATAATGCCAGTTCCAATGATGTTCTTATTGAGTGCATGAGAACAAAAATGAAGAGGTGGGGAACATATTTGCTAGATGGGAAGTATTTGAAGTATAGATGTGTGGCACATATCATCAATCTGGTTGTTTCTGATGGATTGAAGGAGGTTGAAGATGTTGTGGAGAGGGTAAGGGATTGTGTGAAATGGGTGAAGTCATCCCTAGCTCGGAGTGCAAAGTTCAAGAAAGGCACCAACTATCTAGATATGGATGGGAAAAGACTGTGTCTTTGGATGTTCCGACTAGGTGGAATTCCACCTATCTGATGTTGGATTCTGCGGAGAGGTTTGAGCAGGTTTTTAAGTTCATGTATGCTAGTCCTACTGATTCTTCCTTTCGAGACTATGTGGATTCCAAGAAGGGTCTTCCAATTGAAGATGATTGGAGTAGTATTAGGCGGCTCATGAAGTACCTGAAGTTCTTTTATGAGCTTACTCTTCGTGTATCAGGTATATGAACTAATAATTATCAAATTTTAAAATTAAAGTGAATGATTATGAGTTATATTATTTATACTAATGTCAGTAAGTTTTACTTTGTATCAGGAACATCATATGTCACTGCACATACTTTCTGCAAAGCCATTGTGGATATCCATGAAGTGATAGCAACATTGAAGAAAGATGCAGATGGACAGATACAAAGAATGGCAGAAAGAATAGAGGCAAAGGTGAGAAAGTATTGGTTTGAGAATGATGTTGATGACGAGGAGGATAACCTTAGGATAAATAGGATAGTTTACATGGCCTGTGTGCAAGATCCCAGGTGTAAGCTATACTATTTGACTATGATGTTGGAAGAAATGTATGGGATCTCAAAAGGGGGAGCTTTGGCAGATGAAGTAAAGAAGGAGATGATTGCATTGTACGGTGTCTACAAGATAAAGTATGCAATTCCACCCTGTGTATGTGCCTACTACCCAGAATACTACTCCTATTGAGACTAGTGCCGGATCTGTTGTTACTATGGGAGGGGCATTTGAAGCTCGGTTCCAACAAAAGAGAAAGGAGCAAGTTGAGAGGGGGGGGGGGGGTCGAGGTTCTGGTGAGTTGGAGCAGTATTTGAGAGATGTTGGTGATGCTATTAATGAGGAGATTGATGATCGGAAGTTTGACATTCTGAAGTGGTGGGTTCGGAACAGTGTTAGATATCTCATTCTTTCAGAGATGGTTAGGGATATATTAGCAGCTCCAGTCTCCTCTGTTGAATCAGAGTCTGTTTTAGTCGTGGAGGTCGAGTTCTTAGTCCTTTCAGGTCTTCTTTAAGCCCAAACATTGTAGAGACATTGATTTGTGCTGAAGATTGGATAAGATATGAAAGTGGAAAGACTGCAGATGAACTGAATGATAAGGAAGAAGATCAAGAGACAATCGATTATGAAAGTGGTAAGAATTCAATTTATTATTCTAATTTGTCTATACTCTTTACTATTTAAATTTCAAACCATTCCATTAGTAACATACTAACATTTGTGTATTTTATTTGCACTAGTTACTAATACTTTCCAATCTCGAGTGGAAAATGCAAGTGACATCCCAAGTGGAGCACATAGCTTACCTGTTGGGGTTGATGAGGAGGAGGTCGAGGAGGAGGAGGAGGGTGATGATGAAGAATCCTTCGAGTCTGACGAAGACATGAACCAAGATGCCGATGATGATCCCGATGATACTCTTCTCGAGCCTTTGAAGAAGAAAGGTTGTGCAAATGTTGGTGGTGCTACAAGTTCTACCGGAGAAGGAGGAGCATGAGCCATGAGCTATTGGTTATTTGGTTGTCTATTTAAATTTTTAAGTTTGGACTTTGAACTTGTGTTGAATTTAGACATTATCATTGGGCACTTTAGCCGATTGACGATTATGTATTTATGTTGATTGTTGACTTGTTGTCCCTTTGAATTTGACAATGTTTTTCGAATTGTCGTTTGATGAATTTGAATATTTGATGAATGATGATGCTTGATGAGATTTGATGTTGATTCATGAATCATGATTTTTGACCCTTTGAACTTATGTTAAATTAAATAGATTAATAGATAGCAACTTTGAGTTTGCCAAATATTAAGTTAAGGCATTAACATATAACATATACTTCATTATTCACAAATATTACATATATGAATGGAAGTAAGTAAGTATAGGCCTCATAAATATTACAAATAAGAGTTAATAATACATTATCAATTACAAAAATGAAGAAAAAACTAAAAAAATCAAAATATTACAACATCACCCATTGCCCATAAATTCGGTCGGTAATTTATCGGTAAACCGAACTGAAAAATCGTCCGCAACTACTCCTTACGGTAAGTTGGTAAAACCGGTTTGTAACCGTTACCGGTAATTCGGTAACCGGTATCGGTAATCGATTCCCCCTTACCCACTGTCGGCATACCGAAAACCGGTAAAGTGACCGAATATCACCCCTACTTCATATCCTCAAGACCAATAATAACGGTCCTAATCGAATCAACTTTCTCATGTGATAAGCTGCTAGGAAAAGTACTAAGATCACATTCCCGATCTTCCTCATTGATCCACTCCGCAACTCTAAGATTAAGTTGCAAATTCGACGACAATCTCAGGTTCAGCAAAGATGGAATCCATGGATTCTTGAATGCTGAAGTATCCTCCCCATTTTCAATAACTTTTATCTCTCCCATATCGAGTATCTTTTTTTCTTTACAAAGACTCGTTCAAATCCACGATGATCGGCTTCTTTACTCTAGGATAGGAAGTCCCCTTGATGGAAATATAATCCTTTTGACAGTTGAGCCCAAAAAGCATTGAGACACTTGGTAAGTCTCCACGCTTGCTTTGCCAAAATAGAAAGGTTGAAATCTATGAAGTTCATAGACCCCAAGCCACCTTCGGATCTGAGGGCACTAGTCTCAAATAGGGTTGCAAATGAGTCTAGTCGAGCCGAGTTTTACCCAAGTTTGAGCTCAACTTGTTAATAAATGAGTAGAGCCGAGCTCGAGTTAGCTTGCTTAATAAAATCTTGACTCGTATTTGATATACTCATTTTGTATCTCATAAATGATACATGTGATTAATGTCAATATGAAAGCAAAAATAATAATAGTTTGCCCATGTTATATTTTGTGGTATCAAATTATTTAGATAATAAATTTTAACTACTGAAAATTATGTTATATCACAGTATCGAAGCAATCTATGATACATAATTGCTTTTTAAAATTAAATAAGACATAATTGCTCACATAATCTACGTGTTAAACTTCATATAGGGTGAGATATATAATTTAACAATCCTATGATCATGGGCAAAGCCGTCTTTTTCCGCCCCTCCTCATAACTCGATAATCGAGTTAGCTCTCTAACCACAATTTTGAGAGTTGAGATATCTTATGAGCTCTAAACGAGTCATCTCACTAGTTGAGCTCGACAAGCCACCGAGTCGAGCTAGCTCGCCAGCTCCACGAGCTAAAGAAGTCTAATCTCAAGCTTGGCTTATTAGTAAACAAACCGAGCTTCGAACGATTTTTTTCCGAGTCGAAGGTCGCGCCTCTCGCAAGCAGCTCGACTCATTTGAAGCCCTACAATTTGGTGTGGACCTGTTTACACCATAAAATTTGTCTTGTACCACATTGGTGAGTTACAAGATAATCAATGAGTTTATAAGTCCACACCCATTATAACAATTAATATTGTTTAAGTTGGGCCTTATGGATATTGATTTTAAGCCCAAGCCACTAAGTCTGGAGAGTGACATGCCGCCTCAGCAAAGAGGGCCATGTCCATCTAAAATCTAGAAGCATGTGCCACCTCATGAAGAGGGCCATGTCCATCTAGAAATTGAGGAGCACATGCCGCCCCAAGATCAAGACTGAATGACTGAAAAATAAACTAAGTTTGGAAGAGGTACATGCCGCTTCAAGGAGAAGGGGAATGGATGGGAGACAGGAGGTTTAGGCATGATTGAAAAACTAAGTATGAGAAAGCCATGCCAGCTCAAGAGAAGAACCATGTGCATGATTGGGAGATCCATGGCCGTGTCACGAGAGGGATCATGGACGCAAGGCCGCGAATCACACTTCAAAGAAGACAAAGATATTCTAAGTGTGGAGAAGGACTTGTCTCTTTAATGAGGAGGGTCGTGTCCCTTTAGAGATCAAGAAGGTCATGCCGTGTCACAGGATGGGCCACGAGCATGAATGAGAGGTCCATGGCCGCGAATGAAGAGGCCACGCCGCCTTATGACCAAATTCGAATGACCTAAAAATATTCTCTTTCTGGGAAGAACATGTCGCTTCACGAGAGGGGCCATGTGCACGATTGAGAGGTCCATGCCGCCTCATGAGAGGGGCCATGGACACAAATAAAAAGGGTGTGGTGATGGAGCATTATATCACTAGTGAATATGTCTCAAGAGGCAAGAAGACCACAACCCCCTTTGTAAGACACCACATGCTTATAAAAAGACTAGCATGACACGAGATTCAGAACAAGACCAGGCGAGGCAAGCTACACTCCAAGACCTACAACGGTTACAAGAGAGGCCCCTAGGCGGTTCAAAGAGTAACCACCACTCCGAGGAAGCAGGGAGCTGTTCTTTGTAGTAGTTATCCAACAGGCGGTTTTCTATGGCGGTTACCTCCTCGTGGCTATAAATAAGAGGAGGGGTGAACAGAGACAAAGGTTCCAAAACCAACACTCTGACACACATGTCAAGTTTATCCTTTACCTTTTCTCTATCATGTAGCCATAGATGTAGTTCGTAGTTTGGAGCTCTTACCGAACTCCATAGGAGTAGAAGTAATTTAATTTAGATTTGTTCCTAAAAACCATCAATCAAACACCCTCGTTCGAACTTTGTTTGAAGAGGTGTGAGCCGTGTCTTAGTAATCGTTGTTCAAAGAAGTCAAAGGTGCAATCAATCTCAATTCAACGCAAGAAGTTTTCTTCCTTTGTATATGTTCACCCCTCCTCTTATTTATAGCCACGAGGAGGTAACTGCCATAGAAAACCACTTGTTGGATAATTGCTACAGAGAACCGCTTCCCCTTCTTTGGTAGAAAATCGCCTCTTGGATAGCTCCCAAAAAGAACTGCTCCCTACTTCCTTGGAGTGGTGGTTGCTCCTTAAACCGCCTAGGGGCCTCTCTTGTAACCGTCGTGGGTCTAGGAGTGTAGCTTGCCTCGCATGGTCTTGTTCTAAATCTGGTGTCATGCTAGTCTTTTGATAAGCATGTGGTGTCTCACAAAGGGGATCGTGGTCTTCTTGTCTCTTGAGACAGGGCTACTCGCATGGTCAGAAGAGGGGCTTATGATTCTCGTCGTCAACAACCAGTAGCAGTGCTGAGATGACGAGGACCCAAAGAAGAAGGTTCATTCGCAAGAATGCGCAAGCACAATGCCAATTACCAATGGCTCGTGGAAACATACTGGGTGTGACACAATGGAGGAGAGAAGGTAGTCTTCAATCAAATCTCAAGTGGTCAACTCCATGAACACAGGGTTCAAAGTGGGCGTGATAGACAAAAGCAAGTAGGTTCAAGTTCAGAGTGATGTCAAAGCTCGAGAAGGGGTTGACGACAACTTCGAAGGAGAAGAAGGCGAATATGAAGATGAGTATGCTGATGATGATATGCTTGAAGATGATCCTCCCATCTCGAAGTTCAATAGGGCCATTAAAACTTGTAACAAAGATATCCGTATGAATCAAATCACAGTGCTCTTCCCAAGTTTCCTTAACATACGTGTTGGCATCACGTTGACAGCAGCTCCGTTGTCAACCAAGACTCTTGACATGGGCACACCATCAAGTCTAGCCTTAATGTAAAGGGGTTTCAAATGCCTTATCATACTCGGCTCGGGCTCTTTGAACACCACCAAGTGGCTTGACTCATCACTTGCAGTTTCCTTCATAACTTGTTTCCCCTTCGAGGTGGCTACATGCATGACGGCCTCTTCTTCTGGTGTGACTTCATCGTTTGCCAATGAACTTTCTTGCTCCTCCTCTAACCCCGATCCCCATGTAGGGTTCTCAATGGCCGATGATGATGTTGCTTCAGGTCCCTGGTACAATACGTAGAATGGGTACCGACCATCATCTTCTCCAAGCAAACCAACGTTCCTATGGCCTGCCTCGTGGAGTTTCCTCAAAATTTTTTGAGAACTCTTGCCTTGCCTTGCCGTCTCGACGGCTAGATCTATCCTACTTCCCAAATGAGCCATCCTCACACTCCATGGCTCATCACTAGCTTCGAGACGGGCGAATGCCTCAGTCAACTCAGCAACTGCTCCATCTTCGTCATTTGCTTCTTCCACGTCTTCGCTCTCTATATCTCCTTCACGATCTTTTTCGTTGAATTGGAAAACCATGGGCAGTATGTAGTTAGTAACAACCACTGGTGGCAAGCTTCCGAATTGGATGGTCGTAGCAGGACCTTGGCCGTCCTCCTCATCATCTTTGTTACCCCTATTGAACTTGGAGTTGGGATGATCATCTTCAAGCATATCATATTCAGCATACTCATCTTCATATTCGCCTTCTTCTCCTTCGAAGTTGTCGTCAACCCCTTCTCGAGATTTGACATCACTCTGAACTTGAACCTGCTTGCTTTTGTCTATCACGCCCACTTTGAACCCTGTGGTCATGGAGTTGACCAACTTGAGATTTTATTGAAGACTACCTTCTCTCCTCTATTGTGTCACACCCAGTATGTTTCCACGAGCCATTGGTAATTGGCATTGACGTGCTTGCGCATTCTTGCGAAGGAACCTTCTTCTTTGGGTCCTCGTCATCTCAGCCACTGCTACTGGTTGTTGACGACGAGAATCATACGTATGCCATCCACCATGTGGAACATCTGGCATTTTGAATGTTCTCCTCTTTTGGAAAGGAGCATGGGCCACCCATTGTCTCGGTTGCCCCCAAGCTGGTTGCTTCACTCCTTCCACCTGTCTATCGTATGGAGGGTACCTTGGCCTTGGCCTGTTGGGAAGACCAATTCTTTGATGAATTGATGGCCTCGGCTTCTCTTCGTCGAGTTTGAGACTCTTCTTGCACCGAGCACACAACTTGTCAACTTTATCAGTCATCATTGCGGCCGGGCTGGCCTGCTTGGTACCCGACGAGCTCCCTTGCTCGAAAACCACATTGGGGATCCTTTGAGGCGGCGTTGTATCCAACACCAGTTTGAAACGTGGCAACTCGACTTTGGAGAAGTCTGGGTTGACCATGTTGTGGGGAACGGATTACTGTCCACCAACATGGCATCCTTCTTCGCCTCAGGGAACTTGATGTGTCCCTTATCAATGGCATCCTGCAAGACATTACGGAACACCACACAAGAATCAGTGGCATGTGACATTCTATTATGCCACTTACAATACTTTTTCCCTTTTAATTTCTCGGGTGAGGGAAAGACATGCCCCCCTGTCAACTTGACTTGACCATCCTTATAGAGTTGGTCAAAAATCAAGTCTGCCTTGGAGACGTCAAAGGAGTACTTCCTCGGCTGAATGGGAGCACGATTGGGTCTCCCCCTTGTGGTCCCTCTTCAACTCTAGACAAAGAAGCACATATGTAAGGCTTCCCTGGAGTTATCTCAGCCAAGTCTACCTCAACCTCATTGGCCTCGTGGCCAATATTATTGATGGTATAGTCTAAGTTTGGGAAGTATGATCCCCTTGATGCACTCCTACGATTCTCTTCCTCATGTAGAAGAGACTCATACCTCACAACACAAGACATGAGTTGAAATAAATCAGAGAACTCCCTATCTTGGAATTTCTTCCTTAGTTCAAAACTCAAACCCCCTTGTGTCAGCTTGACGAATGCCCTCTTCGTCAAATTAACAAAACAACGGTTACGGGCATTCTTGAAGTTAGTTAAGAAATGCTCAACCGATTCCCCTGGCTGTTGGCGCATACGTGCCAAGTCAGCCATGGACACCTCGGGCTCAGATCTGTAAAACTGAGCGTGGAAGACTTGTTCCATCTATTGCCAAGTCTGGATGGAGTTAGAAGGCAAGTTGACGTACCAAGCAAAAGCTGGTCCTGTCAACGAGTTTCCAAATAGTCTTAACTTAACAAAATCTCCTACATCGCCACATTGGACAGTGAAACGTCCAACGTGCTCTACAGTGGACTAATCTCCAGTCCCCGCGAATGTGGCAAATTTGGGAACTCTGAATCCCCTTGGAAATGGGTAAAGTCTATCTACCCATTATGGGTACGGCTTACGGTATACAGGTGGCATAGCAGGTCTTACTCCCATGCCAAACTACTCCGTGAGGAGTTGAGCCACCTGATCCCTAAGGGTGTTCGCTTCATCCCCCCTTGTTTCCCCCCATATGGTACAAATCCAATGGGGTCCATGCCATGCCCATTGAAATGGGGTGGCGTTGGAGTTGGGTAGCCTCGAGGTGGGATTTGATCCATGTTACCACCTAGGCCTCCTCCTACTCCCAAATTCATGGGAGCCACGTAGGGTCTTGCCTCCGGGATAGAGGGACGAGCACCCACTTGCACGGGTGGCTGCTCAACTCGAGTGTTGAACATGGTGGCGAGGTTCTCACCACGCGGGGGTACCACTTCAACTCCCACGCGTGCTTGTGACGATCCCCCCACTGGCCCACTTGAGTTGTAGAAGGAATCTCGACATCACCTACTCGACGTGGAGGTGGTTGGCTTGCCGTTTGGGGAGGCAAGTTCTCTTGCCGTGGTTGGCCATTCCGACCACCGGCGGGAGAAAGAACACTATTAGTAGGCGTTAGGCCTGTGCCATCTAATGGCAAAGCTCTTGACTGCACTACTGGTCTACTTAAAGACTATCGGAGTTGATGCACCTCATTTGTATTTTTGTTGACTACTTCAAGCAATCGACTGAAACGTCTATCTAGGAGAGAATTGAGATAGTCCATTTGAGAATTTACCTGATGAGTACCGGCCCGAGTCTCTTCCAACATGCGGCGGTTCTCCATAAGCATTTGGCAGTTGTCCTCCGTGGCTTGATGGGTGTCAGCCACCATCTTGCGGTTCTCCTCCATCATCTGACAAAGCCCCCCCCCCCCCCCCCCCCACAGCTTCACCAAGATCTCCACCAGGTGCAGTCCCCACTAAGATCTCTGCTCCACCGTTTCCTCCGGCAACCGCGTCGGACGCTTGGCCATGCTCGATGTTGGCCACCTGCTCCTCCACGAATCCAGCCGAAACGTCACCTTCCTGATTACTCCGCCTCGGAGCCATCGAACCGACCATGAATAATGGGGTAGGGGGCATGTCCAATAAGCTAAAAGAAATCCAAGCCACACATGCTTGTGACAAGCTTAAAAATCTGGCTAAGTGCAAACTGGGGGGCAAGTCCATGTCCATGAGTAATACATACATGTTACCAACCATGAATGATGGACATAGGGGCATGTATAAGAGGGTATCATACGCACAAACCAGACATGGCCTCACAAAGAACCAAGGATGGTCGTGTGCTAAGGGTAGGAGCCAACAAGGTTTGGAGGTTGAAAGACAAAGTCAAGTGGGCCACATGGGTGGTCGCCAACTTGTCAAGACTGGACATCGTCTCCAACAACATGAGGAGAGTAAGCATGTTCAACCATGAGGAAACCAAGGCAGAGGAAAACCCATGGTCGTCTTGACATGTCAAGTGATGTGGCTAAAGCATATGAGCATGAGACCCCATGCAAGGCCACCAAGGCTAGACATGTTGATCATATACAACCCACTGGTAAGCTAGAAGATTCAAAATTAATGTACGGAGAATCATGTTCCATGGAGGAAAAGAGGCATGTGATATATGGATGGTTTGCATGTTTTAATCCATGGACTTGGCAGTGGGTGTACACCTTTGGCGCATTAGTTGTTGTCAGAGGCGATGGAGAGCAAGGACGTTTGTCACTCCTTGTTATCTTAAATAAATAAATATCATATATATTAATTAATAAATAAAAGCCAATCATGGCTATATAAGAAAAAATAGAGAGAAAATAACAAAGTGGAAATTTTGAGTCGAAGTTATTAGACTTTGATGTGAAGATCTTACCACCAATTCGTAGTGATGGCTTGGCATACCGAGTCGTAGATTGTGTCTTGCCATGCTATGTCGTCTTGTCCCAAGTGGCCACCATTTTGGATGTTGGCCACGACCTAAGGGCATCGTGGGTTGGAGATGAGTGATGGCCAGCTTGAGCATGTAAAATAAGAAAAGTGTAGGGGCCTCACTGAATTGTTGACGATAAGCCAACAAGGAAAGGGTTTCTCGTGGCTACACATGAATGAAGACAACATAGGCGGCATAGCTAGCCACTTGAAAGACGTAGGTACCATGGTGTTGTTTTAGAGGAAAAAATTTCAAGTTTTCTTGAACCTGTGGTCATGGGTGAGTAGAGAAAAGCCTTATTACTCAAGGACCAGTTAGAGAAGGGATATAAGTGGTCAAGTTGGTCTCAACTACTTAGTCCATAATCCTTATGCACTAAGTAGTTGGGGGCATTTGTTTACACCATAAAATTTGTCTTGTACCACATTGGTGAATTACAAGATAATCAATGAGTTAATAAGACCACACCCATTATAACAATTAATATTGTTTAAGTTGGGCCTTATGGATATTGATTTTAATCCCAAGCCACTAAGTCTGGAGAGTGACATGCCGCCTCAGCGAAGAGGGCCATGTCCATATAAAATCTAGAAGCATGTGCCGCCTCATGAAGAGGGCCATGTCCATCTAGAAATCGAGGAGCACATGCCGCCCCAAGATCAAGACCGAATGACTGAAAAATAAACTAAGTCTGGAAGAGGTACATGCTCCTTCAAGGAGAAGCACGTGCCATCTCGCTTCACGGGAAGAGGCATGGACGCGAGACAAGATGAGACGTCCATGCCGAGTCAGGAGAAGGGGAATGGATGGGAGACAAGAGGTTTAGGCATGATTGAAAAACTAAGTATGAGAAAGCCATGCCAGCTCAAGAGAAGAGCCATGTGCATGATTGAGAGATCCATGGCCGTGTCACGAGAGGGGCCATGGACGCAAGGCCGAGATCATACTTCAAAGAAGACAAAGATATTCTAAGTGTGGAGAAGGACTTGTCTCTTTAACGAGGAGGGTCATGTCTCTCTAGAGATCGAGAAGGTCATGCCGTGTCACAGGATGAGCCACGAGCATGAATGAGAGGTCCATGGCCGTGAATGAAGAGGCCATGCCGCCTTATGACCAAATTTGAATGACCTAAAAATATTCTAAGTCTGGGAAGAACATGCCGCTTCACGAGAGGGGCCATGTGCACGATTGAGAGGTCCATGCCCCCTCATGAGAGGGTCCATGGACACAAATAAAAAGGGTGTGGTGATGGAGCATTATATCACTAGTGAATATGTCTCAAGAGGCAAGAAGACCACAACCCCCTTTGTGAGATACCACATGCTTATCAAAAGACTAGCATGACACGAGATTCAGAACAAGACCAGGCGAGGCAAGCTACACTCCAAGACCCACGACGCTTACAAGAGAGGTCCCTAAGCGGTTGAAAGAGTAACCACCACTCTGAGGAAGCAGGGAGCGGTTCTTTGTAGCAGTTATCCAACAAGAGGTTTTCTATGGCGGTACCTCCTCGTGGCTATAAATAAGAGGAGGGGTGAACAGAGACAAAGGTTTCAAAACCAACACTCTGACACACATGTCAAGTTTATCCTTTACCTTTTCTCTATCATGTAGCCACAGATGTAGTTCGTAGTTTGGAGCTCTCGCCGAACCTCCATAGGAGTAGAAGTAATTTAATTTAGATTTTTTCCTAAAAACCATCAATCAAACACCCTCGTTCGAACTTTGTTTGAAGAGGTGTGATCCGTGTTTTAGTAATCGTTGTTCAAAGAAGTCAAAGGTGCAATCAATCTTAATTCAACGCAAGAAGTTTTCTCGCCGAAAAACAGGACCAATCCACTGAACCCCTACTTCCAAGTTCCACCATTGATTAAAAGGCCTTAAGTTGACCCAAAGCATGGTCGGCCCAACTTGATTGGAGTAATAATTGACTTTTCATTAAAAAACATGAGGGGAACCCATTTCCTCACAGTCCTCGAATTATTTGGACGGTCTGACCACCCCTTCACCTTCTACTAGTTGTGGGCCCGACCAGTTGGTCGGATTCCATCGCCAATTACATAAAATATGAATTAGCAAAATACTCGAAATATTAAATTGATTGGTAAAATAAGAAAATCGAAACTATTAAAATACTTCAATAATTCGTAAGGATCAACAATCACATAGTTCTCTGACATTTTAATGACTCATAATGACATTCTCAAATCAATCTTCTCTTTACTCCTCGTCGTTAGAGATTAATACACATTTTCTTTTTTACTTGTTTGCATTTCCTCCGTCATGAACAACATTATATTCTCCACCAAGAATCCCGTCTTCATCTCTATTAGTGAGACATTTATATGCACTATCAATTGCTTCTTCCTTCTTCCCTTGTATTTCAATACTCTGCGAAGTATATTTATTCAAAGCCTAAAACCGCCTATTGGTCGGACCAATTGTATTTTATGTAAAATCAACCTATCCTTGTATCTTACTATTTTTTTTTTATCTCCGAAATGATTTGTTTTGTCGTAACATCCTACGACTAAATATTTGTAGTCAACAATCAATCGATGATTTAGACCAATGTCATAAACCATATATATTTCTAAATTAAGATGTTTAATACCTAATTAATGACAGTTAGTTATGTCTCCCATAAGCCTATGTTGAAATATTTTGGCATATATCATGATTTCTAAATTATTTAATGTTGGCTCATTCCCAGCGTGGAGATTTGTAAATTGTCGATGGAAGACATTATGCCTCAAATTTTCAACCATGATACACAATATACGTTAGCTAATTCTTCTCAAAATTAGGAATAACTTTCAAACAATACTTATTGACCCTCAGTATAAAATTGAATTTCTCACCGAAAATGTTTCATCTCTAGAGAATATTTGTTTGTCCGAATTCAAAGCAATTGACACATCATCAAGGTTCCATCCTTGACATGGTATTTTAGTTAATAATCCCTTACGTCTATCACATTCTCTTAAAAGTTAGATAATCTTGTTAACATGGTATTAATATAAGTAAGTGATAGGGATGTGTCTATAACACATTGCGAGCATATGGTTCAAATCAATGTCTCAAACTGATTTAAACTATTGAGCTGGTCAATTAAATTGTTTGAAATTCATGGTCGAATTGGGGTCCAACCAATTCAAGCTATCTTATCAATATTATAAAAACGTATGTGTATATATGGTAATAATTCAATATTTTCATAACCTGAATGTCAATTACAGGTACCATACAGTAATTTAACAATTAATATGTTGTTTGACTCTAAAAGATGCGTATATTGCTTCATTTTCCATAATATATTTGGGAGAGGACCAAAACGCAACATTCTGTCTAATAGTTGAGAATTGGTCAGTGCATTTTGTCTAATAGCTGCTCTTTTTTCTATTTTCCGCCCTCCATCCCTTCCTCCATCCAATGGTTTAGATAAGTTTGCAACAACAACAAAAAAGCGACGGCCTGGTAATTCCGACATGCTACCTTTTTTTTTGTTTGGCCTGACACGGATCCAGAGGAGAGAGAAAAGACAGATGGGCAGCCAATGTCTACTTTTCCTAATTCTCAATTGGATCCTACAATGTTCATTTTAACTTACAATTAAAAAAAAAATTGTATAGAAAAAATGCATTAATTATGATCTACACAATTACATCCATTTTTCTATATTTTGAGCAAAGAAAAAAATTAACTCTTTAAAACACGTGTCGATTGTATTATTATTACTGTCATATATATCATATCATTATGATATATCTTGATATGATGATCCATCTCCTTCATTTCAACTCAGAATTAAAAAAAATTTATAGAAATAATGCATTCATTAAGATCTATACATTGATATCCATTTTGTCATATTTTGTCAAACATAAGACCCCATACTAACATTGTATCATTGTCATATCATGGTATTATTATTAAGGTGATAATATCATCATACCATACTAATAATATCATGATATGACAGTGAATGATGTCATCAAATTATTTTGTTAAACATAATACATCATAAATCAACATCATATCAGTGTCACGCCACCATCATTAATTAAGTTATACACAATGATATTTATTTTGTTATATTTTGCCGAACAAATTTAGGTTTTGTTGAACTACAAAACTATTGGGTTGTATCCTAAACCAAGATTTTTTTAATGCAAAATATGTTTACATGAATATCATCTTATAGAGTATATTTAATTTGATTCTTATTAAAAAATATAATAATTAAATTAGAACAAATTTATTTTGATTAACTAAAAAGTGAAAAAGGAGTGGATCTAGTTTAAAGTTTTTCTTTTTATTTATACACATGAATTATGTGCTTGAGAGCACCTCTTCCACTAATATGGAAGGTTGTTTGGATCGATATGCGGTTGATTAATTTGACCTTGATCCGGTGAGAAAAACGGGTGTCACATACATGCAGGTAGTCATGTAGCAAGATTCGTGAGTTGGAAATCATACATCATCTTTTTTTCCTTTGATTTGTGAAATGCGCCTCTTTTCATTTTTCCACCTTCACCAAAAGCTATCTTTATAAATTATAAGTTGAACATTCAAATATTAATGTTATATGAATGTGTTTGATTTTTCACTAATATTGGATCCAAGTACGAATTGTTATTTTGATATAATCTTCTAAGTTATTGATCGTATGTTAGATAAGATTGATATATTTTATAAATGTATAAACAATATAATGATATTTTCATATTCCCAAATAAACTGAATTAAACCGATCAAACCATTAACCCTCAATTCATATACTCAATCGTACCAACGGCCTAGACCAGTTGACAACTTAATAATATGTTTCGGATGCTTGCTGGAAATAAGTAGCTGGAAATATGTAGAGGGTATAAGTTTTGTCAAATGAATCCGTCCAGTAATAAGTTTGTCATTATTTAATTAATTTAATTAAGTTTAACAAAATACCGAACACTCCTTCCGTGCTATGCGTACAACACAGGAAAAGTAGAATGATATGGGTTCTGTCGAGGAACCTCTTTATATGTTTTTGAGAATACATAAGAATTAATAAATGATTTGATCGATTTGCAACACTTTTATTATGCTATAAAGAATTGGTGAATTTCTACAAAAAAAAAAAAGAATTGGTGAGTTAATTTACAACTTAAAATTGCACCATAAAGTTAAATATATAAGTTGAGGTTGTACAATAAAGGAATTTATACCTTTATGTTATAGTACAACTTGAAATTGTACCATTACACAAATGTGTAAGTTCAAGTTGTACCATAAAAGAATTTGTACAAAAAAGTATAGGTACAACGTTGTACCACAAAAACAAAAACCTATATCACCAAAAATGTATAACATTGTAAAATTCCTCATCGATTTATCAGCTAACTTTGACCCGCCCCAATCAACCAATGTTAAAGGCAATCATTTCTTTTGTCCACGTGAGAGTCAGGAGCTGGAGGGTTATATTATTTAGGCCCAACCAATAACGGTTGTTTGGTTTTGATGATAGTTTGGTTGAGATAGTTACAATGCATGTAATGTCAATAATGCATCGTTTTTTTTTTATTTTCTGCGCAAATAATACATGCATTGTTTGTTTGATTTGATACAAACTATCACTCAAAATGAGTGATAGTTAAATCTCAAATTTTCGTTGAGATTGTTTGATGGAGATTATTGTGTTTTCTTCTTCTTCCAAATATGTCCCTACCTTTTTATGTGTGTTGCTTTTTTATAGGGTTAATTGCATGGTTGGTCACTGAGATTACAAAAAACGTTCATTATTGGTCACTCGAAATATTTAAATCGTGTTACTTCAGTTTACTGAAACCGTTCATATTTGGTCACTGTCCGTCCAACTCCGTTAACTTTTGCTGATGTGGCAGTCAACTCTCAAAGTTGACCGTTAACTTAGTGACGTGGCAACTAAAAAATTATTAAAAATAATATAAAAAAACTTTTATATTTTCCACCTCATTATTACATTCATTAAAAAATAAAAATAAAAAAACCTAATTTCTTCCACCTAGACCCTTCACCTCCCGCCGGCGGCTCCCATCGCCGCCACCAGGCCCACCGCCGATCGATACAACCCGCAGCGAGCATCTCCGGTACATCAAATCCATAGGGGTAGTCCACCCAAACCCACAACCCCACAAGCTCCCCTCTCCCGATTCCACCTCCAAAATCATCTTCGGCATTCCACAACAAACTTCCCCTGTTTTGCATTCTCTGCAAAGAATTAGTAGTGGGTTTTCACTTTTACCAGCAGTGGAGGAGAGATCCATGGCCAGCAAAGCTTTGCTTTGAGCTTTGACAACCCACCAGAAAGATAAAAATAAACGAAAATAGAAGGGAGAGCGAGACAGTGATCGGGCGAATCAAATCTAGAGAGAGAGAGAAGGAGGAAACTGCTATTTTCAGCTTCCTTCCCAACTTCCCAAGTCAATCCAAGCTCTCTCTCTCTCTCTCTCCCTCTCACTCGATACTGTCTTTACTCTTTTGCATCAATCCATAATTTGGTTGGAATCGGAGGAGGAGGAGGTGGAGGGGGAAGGGGGGAGATTCAGCGCCGGCCGCAGTCAGCAGCTGAGCTGAAGCAATGTTGGTCCAGGACCGTTTACCGACGTCGCCGCCTCCGCCCAAATCGCCCAAATCCAACTCGAAATCGAAGCTGCCCACCACCGTCTTTCACCACCCAATTTCCGGCCGCCGATTCTCTCCAGCCAAATCGCTCGACTTCTGCACTTGGTTCTCCGACAATCTCTACAAGATCGTCACAATCGCCTTCCTCGTGGCCACGGTCGCTGCCCTCTTCTTCCTCCGCAATGCCGGAGACACCTCAGCTTTCCTCTACCTCCAATCAAAATCCCACCCCATCGACAAAACCCTCCGCATTGGAGAAGAGAATGTCGGGGCATCGGGTGATCAGACCCCGAGACTGTTCAGGGGAAGCTCCAAGGTCGGAGGTGAGAAATTGGAAGACGGGCTCGATGTAGGAGACGTCGAATTTGGGGGAGAAGAGCTCGGGGCCAATGGAGGCGAGGCGGGGGAAGTCGGCGTTGGAGAAGCCCTTGGATTTGAAGAAGTCGACGATGGAGATGATTTTGGAGGTGGAATCGGGAGACGGGCTCGATGTAGGAGACGTCGAATTTGGGGGAGAAGAGCTCGGGGCCGATGGAGGCGAGGCGGGGGAAGTCGGCGTTGGAGAAGCCCTTGGATTTGAAGAAGTCGACGATGGAGATGATTTTGGAGGTGGAATCGGGAGATGGGAGCTTGTGGAGTTGTGGGTTTGGGTGGACTACCCCTATGGATTTGAGGTACCGGAGATGCTCGCTGCGGGTTGTGTCGATCGGCGGTGGGCCTGGTGGCGGCGATGGGAGCCGCCGGCGGGAGGTGAAGGGTGTAGGCGGAAGAAATTAGGTTTTTTTTATTTTTTATTTTTTAATGAATGTAATAATGAGGTGGAAAATATAAAAGTATTTTTATTTTTTTAATAATTTTTTAGTTGCCACGTCACTAAGTTAACGGTCAACTTTGAGAGTTGACTGCCATATCAGCAAAAGTTAACGGAGTTGGACGGACAGTGACCAAACATGAACGGTTTCAGTAAATTGAAGTACCACAAATGGATTTAAATATTTCGAGTGACCAAACTTGAACGTTTTTTATAATCTCAGTGACCAACCATACAATTAACCCCTTTTTTATATTAAAAACAAAGGATAAAAGTGACATTTCACCCCAAAAAGTAATATAATTTATTTAAATACTACAATAACTATCACAGAAACCAAACGATGTAAACTACAATACACCAATTTTCTAATATACATGTATATTATTATGCATGCATTGATGACAATACATCGATTTAACTATCACCAAAACCAAACGACCCCTAAATTATAAAATATAACTCCGTCCTTTTGATCAATTTGGTCTTGGTTATTGAATCTAATTTGATATGATTAGAGGTTTTAGTACCTAATCATCAGTTTAATCCATACCTTTTTAAAAGTTGAACCCAAATTAGGGTTAATTGCAAGGTTGGGTACTAGTTTACGAAAAATGTTCACGTTTGGTCACTAGAAATATTTAATTCCATTCGTGGTCACTAAGATGCGTTAAATAGATCAAATTTGGTCACTCTCCGTCCAACTCCGTTAACTTTGTCTGATTTGGTAATCAACTCCCAAAGTTGACCGTTAACTGAATGACATGACAATTAAAAATAATAAATAAAATAAAATTTAATCTTTTGCCATTTTCCAACTCAATAAATAAAAATAGAAAAAATTATTATAATTATCAAATGAAATTTCTCTAAAACCCCCGCTCCCTGATTTCTTCTCTAGGTTTTATCAGATCGCCCAATCTCCCATGAGAACCTGCCACCGCGCCCGCCATCACCATTACCGTCGGCGGACATGAGTCTAGTAGCTAGCTCCAACAAAATATTCATATGGGTTCAAACTCAACCCACCTTAACCAGCGACAATTTCCAACCTTAGTTCCCTTCTTCTCCGCAGCGACCTCAAAATTTCCGATCGACTCTTCCCTTAACTCACCGCCGTCCTCATCCTGCCTCCATTGTCGCTGTTCCTGTAAAACCCAGCCATAGAAGCAGAAATCACAAAAAAAATTTGAAATTGAAATCGAAATGTTCATTTTTCCGGCATCCAAACAAGAAATTGGAAAGGAGAAATTGATGGGAGGAAAGGAAAAGAGGGGGGAGGACTGACTGATTTAAAGGCGTCCAAGTTGCGCCAGGAGGGGCAGTCGGAGCCCCGTGAGTTGATGATGAGAGGGAAGATGGAGGAAGAGAGGGATAAGGAGGAGGAGGAGGATGAGCGAGTTGAATCGGCAGAGCTTTTGCGCGGACAGAGAGGAGTGGAAGTGAGGGGCGGAGATCCGTGGGTGGGGCGACGACTGCGGTGAGAAAATGACGATGACGGCAGGGGATTTGTGGTCGGTTGTGGTCAACTGATATTTATAATAATTTGTTCCTATTTTATTTATTGTGAAAATGAGTTGACAATTGTAAAAGATTAAATTAAATTAATTTTTTTAATTTTTAATTGCCATGTCATTCAGTTAACGGTCAACTTTGAGAGTTGACTACCACATCAGACAAAGTTAACGGAGTTGGACGAAGAGTGACCAAATTTGATCTACTTAACTCATCTTAGTGACCATAAATGGAATTAAATATTTTTAGTGACCAAACATAAACGTTTTTCGTAAACCCAGTGACCAACCTTGCAATAAACCCAAATTGTAATATAGGTTGTTATAACCTTCGTAACTAGGAAATGATATATCTGAATCCAACTCCTTCAATTTCAACGATGGTTGAATGCCGTCACAACTTCTTTCTTACACTTTTTTCATCAAATGATTTTTTACCAACGATATATCTTTTGAGTAGTTATTTTCTTTTTTTATTAGGTTAGGGTAGCATTCACCCCACAAGCAAAAACGAAAAATCAAAATCCAATATTGAAAAGGGTAATCCCAAAAAAAAAAAAAAAAATAACAGAGGGCAAAAATATGGAGAACAACAGAAACACACAGCTTGGGGCTGGCTTGTGTGGGCTAGGTTAGGAGAGAAGAGAGACACAGAGCAATAGAGAGACAGAGGAAAATCCAAGAAAATAATCAAAGAAATAATTCTGTTTTTTCGACGAACAAAAAGAAATCGAGAATCCAAGAAATCAAAAGATAACAAAACAAAATCTTTTCGAAAGTCAGGAATCAAGCAGTTTGGGAAGAAGAACAAAGGGGGAAGAAGGGTATAGGGGGAGAAGAGATGATCAAAGAATTCATAATCTGATCATCATCATCGTATTCTGTCGGCAGAGGTTCCTCTCAATTTGTCTCTCTATCTCCTCCTCTAGCCCCCGACAAAGCCCAATCCCCCTTGTTCCAATAGAATCATAGCATTGCCCAATTCTGCACATTACTCCATCAACGGTAAAAGAATCATCCTTGTACCTAAATTTTTTGGTCCTTTTAATTATAACATCGTTCATTCAATGGATGCTCTGTTTTTTTTCCCTTTCCCCCTGTTTTTCCAGCTACAGAGGGAAAGAGACAAAATTTTGTTGGAGAACAAACTAATCAAGGGGAGCCGAGCCATTAATGATGTGGGTTTTAGAGGAAAGGTTGTTTAAGAAGATTTAATCGAAGCTACAATAATGAGAGACCCACATTGAACTCTTCTTTCTCGAGAATTCTTCTTCTTCTTCGGAGGTTTTGGCGGAAGGGTTTGTTGGGTGTAAAAAAATTTAAACCCTGGCGATTTCCTGGTGAAAAGATTGTTGCTTTACCTCCACTGCTGGAAGTAATGGAGGGGAGATGGAACCCAATTGGAACCCAGTTTTTGTGCTTCTTGGTATTCATTGTTGGTGTGGGAATTCATGGGTCTTGGTCTCTGAACGATGAAGGTAAGAAGTTGATAATAATTACTGATTTTTGTAATGTTAATTTTCAACATTTTCTTAATTTGTGGTATATTTATAGGACTGGTTCTGTTCAAATTTCGATCAAGGGTGAGGTCAGATCCTCATGGTGCTCTGGCTAATTGGAATCTCAGAGATGGCGACCCTTGCATGTGGTTTGGCGTCCATTGTGTTGCTGGTAAAGTTCATATATTGTAAGTTTCTTATTTTGGGCCCTTTCTTTTGTCTCGAAATAAAAAAAGTAAGCTTTTTAGCAAGGATTGTAAAATTGTACAAGAGGTTCTACAGGAAAAGTTAGCAATAGAGTATTTTGTGTTGAAATCGTAGTTTAACTATGGTTTAACTTTTTCATATCGCTAAAAACAGTCTACAAATTAAGATTTCGATAGAAAATTTTTCCAGTCGGATAGTCGATACGACATGGTTTCACAAACAATGTTTTTTAGTGTATAAAAAATGGGAATTTTCAAAGTAATGATATTTTGTGTTTCTTTTGTCTATCTTTGCTAGGAATTTGACTGGTTGTTCCTTGGAAGGGACATTGGCTCCTGAGCTTGGGAAACTTGTCCACTTAAGATCTATGTAAGTGATCAAACTCTTGTTTCTATATCAAGATGCTTATTTACACATATCTCCCAGATTAAAAGTTGTTGCGGTGATTACTTGTCCAAACCGTGAATTCAATGAACAGGTATACACGTATTATACACAACGTTACTTTTAACAATTACAACTATCAAACAACTTGTAAGACCTGACAACTGAATGTCCTTATTTTCCTTGATAGAGTGTTGCGAAACAATTGCTTCTCTGGTATTCTACCAAGCGAGATAGGAAATCTTAAGAAGCTTGAGATACTAGATTTGAGGGATAATTACTTGAGTGGAGCAGTTCCTGCAGAAATTGGGAGATCACAAACCCTAAAGTGCTTGTAAGTTAATTATTATCTATATTAAGTTAAATAACACTTTTTGGGCAGAAGTAACTGAAAGATTGTTCATTAATTCTTTTTTATTTAGGTCAGTGAGCGGTAATAAATTTCGAGGTACTATTCCAGGAGAAATGAGGAGGCTCAAGCTATTATCACATTTGGAATTGGATGAGAGCCTTGCATCCTCTTCAGCCTCAGAATTCAAATATGTAAATTGCAAGATTGAAGATGAGTAAGTGGCCCTGGGCTCTTCTATACGAGGTGTGGTTGTTGCGTTATTCGTTTAGCCTTTTTTTACTATCCATTTGCTTCTTGTAGTTTTAATAAGGTTGTCCATATCATGGCAAAGCAAACTTATAGTTTTTTTAATTAATCGATTACCACGCACGATTGTTTTGGAACTTATGCCTGCCTATTCCCATGCATGTTTGGGATATCTTTGGTAAAAATATGAGTGGCATATTTCATGCTGATCGATGAGTGGTGTACTCCTAGAGTATTACGATATTTCATATCCCCAAAATCAACTCTAATTCATGATCTAGATAGATATATCACACGGATAGAAGTCTCAAATAATCACATACTCCACGAGTATAGCATTCCCGCCTCGTATTTCATACTTTCTTTCCATTGTCTGTTGCTCTTTGCAGCACATGGATGATGAGGTTGAAACAACTATGGAGGGCCTATTCACATGCAATACCATTTACCAAATCTCTCAGAGAATACCTCCATAGTTCCTCACTATTTCAAACGTGAGTTACTCTACAATCTTCTCCTTCCATGTTTTCATCGAAGCCAAAGAGGTACACAACGACTTACACATTTTGAAGTGATGACATTCATTTTGCAGGTTCAATGCTAGGGTTCATCCTCTTCAACCCGTAAAAGGAAGTTGCTGCTGTTGTAGTACTACTAAAACACCTGGTGAGTAGCTCTCTACGTCCAACTTTCGTCTCATTCCAATAAACAACTTTTTATCTCAGACAACTCTACATGGCCTTTTTCTTCCTGCATGCAATGACATCAAAATCGTGTTTTAAACTTTATAAACTTACGTTTTTACACTTTTAGGTCACCAAAATGCTTTTACGTAGAATCATATTTTTCTCTTACAAGTGTAGTCAAAATCTACGCTTTAAACCTTACAAGCCTACTATTTTACGCTTTTAGATCACCAAAATACTTCTACGAGTATAATCACGTCTTTTATTGAATTGCTTGCATGCATGCAGCGGATTCAACGTCTGATGTCCCTCACTTGATACAAAATGTAGAGATTCTGGTCAACTTTGCCCGACGACGTAGACTGCAAGAACAACCAAACAACCTTGTCGCCGAACCGACAAACGATCGTGGACAAAACGATGTTGTAGTCGTCGTTCCGATCACAAGAGGGAGTGGGAGTTTCCCAGCCGTACCGAACTCGAAATCTCCATCATCACCACCATCAATGAGTAACGATGCGTCGTCTGATCATAATGCACCAAGTGAATCTCCTAAAGGACCAATCATACATAACCACGTGCCACCGTCATTTTGGGACACGTGGATCTACTTCGTATTTGCTCTAATGGCAGTTGTCTTGCTGGCTTTAATCGTGATCATGATAGTTCTGTGTCGGAGGCGTGGAATGAGGCACATTGGTCCTTGGAGGTCTGGAATCAGTGTACAACTGCAGAATGCATTAGTTTCAGGTACATCCCATTTTATTAACGAGAATGCCATCTTCTATTTATTTTTTCACACTATCCAAAAACTGTTTGATACCAATAACTCGAGTTGTTAGGAGAAGGTTAATTATGATTCATATACCACTCTCTTCTTACACGCCTACTCAAAAGGGGAGTCAACTCACGGGTTTGAAATTTTGCACAGGCTGATCATTGTAGTTTGTGTTTAAATGAGGTATTTATATTGGGGGGTCGTGGAGGTTCGAACACATGTACGACCGCTTGAATGAACCAGCTCTGATATACCATCTCAGGAACCAGCTGGTCAGTTGGCCCTCCAATTGGTGGTTGACATGGTAGAAGAGCTTTTTAGCCGAGATGTCTTGTGTTCGAACCCTCATTTGTTAAACATATGATATCCGGACCTATTTGAACTTCAAGCCCCATATAAGTAGGCCTTCGTTTGAGGAGGTGTGTTAGTAAATGATGATATAAGATACATAATAGAACATATATATCCTGTAACAACTCGAGTGATTTGGACCAACTTGTTTGTGACACCCATCAACCAACTTATTTCGATCATATATCTGGTCATGTCATTAGGGGTTCCCAAGTTGAATAGATCAGAACTCGAAACTGCTTGCGAAGATTTCAGCAATATAATAAACTCGTATGACGGTTTCATCGTGTACAAGGGGACATTGTCCTCTGGAACTGAGATCGCTGTAGCTTCAACTACAACAACTTATCGCAAGGAGTGGTCGAGGAATGCAGAGAAGGCATACCGAAGAAAGGTATGAATCACAAAATAACATATACATTTTTTTCACTTTATCAACATGTTAACATTTAGACATATTTTATCTTTTTTACTTTTATCAATTTTTCAGATTGACACACTTTCAAAAGTGAACCATAAGAACTTTACAAATCTCATTGGCTTCTGCGAGGAGGACGAACCTTTCAATCGGATGATGGTGTTTGAATACGCACCAAATGGAACATTGTTCGAACATATTCATAGTAAATATTTGATTTATCGTTACAACATTTTTGTTGCTCTTGTGCATTTTCTAAGATGGTTTTAGGGCTTGGAGACTGAAGTAGGGTTTTTATCTTATGGGTGGGTGCAGTTAAAGACATGGAGCATCTCGACTGGACTTCGAGAATGAGAATCATCATGGGAGTAGCTTATTGTTTGAAACACATGCATGACTTGAAGCCACCAGTGTCTCACTCTAATTTGACTTCCAGTTCAATTTTCTTGACAGACGATTACGCTGCTAAGGTATAAATCTATGGTTCTTTTCTACTTACATCATTAGTGCTCATTTAGGAATGACAAAAATACCACAATGGTGGATCTTTGTCCGAATCCAATTTAATTGGGTAGGGTAAAACTTGAACTCCAAAAATTTTCAGTGAGTATGGGAACACTCGTACTCGCATATTGTGGGTAATGAATGAACATGGTTTTCTAACTATCCAATCCGAACCTGCCCGACTATACACGTGCATATGTATTTTGTGGAGAAATTATCATTATTTTTGTCAACATATTTGATATTTATTATGCATAACTAATATTTTTTCCATGTAATTGTGTTGCTTTTAACTAATTTTCTTCATTTCGATGAATTAGTATCGTACTTTTCCGCTTATCTAATGTCAATATACGTATGGATGTTAACATGTTGGTTGGAGTCACAAAAGAAACTATTACCCATGGATAACTGTGGATACCCGAAACCAGATTGGTCACGAGCTTGATTTTGATTTTCTACCTGATCCTTATAACTCGAACTAAATCGAGTAGAATAATGGACATGCACTATCCTCACCTACCTGATACGTTTACCATCACTATCCTCCTTGCTTTTCAATATCTTCATCATCTATTTTGGGGGATGCATCTTCCTGCAGATTGCTGAAATCTCCTTCTTGTCACAAGCTGCATCAAAACCCAAACCCTCGAGTGAAGACGAGAGGGAACATTCAGAACTACCACCCATCATTGATCCAGAAGCAAATGTGTACAATTTTGGCATTATATTGCTGGAAGTGATATCAGGAAAGCTTCCCTACTCAGAGAAAGAAGGCCCTATAGAGAAATGGGTACGTAGAAATAATGTGTATAGTTTTGGTATTTAATACACTAGCTCGTATCTTTTCCCTCACTTGTCTCCTTTTGTACCTTTTTTTCCCGACATGACACAGGCTAAGGAATATCTAAGTGACAAGAGTAGAATCACCCAAATGGTGGATTCATCCCTCAAGGCCTTCAAAACCAACCAACTCGAAGTAATATGTGAGATTGTTCAAGAATGCATAATTTCAGATCCACGACAGAGACCAAGCATGAGCGACATCGTTCCTCGATTGAAGGAAGTCATTCCTATAACACAAGATCAAGCAGCACCAAGGTTGTCCCCGTTGTGGTGGGCTGAACTCGAGATTTTTTCACAAGAAGCAAATTGAAGTTATTTGGGTGTGTGTTCTTGATCATGATCAGGAATGTGTGTTTCATAATCTGTGTATTCTTGTGATTCCCCAAGATGAGTGCATTTTTTCTTGTAGGACATTTTGAAATCACCACTTTGCACTTTTAGAAGATTGGTGAATTGATCACACTTGGTTAAGGGATGATTGCCAACTTGGAATCAGCCAAAAAATTACATTCCCAATCTTTGTATATTTTGTTCCTCCTCGAGCATTTTTGTTGTCCATATGAAGAGAAAAAAATGGATGAAAAATGAAAGATTATATGTGACATTGTGATTGTAAATCATATGGTGTAAAATTACTGAGTGATTGATTGATTCCTACGTAGGATGATATTGTTCTTTTATTTTTCACTGATGTATAACATCCACAAATGAGAACTTTATCCATCTTATTTTCATTGTTTGCATTAGGAATGTAGGGTTAACCTAAATTTACATTAATATTCGAGAGAAATCTGTTGGGCCCATAGTTGAGCGCTATTGGATTTTAGACGCAAAAGAGAGAGGCAAGCCTGGCCCAGTGGGAGGCCTGATGCGTGGCGTGCGGCTAGCCTAGGGACGGGACATGCATAGGCCGCCTGACATAAAGCACTGATCGTGACAGGAGGAGATCTCACCAAAAGATACATACCTCGAAACAAGCAGGACTGAGGATTGATTTGCTGCCATAGGTGGTTCTAGTAAAGCAGTACCTAGTTAGGACGCCTGACAGAGCATTTATTGCTATATATTCAGCCTAACTGCGTATAAATACCCCAATATCAGCATTGATGGTAACCTCAACTACTTTCTCTCTCTCTCTCTAAACATAAACACATATTCTACATTTCTACCTTCTCTATCTGCATTAGGCATTGGAGAGCGTCCTGGGTGACCGCCCACGGACCCTTGTCTTGTAGTGGCTAGGAGCACACCCAGCATAAAAAATAGACGCCTCACTCGCTTCTCATCAAACCGCCTAGAACTCTAGGCTCAAACAATTTGGCGCCCACCGTGGGGTAGAGTGAAGAACTGAAGAAAGGATGGATGGGAGGTTCGGGACCCCAGTCAAGGGTATAGTAGAAGGAAGCAGCATTCGCGGTTTGGAAATGCCAACTGTAGAAGAAGAGATGGAGTTGGAAGACCGCATTAAGAGCTAGAGGCAACAAATATCCAGCATGCAAGAAAGCCTGGGTCAGATCTTAGTCATGCTCAAAGATAAGAGCACGCCCAAGAAGGAAAAAGACTTGCCGGAAAGCTCAATGAGGCAAAAGGCGAAGGGTAAAGAAAGGGAAGAAGATCCTGACAGCCTTGCTCAGACAGAAGGCGAGGATTCCGAAAAGGAAGAGGCCACATAAGATTTCAATTTGGGTTTTCTAGAGGAGCACCTCAAACCGTCGTATGGAAGGGAAAAGGCTCACAACAACATACTCCAAAACCCCTTGGCCAAAAGCTTATTTAGGACACAGGTCCCGCCCAACTTCTCGTCGCTGGGGCTGCCAACATACGATGGGACTTCCGTTTCCACAGACCATTTGAGCGCCTTTATGCTCAAAATGCAATTGATCAACGCCTCGGACGCGGATCTATGCAAGGCGTTCCCGGTCACGTTCGGCGGTCAGTGTCAAACCTAATATACCTCCCTTCCGAAAGGGATAATTGAGAAGTTCGAACAGTTTGCCATGCTGTTCTTGTCAAAGTTTGTGTATCAAAGAAGAAGGAAGCTCACCGTGTCGACGCTTATCAATTGCAAGCAGAGAGGAGAAGAGACGCTCACGAACTTCTACGATAGGTGGAACACCATAGCCTGCAAAGTGCAAGGAATCTCACCAAGCATAGCAGCGGGTAACTTACGAATGTCAATGCAGAATTGCGAGCTAAAAACAACGCTCATAAAAAAGGAGCACGTGTTGAAATCTTGGCCTGATCTAGATCGCCTAGTGAGAAAGGCGATCCTGCTAGAAGAGGCGCTAACAGCGGAAGACAACGTCAAGCGCATCAACCCCAGAGTTGAGAAGGCCGAGAAAAAAGAGGATCTATAAAGCGAAGAGGGCTCTCGCCAGACAAGCAAAATTATAAACCGCGAACTCCAACCGCGACAACAGGCACGAAGTGTTTACCACTGACAAAGAAGACAAACATGGAGATCGAAATATTACGAAGGAGGCGCTCCAGACGCAAAGGGAGGAAGACGACCAAAAATGGTGTGACTGGCACCAAATGCCCACTCACGACACCGTAGAGTGTTGCGTGTTCAAAGCTAGCCTCAAATACCTAGCGCATGTAGACCTAAAGAGTCGCCTGGATACACGGCTCAACTGCCACAAAATAAGACAGGAAAGAGAGAGATCATTGAGTCCGAGAAGGAGATCTCACACTCCAAGGACCAAAAGGTCAAGGTCACCGAGAACGGAGCGGTCCCCTCGTCGTGAACGCTTGCCACCTCCGCCGAGAAGGTCCCCTCCCCGTCGACAACCGCGTCTACATGAAGATGATGTAGAATTCATAACAATAGCAGGAGGGCGCAAATGCCCCAGAACGGAAGGGGACCGCCTGGTTCAGTGCTTGAATGTCCACAGGAGTGAACAAGTGGAGATTAGCTTCGCACCCTCGGAGCTAGCAGCCAAAGAGTGTGGAGAAGACCCGCTGGTTATCTCGTTTTGAACAAGAAATTTCAAAGTCACGAGGGCGTTGGTAGATAACGGAAGCTTGACAGATATCTTATTCTATTCCACACTCAAAATCATGAAGAAGAGCATACAAGATCTTAAGCCGTCAGCGACCAGCCTCGTGGGATTCTCGGGCTCGAAAATTCGAGTGTTGGGTCTGATAACCTTGCAAGTAACAATAGGAGAAGCAGTAGTAACAAAAACATGCCTTATGTACTTCCATGTGGCCGATTGCCCATCGGCATACAACGCGATCTTAGGATGTGGTTTCCTGTCAACATTCTCAGTAGTCCCATCCACGTGCCATCAGATGTTCAAATTCCCCGCGGGAGGAATTGTTGGACGCGTACGGGGAAACACCCAGCAGGCGAAGGAATGCTACCAAGCAACAATTGAAAGCTTGGAGGTCAACCTAGTCGACACACGAGGAAGCCATCCTTGTCCAGAAGCGGTTGAAGAGGATGCAGCGGTGGTCCTCAGCGAAGAAGAACCAGGAAAAAGGTCAGAATCTCATCTCACATCTCAGAAGAAAAGGCGCGGGAACTGTTGGCGCTTCTCAAGGATTACAAAGATTTGTTTGCGTGGTCCTCTGAGGACATGCAGACCTCTCAAGGGAGCTTCCTGAGCATCATTTGTCAGTAAAAAGCAAGTCCAAGCCCATACAACAAAGAAGACGAAATGCCTCACTGGAAAAGCAAATGGCATTGGAAGAGGAAGTGAGGCGGTTGCTGAAGGTGGGTTTCATATGAGAGGTCAAGTATCCAACTTGGCTAGCAAACACGGTATTTGTCCGCAAAGCATCGAGATTATGGAGAATGTGCATAGACTTCACAAACCTTAATGCGTCCAGCCCCAAGAATGCATATCCTCTCCCGCGGATAGACCAGATCATTGACGCTACCGCTAACCACGAAATTCTGAGCTTCCTGGATATGTTCTCCGGGTACCATCAAATTCTGTTATCCGAAGAAGATCAAGAGAAAACCACTTTCATTACCCTCATGAGAAACTTCTGCTATACGGCCATGCCATTTGGACTGAAGAACGCGAAAGCCACATATAAGAGAATGATAGATGTGGTCTTCAAGAAACAATTGGGAAGAAACATGGACGCGTAAGTCGATGACGTCCTAGTCAAAAGCAAAAAGGAGGATGACCACCTCAAAGACTTGAAGAAAACTATTGAAAGTTTGAGAAGAGAGCGCCTTCTGTTAAACCCGCTCAAGTGCGTGTTTGGCTCCAAGGCGGGGAAATGCCTGGGCTTTATGATTACCAATAGGGGGATAAAGGCAAACCCAAAACAGATAGAAGCCATCACCAGTCTAAAACCTCTGAAAACGGTCAAGGAAATCCAAGCGTTCAATGGTAAAATGGCCGCCCTGAGCCGCTTTATCCCAAGAGCAGCAGACAAGTGCTCCCCGTTCTTTCAAATGCTGAAAAAATCAGCGTCACGGTTACAATGGAGCGCTGAATGCGACAAGGCTTTCTTCCAGCTGATAGAGCAACTAGCCTCGTCACCAGTTCTGAGTGCCCCGCTCCGCAATGAACCTTTGTATCTTTACCTGGCGGTCTCTGAGCAAGCGGTCATCTCGGTCCTGGTGCGAAGATCCGAGGATGCTTCTCCCAGCAGAAACACGATACATGCCGATAGAAAAGGCGGTTCTCGCAATTGTGTCGGCCGCAAGAAAGATGCGCCCGTACTTCCAGAAACACCAATTCACGGTTCTTTCGAACCTCCCGCTGAAAAAGATCATGAAGGGAATGGATGTGTCTGGAAGAATGACCAAGTGGGCGGTCGAACTAAGCAAGCATGACATCGAAAACGCTCCGCGACCTTCAATCAAAAGGCAGGTGCTCGCAGATTTCGTCGCCGAAGGATTTAGCTTGAAAGCCACAGAAGCTAACAAAGAAGCAGTGGTATGGCGCTTTTTCATCGATGGAGCAGCGGCAAAAAGGAGGAGCAGGGGCAGGAATTGTCATCGAAATGCTAAAAGGAGTGGTACATGAAATCTCACACAGGTTTCATGAGCTGAAAACCAACAATGTGGCTGAGTACGAGACACTACTCAGCGATTTGAGGATCTCCATAAATTTGGGCGCCTCTCATCTGCACATCTACTCAGACTCGCTGTTGGTAGTCAACCAGGTTATGGAAAATTATAAGGTGAAAGAGGAGGCTCGCAAAATTGGCAGAAAAGGTCAAAGGTATCTTGTCCCAGTTGGAAACTTGGAATCTGGAACATATAAGGAGGGAAGATAATCACCATGCCGATGCCTTATCCAAGATGGCAACCGCAATGGACTTCGAGGGGGACCTCCAGGTCACTGTAACAAAAGAGGCAGGTTCTAACTATGATATAATGAATGTGGAAGTCGGGATCGACGACTGGTGCTCTCCACTAGTCGACTACCTAGATGTGGTCCCTACAGACGTTGTCTTAGCTAAGGCACTAAGACGGAAGGCGGTTCACTACACAATGGTTGAAGGACATTTGTGCAAGAGATCTTTCTCGAGAACATATTTGAAATGCCTTGGCCCAGAAGAAGCAAAATGGGTAATAAAAGAAATCCACCAAGGCACTTGCGCGTCGCATTCTGGACCAAGAAACATTGAGAGAACGGTGCTGCTACATGGTTACTACTGGCCAACAGTAAAGAAAGATGCGATGGAGGCGGTCCAAGGATGCCACGAGTGCCAAGTCTATGCTAGCAAGCAACACATGCCCAATGAGCAGGTGAAGAGCTTCACAGGATCGTGGCCATTCGCAAAGTGGGGCCTAGACCTATTGGGACCATTCCCCATGGCTCCTCTGGGGAAGAAGTACCTGGTGGCCGCCGTCGACTACTTCACGAAGTGGAACCGCTCGACACAATCACAAGCGCCCAGATCCATAAGTTCTTGTTCAACAACATAATGATAAGGTTCGAAACGCCCCATACTATAATCACTGATCATGGTACGCAGTTTGATTGCAGACCGTTAGAGAATTTGTGCGCCCGAAACCGTATCATCTGCATCATGGCGTCGGTAGCTTTCTCTCAAGCCAATGG